TTTTTCTGTCCGCCCGCAGATCTGCATAATGCGGGGAAAGGCCACCAGGCACTGGCCACCTCCTCGTCGGCGTCCAGCTCCTCGTCCTCCTGCTCCACCAGCAATCCGGCCATCAGCACGGCGACCAGCAGCGTGGCCGTTTCGATGGCCAGCCACCTGGCCGCCTCCTCGCCGCACCACCACCCCCACTCGCACGCCCACTCGCATCCGCATCCGCTGGCCCATCCGCATGTCCATAGCCACCACCATGGTCACCATGTGGGAGCACCGCCCGTGTCCACGGCGGTGACGACGCACCACCACATGGCCCATCCGCATCCGCTGTCGCACCACCATGCCGCCCACCACGCGGCCTTGGCCAGTTTGAGCATGGCGGGATTGAGGGCGGTACCGGGCGGATTGAGCCTGGTCAGCGGATTGCAGGCCGCCGCCGCCGGAGGAGCCATTCCCGATATGTGCCCCGTCTGCGGATTGAAACTGAGCGCCGAGGAGTGGCACACGCACTTCCTCACCGAACTGGACAGGCTCTACAAACTGAGTGCGGGATTCGAGCGGGCCAATCTGCAGGCCACCTATATGTTTGCCCCACCATGTCCCGCGCAGGAGAACGCCATTCGCACCAGTCACAACCGCTGGGAGGTGGGTTCTTTCCCAGAAATAAATAATTAGTAGATTTTAATGTTCTGTTTCCATTGTTCATAGACCTTCCAGAGAATAAGAAACAATCGCCAGAACCGCCTGAGACTCAAAGTTCGAAAGCGCAAATACGGCGAGATGTACATGATGGAAAGTCTTTACTGTAGCAGTTGTCCGATCTGCAAGAGGAAGTATGCCTTGGAGACGGGGAAGATTCCGCCAGAGGTAAGCTAAACAAATAAATAGTCCTGGGATCCTCGGAAAAAATATGGGCTTAAATGTGCAGTTTTTTTGGGTCTTTTATGCAAAACCATTTTTCGAAAATTTGTACATCATTAAAAGGACGAAAAATCGACCAAAAAATAAAAACGAGATGAGTATACAGATTTTTAGAGAATTAAAACACAATCATTTGGATATATGCCACTGTGAAATCGGATATCTGTAAGAAAAGTTATGGGCTTAGAAGTGCAGGTTTTTGGTCACTTTTCTGCAAAGCCATTTTTCGAAAATTTTGAAAGTGGTAACATCATTAAAATGACGAAAAATCGACCCAAAAATAAAAAAGAAGATGAGTATACAGAATTTTAGAAAATAAAGCCACAATCATTTTGAGGTATGCCACTTTAAAATCGGAAGTCTCTAAGAAAAGTTGTGGGCGTATAAGTGCAGTTTTTTGACACTTTTCTGCAAGCCCATTTTTCAAAAATTTGGAAAGGGGTTAGCTCATAAAAATGACTCAAAATCGACCCAAAAATACAAACCAAGATGAGTATACAGATTTTTAGAGAATTAAACCACAATCATTTAGAAATATGCCACATTGAAATCGGATGTCTGTAAGAAAAGTTATGGGCTTAGAAGTGCAGGTTTTTGGTCACTTTTCTGCAAAGCCATTTTTCTAAAATTTTGAAAGTGGTCATTAAAATGACGAAAAATCGACCCAAAAAAAAAACTAAAGTGAAAACACAGAATTTTTGAGAATAGCTCATAAAAGATTTTTAGATAATTAAAACACAACCATTTTGAGGTATGCCACTTTAAAATCGGATGTCTGTAATTAAACTTAAGAGCCTAGAATTGCAGTTCATTACTCTTGACTTAAAAACTTAACTTAAACAATTTTTTCTTTAGGACGATGCCAAATCGCAGGAGGAGATCGAAACGGTAGATGTGGAGAGCTGCAACGACGAAGTGCCCGACTCTGGATCTGAGCTCACAGTCCCGGGATCAGGATCATCCGCCTCCGTTCCGCCGCCATCTAGTATGCACAACAGCAACTCGCAGCCGGGCAAGCTGGACGGGATTCTCTACCGCACGGGCTGTGTGATTAACCAGAAGGATCCGCATCCCGACGAGCAGGATGTGAGCACCAATGTGGCAACGGCCAGCAGCAGCAGTTGGCCGGGCGAGGTCAACGCACCACCCCAGGCACATATCAGTGGTAGGTCTTTATTTTAAACTCTTTTACGCTGAGAAAAATTAATTAAGTTTATGTTTAAAATTGTTCAATTATCGATAAAAATACATTGCTGAACGTGTAGAAAATCACCCTTTTTGCTTAAGAAAAATTAAAAATTTGAAAACCTAGGTTTTATTTTCTGTATGGAAGAGTTTTTTTTTAATTAATTCATAATTCTGATAAAACTATTAAATGTTGGTTAAGCTTTTGTCAAGTTCTACGGGAAAACTAGAATGGAAAACATACACATGCCCTTATTCCCTTAAAATTTGTTTTTAGGGGTATATATTTTTGTGTGTATCTTTATGCTAATTACTGCCTTCCATTTAACCCCCAGTGAAAACCGTCAGCGAGCTGTCATCCACCACACATCACTACTACAACGCCGATTCCTGCGGAGTGGGCGTTAACGACAACAACAGCAGCAGCAGCACCAACAACAACAGCGGAGGCAACAACAAGGACCTAATGATGGACACGGCCTCGTGCCAAAATGATAGCGATGAGGACGTAATTGTGGACGACGACGACACCGTGAAGATGTCGAGCAAAATCAATTATAACAAAATACAACGGCGGCAGGAAGAGCAGAATGTGGGCAGCAGCAGGTGAGAAAAATATAGGGTATACTCAAAACAGTGACCAAATATTTAAGAAAAGAGAGTGTTAAACACTTTATTATTTTTTGAGATTTATTGAAGTTAACTTCAATTAGGTAAAGTTATATTTCATTAACAAGTTCGTCTTAGTCTACAAAAATAAAAAGCTACAGGGTTTTTACAAGTTTCCAAAGCACTATCAAATTTATTTTATTTTAAGAAATTTTATGTTAGTTATTAAGGGAGAAAAAAATATCATTTAAATGTCAATGTTTTAAGAACTCACATTTTTTATTTTGTCTGAAACCCCTTTTATATTTATTTTCATCTTTTAATCCGTACACTTACATAGGTGATTTGAAAACGTAAATGATTTCAATGACACCCCTTGTCAAAAACCAGCAATAGGGAGTTATAAATAGCTAGCTTTTCTGCAAAAATAAATATGAAGTTTGGTCAAATTACTTATATTGATCCCATCTCCATTCACAGATCCCTCGAGAACATTTCGCCGGTGGAGGAGCGACCGCGTTCGGAGCCGCAGGTGAGCAGTACCGAACCGGGACCCATGGACATATCGCACAACAACAACAACAGCAGCAGCAATAACAACAACAATCCGGCATCCAAATACGCGGAGAGCATGGAGAACAGCCTGTCGCAGTTGTCGTCGATGGGCGTGCCGGGATTAACGCAATTGGACACAAAGGTGGGAATTAGTTCGGATTTAAAACCGGACGATGAAAACAAATGTTTCATTTGTAAGGTAATTTCTCAGTTTGCTTCAGTTCTCACTTTAATTCGAGCACGTTCTATATTACCCCGAAAATCCCGTAACTTTCTCATTCCCATCTAGTAATGTCTACTAGTTAATTGCACACTTAAACTTGATTTTCAACATTGTAATTTCTATAATTTTGCATCTTTCCTCTTATATATTTCAAGACAGGCATAAAGGATCTCAATACGGATGCGTTCCTGCGCGGTCGTAACTTTTATTTTCACCAGAGTTGTGCCAACGTGATGAGCAGTTATCGGTTGAACAAGGAGCTACTGAATCAGGCCCAAAATCAGCAGAGGGCGGCAGGGGGAGGAGGAGGTGGAGGAGCAGGTGGGGATGTGGTGGCCACGGCAACGCCCCGCAGCCTTTCACCCGCCCAATCGCCACAGCAGAGTGTGTCCCAGGTCATGGAGTGAACGGAGGTTGGGGGGTCAAGGGGTCGAATTGATAATTGCAATCAAAGCGTGAATTTATTAAAATTAATTAATAACATATTGTATTTGAGGTAGCTAATGAAACGCGACGAGCAAATTGATATTTAATTGGGCATCCCCAAAGTAGGCAACACCCCAAATTATCAGTTCTGCTAGCCCGCCCACCAAAAAAAAAACAACAAGAAACAAAACAAAAAATCGAATGTTTTTGCCCTGTATAAATTCTACATGTAAAATTAATTTGTTTTCATTTTAAATGGAATTGGTTTTTTTGTAAAACAATATTTTAGTGCAATTTTTGTGTTGCCTTCTCAACTGTCATATATATTTATATAAATATATATGTATGTACTTTATTATATCATTATGTATGTATTCGTAATTTCCCTGAACGTGCTATAATTGTTAAATGTTTGATTGATAACGAAACAAACAATATACGATAAATGAGAATAAATTATCATCTCTAAGCAAAAACTAGTTGTAAATTCTTAAGCCCATAAATTATTTATGAAAAATCAAATAAATACATGAAAATACCAACAAGGTCGGTTATAAAATATGGAAATTGTATAGGTAAGTAATGGGCGGTAACAAGAATATTATATTGTATATTTATTTAAAGCCACTAAATATAATAAGTTTAAAGCTCATTCGATCCCTATTATAAAGTTAGGTGTATTTTTGAGATACAAAACTTAAACAATTATCAAATTCTGGACGAAGCTTTCAAGTGAAATATATTTATGAACATAAAGCTTGCTTAAGCTCGATCAATTTAGCAGTGGAAATTTTCAAGCTGATTACAATTTGCGGACAAAAGCATAAAAATCAACAGCAACAATAACTCAAATTCATAAAGTATCAAATGGAAAATGATTTATAGCTGGATACATGCATTTAAATGTGTGTAATGATATACGTAGTAATGTAATAAGATAAGTAAGGAGAGATCTGGGAGAGTAATATTCAGAGAACCGGGAAGAGATATAGAGCAAGCTTCCATGGGGGTACGAGGCTCTCCACAGTGCTCTCCGGGTATAAAAAGCACCCGCCCACTGCCAGCAGGCTTTCAGTGAGCATCCGCAGCGATCCGCGAGTAGAAGTGCCGTTAGTCCATCGATCTTGGAAATTATACCCATTATGTTCTCCAAACTGTCAACACGCGGCATTGCCACCCGTCTGAGCTACTTGGCCCAGAAGACAGCTGCTGCCCAGGATTCGTCTACTTCATCGCTTTCTGAAGTAGTTTATGCCCGGGAAAATAAGTACGGCGCCCACAACTACCACCCACTGCCGGTGGCCTTGACCAAGGGCAAAGGCGTCTTCGTCTGGGATGTGGAGGGAAAGCGCTACTTCGACTACTTGAGTGCCTACTCGGCAGTCAACCAGGGACACTGTCATCCCAAGATCATCAAGGCCCTCACCGAACAGGCCTCTAAATTGGCCTTGACATCGCGGTAAGTGGAAAAATGGGAAAGAGAACTTCATATTCATCTGATATTAGAGCACGAAGACGTGCCCCCCTTAAAAGCTTATCGGCTTCCTACTTTATCAGTATTGTACATAGTATTTAAGGTGGACATAATTAAATGGAATTATGCTAGTTTCTGTTTTTTTCTTACTAAATAATATTTTACACATTTGCATTTTATACAAAATTAAATTTGTTTTACGGGTCGTATACGCAATTTTACTCGGAATGTTGAATTTACCAAAACACAAAATTTAATATTTTATTAAATAGTTACTTTCGTTTAAAACGAAACTGATAATGGTTTTTAGATTTTCTATTAAAACATTAAGCCGGGCATGCGTGGCGTATGCGTAATTTTATTTTTTTTTTTAAATTAAGGCCCTATTTTCAAGTGAATTACATTATTTTTTTAAACTTTTTAAGATACAGTCCGCCCCAATAGACCTACAAGTATTAGTATATCTTTGCCCAAATGTGTGGGGAAAGTTTTTGTTTACTCAAGTTCAAGTGCAGATTGTGTGTGCTATTTTCTTTCTGTTGTCAACCGAAAAATTAAACTCAATGATTACTCAATAAGTTTTTTCGGTTGAATGCTAATAAAACGTATAGATAGAGAAGTGAATGTCGGGGTGCTTAATTTTTTAATATGTCTGGACAAGATTACACAACCTATAAATAAAGTTTTCGGGTAATTAAAGTACATTTCAAAAACAACTGTGTCCAAAATTGACATGAGATTGATTAGTTTGTTTTTTTCCAAGATCGTCTAAAAAGCTTATATAAAAAAATATATAGCTTTTGTTTATTTCTAACTTGTTTTTTTTTACCAAATATAAACTTTGAACGGTGATAACCACCCATGGACTAAATGAAATCTTATCAGCAACTAGAAAACAAATATATAAATTCTCACTTCTCTTAGGTATTCCACATTTGTCAGAGAAAAATGTATTTAATTTTTCTTTCATACTTGAGTTCTAACTAATGGGACGCCTCATTGCCGGTTTTATTTGGTTTCTTTTGGGTTGCCAGGGCCAGATTGTTAGGTTAAGTGGGCCAATAAAGTCAAAAGAGGTTCATTGATAACAACTCGCAAGATCGATGACTTGTTATTGTTTGTTGCGATTTCTAAATTTGGAACTTAGTTGACAATGATAACGCAAAAAGGCAATGTACTGGGCAGGTAAGTGTTTAGTTGTACTATTTTTAGCTGACCAAATTGTTTTTTGCCCGTTTATAGATGATTATTCTTATAATCTTAGAGGGTTGTAAGAAATGTCACTAAATATAAATAAAAAAATTTAAAAAAAAGTATATGATGACTTTAAAAATATTTAAGCACTTCCAAGTAATTTCAACAAAAGAAAAATATAATAAAAGTTAAGTTTATATGAAGAAGCTTAAAAAATAGAAATATTTTAGCTGATGAAGTTCACCGGTCTCTTATTTTTGAATGTTTAGTGTGAATATTTTCCGCCTTCTTTGATCTTTGCAATTTGTAGGGAATATTTATAAAATGGTTTAGGAATACCTACTAATGTTAAATTATTAATAAAACTGAACTGTTTTCTGTTTCCGTTTCAGTGCCTTCTATTCGGATGTCCTGGGCGAGTATGAGGAGTATGTTACCAAGCTGTTTGGCTTCGACAAAGTGCTGCCGATGAACACGGGTGTTGAGGGTGGAGAAACCGCCTGCAAATTAGCCCGCAAGTGGGGCTATTTGGAAAAGAAAATACCGAAGAATCAGGCCAAGATCATATTTGCACGTAACAATTTCTGGGGACGCACCTTGTCCGCAGTGTCCGCCTCCAATGATCCCAGTAGCTACGAGGGATTCGGACCCTTTATGCCGGGATTCGAGTTGATCGAGTACGATAATGTGTCGGCTCTGGAGGAGTCCCTCAAGGATCCCAATGTGTGTGCCTTCATGGTGGAACCCATTCAGGGAGAAGCTGGCGTGGTGGTGCCCAGTGATGGTTATCTGCAGAAGGTACGGGAACTCTGCTCCAAGTACAATGTCCTTTGGATTGCCGATGAGGTGCAGACGGGATTGGCCAGAACCGGAAAACTACTGGCCGTGAATTACGAGCAGGTTCAGCCAGACATTCTGATCCTGGGAAAGGCGCTATCCGGTGGCCTGTATCCCGTATCTGCGGTTCTCAGCAACGATAATGTGATGCTGTGCATAAAGCCAGGAGAGCATGGATCTACCTACGGAGGTAATCCCTTGGGCTGCCGAGTGGCCATGGCTGCGTTGGAGGTCCTGCAGGAGGAAAAGCTGGCGGAGAATGCCTTCAAAATGGGTGAAATCCTGCGCAGCGAGCTGTCTAAGCTTCCGCAGGATGTGGTTTCGGTGGTGCGCGGAAAAGGGCTGCTCAACGCCATCGTCATTAACAAGAGTAAGTTATATTATACCTTTCATAATGAATTTATTCCTAAACCTAACTTTATCTTCTGCAGAATACGATGCTTGGGAGGTGTGCCTGAAGCTCAAGGAGAATGGTCTGTTGGCCAAGCCCACCCATGGCGATATCATTCGATTTGCTCCTCCACTGGTCATTAATGAGACACAAATTCGCGAGAGCATCGACATTATCAAGAAGACCATTCTGTCTATGTAGATTTTCGGATCGGAGCTCATATATAGCTCGAATTTTAGTAACCTGATTAATGTTAAGTTTTGTGGAAAGTCTGAAATAAATAACAGTTTTTATATTTTTTATATATGAGATGTGAGGTTTTAAGTCTAAAAGTGGGAATAGTAAGCATTCGTACCATCAATCGATCCATATATCACAAAAATTATTGCATACTTTAACTTGATCAACTGAAATACCATAATTAAAAAATCCGATTAAAAACTGTGTAGCTTTGATCGCAAGTATATTGTTAGTACAAATTTAATTTGATTAATTTTAAACTAACTTAAATTGTTTAACTAAGTCCTTGCCGATATCCATATATCAATAACAATTTCTACCCCTACCGTAAGCTGCCACTGGCTAACTATGCCACGCCCGAAATCCGCTTATAAAAGTCAAATGTAATCCAAACCATTTCAATTTTCCTGCCTGTCTGTTGCCTGAAGGCGTCTTTCGCAGACTACCAGGAGTCAACTTCAAAAAATGTCTTTTATTCTCACACCTGTCAAGGATGTCACCGCTACCCCATTTCCGACCTCCTCTGCGAAGAAGGACTCCCCTTGTTGTGTTTACCGAGGAGCTCCATCTGTTTGGCTTGAAGCTTGGCATATTGATTTTAAAGATTTAAATCAGCTCGGGGAACAACAGGTGACAAGGCAAATGATGCCCATAAGTAGGCTAAACATCCCCCTCAGGGAAACGTAAAATTAGGAACAGGGGTTGGACAATAACAGGCATTCGATTTGTATTTGATTTTTATTGGGTATATTTGATGTCAAATTTGCTCAACGCCAATTGAAAAGCAATCAGAAGAGAAGCTACATTTTTTCCAGCTAATTAAAAGTTTGCGCATTAAGAAAAGCGAATGAGAAATAAACGCTTATCTTTAAAGCCATTAAAAGTAAGCAACTCTCGCAGCAGGACCTTTTATCCTGGGGTCAAGTGTTAACGCTTAAAACTAAATCTCCTGCGTCTGGCCTTTTGTCCAAATCTGAATGGCCGAAACAAGCTGAAACTGTTGCCTGTTTTTTTATCCTCTTTTTTTGGGGGGTGTCAAAAGCCACACGACACTTGGACCTTCCTTGATCTTCTTCTTTGTAGTCTGTCCCATAATCTTTGCCTTTTTATCGCCGCCCATCTGTTGATGTCTTTATTAAAAAAAAAAGGAGAGTAAAAGAAGCTGGAAAAATCCATTTTTAGCCCATTTTTTGTGGGTTTTATTGCTCAGACAAAATGAAGGGAATGCAGAAGGGAGACTCCTTAAGCATTTTATTAGCAAACTTCAAGTTGTTTCGTCTGCACATAATTAAATAAAGCGTTAAAATTAAAAAATCAAGATTTTTCCCCATTTTTTTCCTATGGAAAATATGTTTTAGAGTGTGGGCGGGGTGAAAAGGATATGCCCTGTGCTCTCCGCAAAAAGGACCTTTTCTCTCAGATAAGCATTACAATGTCGTTAATTCGTTTTCCTTTATGCCGCGGCTCGGAATTCCTTGGCCTAAAGTACCGAAAGGCAGCGATAAGGAGCGAAAATGTTGCGACATTTTCCGCCTGGTAATTGTCCTTGGCAGGATGCGCGGTGTCCAAGTTTATTGCCTAACGACCGCGGCACGTTCCCTTCGTTTTTATATTTTAATTAAAAACCAGCAGCCAACTGGCAGGAGAAATCGAAAGAATGGCAAAGGAGTGCTGAAAGGAAGGTAACTTTGGAAAGTAGTTCACTGATTAGACATTGACATATTTTCTGTGGAGAGCTTCAAGACAATTTGCTGCCTGCAACAAGGATTAAGTTTAAAATATCCTTAATTAAAAACTATTAATATATTAAGCCACAGGTATTTTATAGATTTCCTTAAGTTGACTTTTTATATTTTCAACAAAGTTCTATATTGTCTTTAGAAAAATGTTGTATAAGTTTTAAGAGTATTAAAATGTAGATTTTTGTATACAATAATAATCTAGATATATGTAAATACAAATATAGAGTTTCTATACAAATAAATAATTTTTTCTAACGATTTTTTTGGTCCATTGTATTATTAGGTTGGTCAGCAAATAGGTATATTAAATATTTAGTACAGCTTAACAATAAACTTCTTTGTAAAATAAATTAAGTTCTGAAAATTTTCAAAATTTGTTTAATCCAACAAACAAAATTCGCTTATTATGGCAATAAACTCAAACTCACCCCTCAAAAATTTCAGCCTCTTTATTTTGCTAACACTTACAGGAAAAATCAGCATTTTAATAGGAAATTCGTGCGAAATTCCGATCGTAAATTTATTAGAGCTTAGGTTGCATTGGCTGCAAGCCTCTGTTCACATGTGTCAACAGACAATTTTCGTTTATTAAGGGGATTTGGTGGACCAAAAAAATGGTTATAATAAAATGTTTAAGGGAGAAATGAACAAGCCCACCAAATGATAAAATAAAGAGCAATAGGCAAGATGCAAAAGTAGCTTATTACAAAAAGAGGGTGCAAAAATGTGGCAGCAAGGAAAATTCTTTTTGTTCTCCCTTTTTTATGGTAAAAAAGACAGGGTGACGAAGTCTACCAAAGGGGGGGGGAGGGGGCAATATTTTTATGCTTATGACGACCATTGCGGCCCTCTTTTGTGTTAATAATCTTGAGGCGTCTACCGTTATAAACGGTTTTTTTTACTGGCTTGATAATTACATTAAGATTTGAGGTTTTCTCTTCGTTTATTTTTGTGGGTTACTGTTTTTATGGTTTTCTTTTTGTGGCCTCAGGGCAATGAAGCAATGAAGAGGCAATCATAATTTAAACTTCTTCTGTTTCTTGATCGTTTGCTGGCAAATAAAAATTCAATTGCACAGGACATAGAACAATTATAACAAAAAACCAAGTGCAGAAACGAGCACACAGGATAAAGGGTTGAGTGTCGAGAGTTGAAGGACTCGCCGTGCATATTAAATAGTTGCTACATGCGTTTTAAATGACTTGTAATAGTATTTTTTTGAGGGTATATTAGATTTAAGCTGATGTATTGAAAATAAATAATTACTTAGTTTCATTTTTGGAAATGTTTTGGGTAAGGTTCAGATTATGTAAAATATTTGTTATATTTACCTATTTATTATAATTAACCTCCTTTTTGTTAACGGATCTTAATTAGTATACATTTTTACCAAAATAATTTCATTAACATTTATGGGTAGGAATCTTAAATACAAAAATAACAATTTATCCGATTTGAGGCGTTCTTGTTATGCAGGTTAATCATACGACATTGAGAACCAGGTAATTCTTAGTCGAAATACTAGATTATTGAATTTTATATTTTTTTTCGCCTTCCAAAATAGACATTCCCCTAGGCAAATCACGTCGGAACAGTGGCTTCCCAGGACAGGCAACACATTTTTAAAACGCCCGAAGAGACACGTGCATTAAACAGCCCGGCAGGACAACATCGCATCGCATCGCATCGCAGGATCGGAACAGAACGAGAGTAATTTACAAAACTCGTCGGCAGTTGACTTCAACGCGTTTGTCTGTCGCGCAATTAGGCAATTGGCCAACGTCTGTGTGTCTGTGTAATTGACAAAAAATGACATGCAATTGCGATGAGAGAGGCGAAATGAAAAATAAACCAAAAATTGATTTTTATGTAATGAGTACGAAGGTCCTGTTCAGGACAACTGCAACTGACTGTTGTTGTGTGTTACTTTTTTTCGGCCCTGTCGCATGCCGGCTGCATATTAAAAAGTGCGTGATGCCTTCGCTGACCAAATATCCTGGCCGAAGGGCTGTCAATTTTTATGAAGTTAAATTCGAGGCGGGTTGGAGGCGGGCTGCAAAAGGTGTTGCATGTAATGAAGCGCATAATTTTAATTGGTTTTTGTTGAATTTAATAAAGCATTATTAATGTGTGCAGCAGCAGGTAATAAAAGCTGCGGTAGATATTTAAAAATAATATTCAAATTTATTGTATGTGCAAAGATTTGAATTTTAGGAAGCTGATGATGAATTTTTAAAGTTACTTTAACCTGCAACTTAATGGATCCAACATAACATATTTTGAATACTTACTTGATTTAATTTAGGTCTATAAATCTTTAAGGCACACTTTTTAAAGAGTATTTTAAATAAGTTTAAGGTGATTACAATTTGGTGGATGTAATATAGTAAAGTTTACTTTATAAATAATGGTTGGCTAAAAATCTATTTCAAATTTGAATCTTAGCGCCAGTGCAGCACTTACCAACATTGGCAGTTCAGTTCGAGGCAGCCACTCTTTTGAAATGGTATATTTTTGGAAGTCACACTGACATTTTTTGGCTTGGGGTTAAACGGTCACATTGAGCAGCAACAATTTTTTTGTTTCCCATTTTGTTTGTGAAAATTTAAAACTGAACGACAAAGGCGACTTCCCCGATGCTGACGTGCCCGACCAAGTCCTAAGATGTCGCAACAACGCGCTACGGATCAAGGTGCAGCCACCACCAGCAGCAACAACAACAGTGATGTGATTACGTTGGGCGACGTCGACGAAGATGGGGATGTGATATTCGTGGGAATTGTGCGTCCCACTGTGACCACCGTTGATCTCTGCCTGTCGCCCTCCACTTCGGCGGCTGCGGCAGCTGCTGCCCGTTCCGGAAACGGATCTGCCGATGAGCCGGATGCAGAACCTGGACTGGGATCAAGAGCCACTGCCTCTGCGTCCAATCCAATTTTACCTGCTTCATCCCCGGAGGATGCAGCGAAACCCGGCACAGTGGATGCGGGTGAGATTTAAAAAATTTTATTTCCTTACAAAAGTTACAAATAATTCACCATAAAATATTAATAAATGTCTCCCACTGCTCTAATGGTTCTTAAATCTTCAGATCTTTAAGAACTATGAAGTTAAAACAATAATTTAGAAACATTCTTGATTTTAAAATGGGTGCCGACTTTAAATACAAACTACAACTTTTCCTTTCTCAAAAAAGGTTTGTTTTTTGGAAAGCGAAAACGAAATAAATTTATGCTTGACTTTCATAGCACAGATCAGGTTAACTTGGAAGCCCAGTTAAACTTTCTACTTACAACTCTTTCCTCTTATTTTCCAGCCACCACGATTTCGGACGGGGATTCCTTTTCCGCAACCGCTGTTGCATTGGAGTGTCCCATCTGCCTGCAAACCTGCATTCACCCAGCTCGTCTCCCATGTGGCCACATCTTTTGCTTCTTGTGCGTTAAGGTGCGTAGTTCATGAAGACCAAAGCGGAAGCTTTCCTCAGTCACTTAGCAATGCAGTTCACATCGTCAAATTCGCGTTTTTGAATATAATTTTCGAGCAGCACCAAAGCCACCGAAGCACGTAGCCAAGTTCAAGGCTGTTTTTAACCCTTTGGTGCCAAAGCGGCATGAACGATTGATTAGCATGCCGAGAGAGCCCCTGTTCACTCGCAATAATGGCATTAGATTGGCTTCCGGCTGGCGACTTGTCAATTGATTTCCGTCCCCTTTCAACTTCAACCAGTTTGAGCCTAAGACAAGTATTCCAATTAGCACTCGAGTGCATTTTCCTGTTCAGAAACTTGTTTAAGCGTGAATTAAGGTCAATTTTGAGGCGACAATTATAGTTTACCTTTCCGTTTTTATTCGCAAGTTAAATTTTCTGCTAATCAACTAAAGTTTCCGCCATAACTTTAAGAAAATTAAAGAACTTTGTGACCTAAAAATGTACAATGAAATCTCGTCGGCTATTTTTAAATATACATTTTCGATTTTCTCCAGGGCGTTGCTTACAAGAATCCACGCTGCGCGATGTGCCGTCGCGAGATTCCCGCCGAGTTCCTGGACCATCCCCAGCTGGTAAATGGCATTGAGGACATCTGCACCACTCGCGCCACCGAAGACGGCTACCAGTGGTACTATGAGGGCAGAAATGGTGAGTAAAATTACGCTTTTGGTGACGGTCGACCCTCATTTCCCAAAAACCCCAACGCAAAAAAACACGCACCACACAAATCTAGGTGACTGGTGGGCCTATGACTCTCGGACAAATGGAGACATCGAGATCGGCTATGCGGATTATAAGATATCCTTGGAAGCAAAGTCATCGCAACCTAAACTTGCTGTGTTGGATTCTACTCCCAATTCCAGAGCAATACCATTGGATCCATTGATTGCTTCAGTGAATCCCACACCCGATCCCAATCCAATAGATCTTACGGCCTTAGCTGAGTCAATTCCAGATGCTGCCATTGATCCACCATTCATAGATCCGAATAACGATAACGATTTTCAATCTACTAATGATGAAGATGAAGATAGGTATAGCGTTTCTCTTACCTTTGACTCAGACTCCGAATATCTTTACCATTATGATGATACTTTTGAATACTTACTTGATTTAATTTAGGTCTATAAATCTTTAAGGCACCCTTTTTAAAGAGTATTTTAAATAAGTTTAAGGTGATTACAATTTGGTTGAAGTTAACTTTATAAATAATGGTTGGCTAAAAATATAGAAGTAAAATATATATCAAATTTGAATCTTAGCGCCAGTGCAGCACTTACCAACACTGGCAGTTCAGTTCGAGCCAGCCACACTTTTGAAATGGTATATTTTCGGTAGTCACACTGACATTTTTTGGCTTGGGGTTAAACGGTCACATTGAGCAGCAACAATTTTTTTGTTTCCCATTTTGTTTGTGAAAATTTAAAACTAAACGACAAAGGCGACAGAGCGATTTCCCCGCTGCTGACGTGCCCGACCAAGTCCTAAGATGTCGCAACAACGCGCTACGGATCAAGGTGCAGCCACCAACAGCAGCAACAACAACAGTGATGTGATTACGTTGGGCGACATCGACGAAGATGGGGATGTGATATTCGTGGGAATTGTGCGTCCCACTGTGACCACCGTTGATCTCTGCCTGTCGCCCTCCACTTCGGCGGCTGCGGCAGCTGCTGCCCGTTCCGGAAACGGATCTGCCGATGAGCCGGACACAGAACTTGGATTGGGATCAAGAGCCACTGCTTCTGCGTCCAATCCAATTTCACCTGCTTCATCCCCGGAGGATGCAGCGAAACCCGGCACAGTGGATGCGGGTGAGAGAAGTGGCTTGCCACTTTAAGATCTTTAAGAACTATGAAGTTAAAACAATAATTTAGAAACATTCTTGATTTTAAAATGGGTGCCGACTTTAAATACAAACTACAACTTTTCCTTTCTCAAAAAAGGTTTGTTTTTTGGAAAGCGAAAACGAAATAAATTTATGCTTGACTTTCATAGCACAGATCAGGTTAACTTGGAAGCCCAGTTAAACTTTCTACTTACAACTCTTTCCTCTTATTTTCCAGCCACCACGATTTCGGACGGGGATTCCTTTTCCGCAACCGCTGTTGCATTGGAGTGTCCCATCTGCCTGCAAACCTGCATTCACCCAGCTCGTCTCCCATGTGGCCACATCTTTTGCTTCTTGTGCGTTAAGGTGCGTAGTTCATGAAGACCAAAGCGGAAGCTTTCCTCAGTCACTTAGCAATGCAGTTCACATCGTCAAATTCGCGTTTTTGAATATAATTTTCGAGCAGCACCAAAGCCACCGAAGCACGTAGCCAAGTTCAAGGCTGTTTTTAACCCTTTGGTGCTAAAGCGGCTCTGAACGATTGATTAGCATGCCGGGAGAGCCCCTGTTCACTCGCAATAATGGCATTAGATTGGCTTCCGGCTGGCGACTTGTCAATTGATTTCCGTCCCCTTTCAACTTCAACCAGTTTGAGCCTAAGACAAGTATTCCAATTAGCACTCGAGTGCATTTTCCTGTTCAGAAACTTGTTTAAGCGTGAATTAAGGTCAATTTTGAGGCGACAATTATAGTTTACCTTTCCGTTTTTATTCGCAAGTTAAATTTTCTGCTAATCAACTAAAGTTTCCGCCATAACTTTAAGAAAATTAAAGAACTTTGTGACCTAAAATTGTACAATTAAATCTCCTCGGCTATTTTTAAATATACATTTTCGATCTTCACCAGGGCGTTGCTTACAAGAATCCGCGCTGCGCGATGTGCCGTCGCGAGATTCCCGCCGAGTTCCTGGACCATCCCCAGCTGGTAAATGGCATTGAGGACATCTGCACCACTCGCGCGACCGAAGATGGCTACCAGTGGTACTATGAGGGCAGAAATGGTGAGTAAAATTACGCTTTTGGTGACGGTCGACCCTCATTTCCCAAAAACCCCAACGCAAAAAAACACGCACCACACAAATCTAGGTGGCTGGTGGGCCTATGACTCTCGGACAAATGGAGACATCGAGATCGGCTATGCGGATTATAAGATATCCTTGGAAGCAAAGTCACCGCAACCTAAACTTGCTGTGTTGGATTCTACTCCCAATTCCAGAGCGATACCATTGGATCCATTGATTGCTTCAGTGAATCCCACACCCGATCCCAATCCAATAGATCTTACGGCCTTAGCTGAGTCAATTCCAGATGCTGCCATTGATCCACCATTCATAGATCCGAATAACGATAACGATTTTCAATCTACTAATGATGCAGATGAAGATAGGTATAGCGACGTTTCTCTTACCTTTGACTCAGACTCCGAATGTCTTTACCATTATGATGATCCGGATAGACTGCATCTGCAGATTTGCGGGAGAACTTACGTCATTGACTTCATTCAGATGAAGCAGTATGCACTCTCGACTCGAGACAAGCAACGCAATATCATGCGATGCAAAAACACGGATGCCGTTCAGGGCTTTTCCAAGGGCGTCGCCGGGCTCAGCAAGCGCCTAAGATACAATTAAACAAGATCACCCACCCATTCAACTCATAATCGACTCACCGCACTGCCATTTCCATTACTTAATCCTAGACAGAAAAACTAAACTGCGATAAAAAGTAAAAAAAACAATCAAAAGAGATCCCATCCCATTCCAAATATTTTGTGCTGTAAAAATGTGTAACTACAGGTTGGTGGCAATACGATGACCGCACGAGTCAGGACATCGAGGAGGCCTTCAAGAAGGGCGACAAATCCTGCACCATCCTGGTGGCTGGCTACGTCTACATTGTGGATTTGGAGCAGCTGGTCCAGCAGCGCCAGAACGAACCCACTCGCTGCAGGAGGGTTAAACGAGATCTGGCCACCATACCCAAGAAAGGTGTGGCCGGACTGCGGATCGAGGGCAACCAGGTGACCAGCGACACCATCTTCAGCAGACCGCCAACCACAGCCAATCCAACCACCGTGGCGGCAGCTGCCTCCAGTTTTATATCCACGATAGCAGCAACGGATGCGGCAATCAGGATAGCAAGTGACATCATTGGCTCCACCCTGGCACATGCGGACGAACTCACCCGAGGATTGGCGGCCAGCAACATCAGCGATGATCCTAGCAGCAGCAGCAGCAGCGGTGAGCAAACCAACTCCACACATCCACAGGACGCAGGACGCTCGCCTGCCTCCTCTCCTGCCTCGGGCTCCATGCAGGATCTGATCACGCGGGACCTGAGGAACACCCAGCAGGTTATTGCCCACAATCAGCACACCATCGATCTCTTGGAGCAGGCCTTGAACAACTTCCAGGCGCTAAATATGCGGGATTATGTGGACTCCAGCGATGAGGAGGACAACGACCAGGATGAGGACCAGGAGCTGCTGGAACGGGAGCAGCTGGAGGCGGGCGAGCAGCCACAGTCCGGCGATAATCACCAGGGATTCTAGGAAGTTACACAGCCCATTCTAAAGAAAGATTACTCTATTGCTAGCCTAGCCCATACACTTAAAGAAAAGATCTATGTTCCTTTTAGCAGAATTCACTAAACGGAATGGGGAATGTTAACTAGAGAAATGCAGCGCGTACCTGAGAATATATCAACTAACATGTATATCGATAGGCTCCGAGCGTTGAGCGTTGAACAGAAATAGAAACAGAACAGAATGTCTACAGGGTAAAACAAACACATATTCCTTAATACTTTAAATCAGATATTAAACCATAAAGGTTACAGCAGAAAAGAATTAACCAAGTTAAAGAAAAACCAACTTATTTTTAGCCAGAGATGAAACGGACAGATATGGATTTTTAAAAAGAAATGTTTAAGAAATCTAATACTGTATGGCTATTTTTAGATTGACAACTCACATTTCCGTAACAACTTCGAATAGAAACCTGCAGTATTCCGCTGTACATAAACTATAAAGAAAACCCAATAATTACCCTTTCAATCTCTTGAACGTATCGAAAATTCTAGATTTTCGAAACCTCCCTATATTCCCCTCTTGCAAGCTAGCAAAAGGCCAAATAACCACAAAAATGAGTAGTGTGAGAACGACAATATATATATTTGAATTGGGAATTACTTGACAAGGATGCAATTCGTGGGAGGTCAATTAGAAACAAATTCCCATTTGCATAGTTGATATTCAGTGCGTTTCTTAAAACAAAATGTTGCGTTAACAGACTTGGAATCGTATTTTGCAAAGTTTTTTTGTATTAGAAAATCATAATTTATAATTTAAATCTGGATGTTTTCGAATCGCACTGTTGTCAGATCCAGTATTAATTATTAAGTCGCCGGTAAGTGCGTTAAGAAAAACAGTTCTGTGACAGTTAAATATATTGATATTTGTATTGTATAAGTTATAATAAAAGTAAAAAGAGAAAAGTGGTTAGTCAGATTACAGATGACTATCTGAAGAACTAATGTATATTATGTGCTACAAAGGATATACACCTGATTTAATAATCTCAAAATTTTGTGACTACTATTTATAGATTCGTTTTCGATATGTACTCCGCCATTACTTCTAACAGCGAAATGCGTATTCGTTGCTTCCCTAATATCTACGATATACCTAACGCTCTACTGAACCCGACACCCGACCTCGAAAAACCCCTCCCGGTAATATCAACAAAAATTTTTGAACTATATCTAATGCTCTCACATAGATATCCAACCATCCGCTTACTCATTTCTAAAACCATCCTTGCATACTCGCATTTCTTCGGTCTTTGATAACTTTTCGATATCGTACAACTGACAAAGAATGAAGTGGCATTAGTTAGTATCATTTGCATTGACTACAGAGTCTTAACGATATCTTTTCCTTATCTAATGGTGGAAGTTCTAAACAACCAATTCGTACTTATTAATCATTTAGCTTTTTAACAATTAAATCAAAACCAAATGTGCCAAGCAACATTTTTTGAACAGCACTCGCTCCGGTATTTTTGACAGCACTGATAAAGGGCAACTATATTTAACAACAAGTAGTATTGTCTGTCATTTATTATACTTATATTTAATTAATGAATTAAGCATTTACAACTTGGTTGATACAAGATGTTAAGAAATAGATTTTTGCTGAATCCGATATATGTCGATTAGAGATCTAGCTCCTGTGCAAGATCACATTTGTCATAGTTTAGATCCTAAGACATGTAAAATTTGGCAATAAAAAAAATCACAAAACCTGTGTTGAACATTATTCATTGATATCTTTCTTTCTGGAAGTGAGAAATGTGTATCTTTTTCATTTTAACGTATTAGTTTTATTAACTTTTTGGGTAAATGAAAATGGATTGAAAATGATAGATCAAACCTTAAAACCTTTTTATATTTTATATATTAGCTATTCTTAATTTAAATCGCTGCAATTTTATGTTACCCCTTTGTAATTAATGTTGACTGTTATTCGGGAGTATTATTTTGAACAACAAAATCCATTGGGTTCATATAATTTTTCTTTATAGCTACATACATATGTAAAACTAAACTAACAAAAGAAATTGTATGACACCCATTTTTGAAAAGAAAACAATAAAAGTTAAAATAAACGATCCCAAAAGATCGATATCGCATAGAGATTAAATACATTCGACCATAAATTTTAACTACAATAGAATCCAATATCATCCCTATCTGCGATAGCTACATTATTAAGGTGAGAAGATCAATCCCCAAAACTCAACAATACCCAATGATCCTCAACTACCCTCAACGCGCACTTGTTAAAGGCAACGCTTATGGTGAAATGAAGAACCCACTCCCATTATTGTGAGGCACTGATTGACGGGAATGGAACCTGCAACCTGGACGAAGAGCTGGACTCTGGAACACTGTCCGTCTGCAAATACCTCAAACCCCATGACTCATGCGCAATGGACCAAAAGAAAACGCCTGAGAAGCACGCAGGCAGCATAACAATTTATTGGACAGAACAAACAAGAAAAGGTATTGAAAAAAGAGTGTGTGGGGGAAAAGGTTGCTCTAACAAGGGAAATGTGTGTTGCGTGATTGGAGGGAGTCCACTGTGAGAAAATTAATCTACCAACTACCGATCATTTTCAGCTTTATAGTCAAAGATTAAATATCAATAAACTAAATTTTATTATAATTACAATTAAAAAATTAAAGTCTCAGAGATATTTAGTCAAATTCTAAGTAACAATAGTTCAAATATATATATATTTTTTATAAACTAGTTGTTTAGAACGTAAACGTTTGACTAAGATAATATTATTTTTTTAATGAAAATAAAGATCATAGATCATACATTTTTTTCACTATGTTGAGGAGCACCAATTCCAATCGTGTCCCATAAACATGGTCTCCAAAGAATTCCCTCGTTTTCTTTGCTTATGAGTCATCTTTGTTTACGTAGAAATTATGCTACCTGCTGCATTATTTTTTACATTTTCTGGTTCTACCTGTTGTGCAAACAGGAGAAGGGAAAATGGGAATCGACACATATCGCTTTCACAGCTCTGCTCTTGTATAATCTTACTTTGATGACGTTCCGACTATAATGACGTACCGACATATTATTTTTATTTTGGGTTTTTACACTCTTAATCTTAAACTTTGTATTATAAACTAACTGCGAGATCATATACATACATACAAAGAGAATTTCAGCAGTTCATAGCAAAAAATGATAAGTACTTAAAGTTGTGGTCACAGAATAAATACTACTTATTTCACTTAACAAAAACAAGCAACCAACAAAATATGTAAAAATGTTAACAAACGTTTGGTAAATATGTTGTAGAAATTTTTATTTGAAAACTTTGGTAATTTTTTAAACTTTTTCTAAAATTGAAATCAGATCTGATATGTTTTTTAGTTTGGTGTTCACAGGTTTTAAAAATCAGCTCCGATCGATTTTATAAGTGCATAAATAGATAATTATGTTTATTTGTTGAACAAGACTTCAAAATTTTGAAATTTTTAAAATTCCTAAATAACCTCTTGAAGGGAAATTTCAACACTTTTTTCCTAACCAATTATCGTAATTAAAAACTGATAGTGAAAATGTCGCTCAATAAGTGACATTTATTTATTTGTTTTCATTATCATTTCCCGCATTCCCTCGGCAAAAGCTGTTAAAAGCGTTTAGGTCGTGCATGCTGCGGACTTGAGCTTTTTTAGTTTTTAAGCCAACTCCAGTTTTATTGGCAAAAAAAGAGAGAAGAGGAAGAGAAGCGGAGTGCCTTGCTAGTGTTATTTTTTTTTTTTTTTTGTGGTTGGCCATGGCTCTCTCTCTGACGCTCTTTCTCCCGCACACATGCGCAGTGGCACCTGCGCTCAGAACCGGTTTCGAGGGAGGAAATCCAAGAGAGAGCGGATTGGGTTTCGGCCCAAAGCCAGCAGCCAGTTTTTGCTTTTTAGTCGATTTGTATCTACCTTTGGTGCGGACGCGTTTCGCTGTGAAGTCCCAGCAAAGCTAAAAACCAGTCTTTAATTGTTCGTTTTCAAGCTGAAATCAATTAAAAGTTCTTCGCCAATAAACAAATCAATGTAAGCAATAATGCAATCAATGCAATTAACCCGTGAAAATTGCTGGAAAAGTGTGCAAAGTGTGTGAAAAATGTGCAAATACAAGAATTTTCATATTGATTTTCTTGGCTAAAAGAGCGAAAGAGCGAGCAAAAAGCAGCAAAAGAAGAAGAAGCAGCAACAGCACAAAGCTGCGCTGTAAGGCTTCCGTTGCTAGTGCGAGTGAGAGCGACAGACTTGGGGCGAGTGAACGGAACAGCATTAGCAATTGTTCGCTTGTGTGTGTGTGGCAACATTTCATCGAGTTGTTTTTTATATGTTCTAGCTTTGGCCAAGTTAAATACAAAAAAGAACAACGAAGAAGTCGAGTTTATACACACAAAGAAAATGTTAATTCAAAAAGAAATGAAACCTTTTTATTCATGTAATCAGTGTATTGAATATTTAATTAATATACTATGCCCAAAAAATAAACAAAACTCATTTGGCACCAGTGGGTTATAATTCCGGAGTTTTGTAATTAAGGGCAATTATTCTATTATTACTGCTTTAATTTTGAAAAATTAAATATATAACGTACTTACACATTTCATTAGACCTGAAATTTAACTGATATCGAAATGATTTTTTTCAGTGTACAAACAAAAATAATACCTGTATGTAAGATTGTGTCTGTGCGCTTATTCTTTTGTGCAATTCGCCTTTTAAAGGCATCATAAAAATAGCTCGGCCTGCAGTTTGAAAGTGAAAGAAAAACAACATTTAGGCGGCATGCAAAGTGAATAATTGACAAGTGCAATTATCGACCCTTCTTCTCGCGCTTTCTTTCGCTAGTGTGTGTGTGATTTATTTTGCGTGGGTGCTGTTGCTATCTCGTTTTATCTCGTTACTCCTTTGAACCCACATCCTGCTCCTTTTACCGTTTGACGTCGTTTGCTCCCTTATTGATTTTTGCCATTCATTGATAAAAGATTACGAATTGATGTGTGGGTGCGCGTTAAAAGGAATCTCTTAACAAAAGAAGTTGATTGATTTTCGTGATATTTGTATCTACTATAGTGCCCCCGCTTTGACCAGAATGTCGTAAAGACCAAGAATATAGAACCACCCACTTGAATCCCAATCCGGAATCCTGGACAATGCAACCGTTCAGCGACAGTCTGAGCAAAAGTCGCGATGATCTGGTCAATGTCGCCACCGCCGCATCCCGGCAACAACAAATCCACGGCCGGAGGCGACACCACGGCAGCAGTCCCAATCTCTCCCTGGATCAGACGGACAACCTCCGAAGGAGGTGAGTAAACTTATTAATTCCATATACGTTTCACGAAAAGGACGTCAAAGTTTATATGCCCTTGCAGTTATTGAGACTACTATGACAGCTTTAAAATATAGTTGTCTGATATTGAACAAATTAAACAGTTTTTAAGAGACTTTAAAATGGGATTATCTTCAAAACAAAAGAATTCTTAAAATTGTTGAAACCTTGAAATTGCCTTTTTAAATAAATGAAGAACTATAACATATACAAATACGTTGAAAGGCCTAAAATCAAGACGTGGTTGAGGAAAAGAAATTCGACTTTTATTTTTCAATTATATTTCAAGAATATGACGAAAAATCGTGCTTAATTATGCGGGGTAATCGACCTTCAATGCACACTGTAAAGAACTTTTAAACGCTGTTTAGTTAAGTCTCAATAACCTGATATAATTAAAAACTCTTAATATGTTGAATTATCACCAGCCTTACAAATACATACTTGCTTAACCTCAACAAAAAATAAACTTTAGGATTCTATATTCCCAATTGGGACTCTTTAACTACAGATAGTTTCCCAGTTGGGAATGGTTTGGCTCAATAAGTCTAAATAGAAATCGGTTCGAAAAAACCCCGGGGTGCTATAAATAATGCTTGTAAGCACGTGCAAAGCAAAAAGCTTGTGGTGAAATGTTAAAAAGTAAACACAGTAGATACTGGACAGGAGAACCTAAGGCAACAAACAGTATGCTGTTATTATTCTTTAAATTTCATCCAACTTATAAATACTGAATATTTATATTTTTGATACATTTCTTTTTAAATTTTAAATTTTTTATTAATTTTCTAATAAAGGTTTAAATTTTTTTTTTTTTTTTTTTTAACGCCTTTTTATCTGTATCTTTTTATCAATGTCTACTTTATCTGAATAAGGTGAGGTGTTTTTTCGACTGATATCCACTGTACTTATAGTGTGGATATAAAATTGCTGGGTGGGGGGTGTTGGGGATAAAAACTTCCTAGTCGCATACACGTTCACACACTAGCACCCATAGTACGCTCACCTGTCAATATGTGTGCGTTTTGATCATGTGGTTCCATGGAAACTGGTTTGGAGTGTGGCCAGATGAAAGGCTGGCTTAGAGAGACCTCGAATGGCACGCCATCCAATACAGGCACTTGCGAATTTGGTCAGTTTAAAACAAATCCAAGTGAAAACACCAGACGGGAGAACAGAGTGGGAGTAAAACCGAAAGAGAGCGAAATTCGTACTGATAACGGGAGGCTTATCGGTATTCTGTGCTCCCGTTCGCGATTCAGTTCGCGAAAATCAATCGTTTCGGACGGTCGCTTGCGCGTCAAATTCTCAAGCCTGCTTTAATTACGCTCGTATTTGTGGAAAAAACAATAACAAAAACCTTGCTTATCGCCAAATGTGTTGTATCTATGTGTTGGTGTGACGCAGTTGTGCGAATACGTGAAATTATTACAATTTTTCCCTCAACCATTAAACCAGCCCAACAACACTCTTGAAAAACCGCGAACGAAAGTGTTACGTCTCTCTTTTCTTGTAATTAACAACAACAAAAATCATACCAACTTACCTTGACGTCATTTGTTTTTTTTTATTATTATACTCGTACATCGGACGACAAAAAGCGCTAGTGTTTGTTGTTTTTTTTTTGTGGTAGCTGCTGGTGCTTGGCACGAACTTTTAATCAAAACTTGGCCAACTGGTATTGTTGTTGGCTCAGTGCGTAAACAAAAAAGAAAAACTGCTGGCGAAAAAAGCGAGCGTAAAAATTTGCATTAATGCAGTCGCGTCGCATGAATGAATGAAATTCTTAGTGCGCGACAACAAATTACGAAAGCAAACAAAAAAAGAAAAACAAATAAACCATGGTCTACACAATACCGTTTTTTAGCCACAATGACCCGCCAGACGACATGATCATCACCAAAGAAAAAAGGTAAAATACCCCAAAAGTATCTCGAGATGCACTGAGTCACTGAATCTCAAAGATTCACCGCTGACCTATGCATAAAAAAGAAATGAGAAGACGCCGCCAAATATTCGCGTTCTATGAACCACACGCCAAAGGTCAAAACGTGCGAACTTAATGCTTTTTTACAAATTCATAAATAAACAAAAGGTTTTTTGACATTTTCATGGCGGGTGTTGCTAACTGCGTGCGAGTAGGACGGCTGTATGTGGAAACAAGAAATCAGTAAAGAACGGGTAACAGGTATGCCTCCAAATATTGGAATACTTATGGGTTTAATCTTCTTGTCAGAAAAAAGTCATGATCAGGGGGAGAATCACTATTGCCAATGCTGATAAACTGGGCAAATTACGTCTGACTTCATCTTCTTTATAAACGATAAAGAAATCCAAAATGATAAGAATTAATATTTACTATTTCTAAAATAAGTTTCCAAATATGACACAAACATTTTTTAAAAATATGTCCGAAGAGATAATAAGCATATTGTCAAAAAAGTTAATTTGAAAAGATACTTACTGAGGATATATAAAATATATAAGAATCTTTATTTTAAACGATAATATTTCAATGATAAGATGTGCTGTATGTATCTAACAACTACCGACATTTGCTATTCATTTCATTTTAATGATTGAATAACCAATATAATAATATAAGTATTTGAGTCACGTGTTCATCTCTAGTATTAATACTAATGCTAAACGAAATCTGAACAGAACGGTAGATTGACGGCTTATAAAAGCGTGGGTGCATGAGTGTAAGTGTTTGGCAGGTGAATTCACCTAACAGACTTTCTACTCGGGGTTGTTGTTATACTGCTATTCTGGCAGTGATAAATGATAAATGTTTTTTCACCTGCTGCCGCTTTTGCACTCCACCCCCTTCCCCAAGCCCATTGTCCTGTGTTTATTTATCTTATCGGACAGAAAAGCAAACACGAATTCCAACAGGAAGGCTTTTTGTGCGCGTAGAACTGAAATTCGAGCGATCACTTCTATAATATTTATTTGCACAGGCTTTTTTTTTATCAAAGTTCACTTTTTTGTGCGCCTTCACTGTGTCAGCACGAAAAATGATAATTATGGCGTGTGTAAACATAGAAATCGCGAAAAGCACTTCGATTATCATACGAACGATTTACTGGCAATAAACTCTGTGTATTGCGACGTTTTTCTTTTATTTCAATTTATGATGCTGGGTGTAATGCTATTTTTATATCACTGATGTTTTTAAATAAAAGATTACATAAATCAATAAGAAATGACTATTTAAAAGTTATGCGTAATCGCCTTATTTATAGCAAAATTTTTGATTGATAGATAGCCTGCCATAAACATTTTAGTTGATAATAATGGCGCCCACTGAAAAGTAGAGTTTGTTGATAAAGGTATTGGAAGTTTTGTGGTTCTGATTTTTATACCCTTGCAGAGGGTATTATAATTTTGGTCAAAAGTGTGCAACGCAGTGAAGGAGACATCTCCGACCCTATAAAGTATATATATTCTTGATCAGGATCACCTCCTGAGTTGATATAGCCATGTCCGTCTGTCCGTCTGTCCGTCTGTCTGTTTCTACGCAAACTAGTCTCTCAGTTTTAAAGCTATCGGATTGAAACTTTGCACACACCCTTCTTTCCTTTGCACGCAGTATATAAGTCGGAACGGCCGGGATCGGCCGACTATATCCTATAGCTGCCATATAACTGATTGATCGGAAATGCCATAACTTTCGTGTTTGTAAAGTTAGGAAGTTGGGATTTTCTATGGGTTTTATATTTGGCCAATCAATCCAACCTACCAAATTTCATAAGGATCGGCCGACTATATCCTATAGCTGCCATATAACTGATTGATCGGAAATGCCATAACTTTCGTGTTTGTAAAGTTAGGAAGTTGGGATTTTCTATGGGTTTTATATTTGGCCAATCAATCCAACCTACCAAATTTCATAAGGATCGGCCGACTATATCCTATAGCTGCCATATAACTGATTGATCGGAAATGCCATAACTTTGGTGTTTGTAAAGTTAGAAAGTTGGGATTTTCTATGGGTTTTATATTTGGCCAATCAATCCGACCCACCAAATTTCATAAGGATCGGCCGACTATATCCTATAGCTGCCATATAACTGAATGATCGGAAATGCCATAACTTTGGTGTTTGTTAAGTTAGGAAGTTGGGATTTTCTATGGATTTTATTTTTGGCCAATCAATCCGACCTACCAAATTTCATAAGGATCGGCCGACTATATCCTATAGCTGCCATATAACTGATTGATCGGAAATGCCATAACTTTGGTGTTTGTAAAGTTAGGAAGTTGGGATTTTCTATGGATTTTATTTTTGGCCAATCAATCCGACCTATCAAATTTCATAAGGATCGGCCGACTATATCCTATAGCTGCCATATAACTGAACGATTGGAAATGCCATAACTTTGTTGTTGTTAAAGTTAGGAAGTTCGGATTTTTTATGAGTATTAAGAATGCATCATATGAATAATTTTGGAGAATATAATTTACAGAGTATTCTGCAAGGGTATATCAACTTCGGCTCCGCCCGAAGTTAGCTTTCCTTTCTTGTTTTAATTAAAGCTTTAACACTTAACATTTTCCAAAATTTGGTACCCTCATTAGTGCTCTTTTATTGAATAGTGTCTCCCTAGCCATTTTTGACCGAATAGCATTTTCCAAAATTCGGTACCCCCATTATTCCCCTTTTATTGTATGGTGACAACAAAACTTTTCTCTATCCATTTTTGATAGGCTTGGCCGATTATGCCTATGGAATGCGTAACTTTCCATTGGGGGAGCACAAGAGAGTATAAATTCTTGTCCGACGATATAAAATATAAATTAAATAAAAGATTACAGGTGTTGTATGTGATACACCCATGTACACCATTAAAAACAAAACCCTTTTTCACCGTTTATTGGTGTCGATATTGGTGTTTATTCAAAAATCAAATAATTTTATTTTTTCCATTTTTTCGTAAAAATTACTTATACGACCAAAATGCGTATGAGTGATAATGTTGAAATACAAAGCGCAGTCCCAAAAGCGTATTTACAATAAATATATAATATGGCTTAAATGCAGCAATGCGCACCTTAAAAATTATTGTACAAATAACTTAAAAAACTTTGTATAAAACATGCTAACATACCGACACCACATAATTTACTATGGCAATTTTATTTATAATTTTGCAAGTCTATAAATAGTTGTTGCATTCAAACAATCGGCATCACAAGGAGAGTTTTTATCTGGTTCCCGGAATTATAATTGTAATACTTATGATTAAAACGTTTAACTGGCATATAATTAATTCGTTGGAATTTTAGAACAGATTTAATACAAGTTTCATTTGTTAATATCGAAGGTGCCCATCTGGTTATTTGTTTTACGCAGTTTAAAAGATGTCAACAGCGAAAAAGTTTAAATAGGGTTTTGGGAAGAATCTATAAATATAAACCGCAATTAAAAGATGGAAATTACAAATCAAATAAAATTTTAAAAATATGATTTGATTTAATTTACAAACATTTAAACTTAATACATATATTTATTTCCTTACAGCATGGCTTGCCTGCAGGATGAGTTCGGTCACCTGGGCATCGCCGCCACAGACCTGCCCTTCAAGTCCGCCGACTTGGACTCTCCGCCCCGCCTCCAGCATCACAACAACTATGCGGAGATCACGGACAGCAGTGCGGAAAACACGTGCCAACAGCGCTGGCCACCTCACGTGGGAGGAGCGGCGGCGAACTTCGGACATCCGGACAAGCCGATTGGCTGGATGTACGGACTGCTGGGATGCATGAAGCCCGTGCTGTCGTTTATCGGAAAGACGGGCGTGATCGAGGTGAAGAGTCAGCGGAGCGAAGACTGGCAGATTCCCTTCGAGTCTATCACGGATTTGGAGTGGCTCGGAAGTGGAGCACAGGGAGCCGTCTTCAGTGGCAAGCTAAAGAACGAGATTGTTGCTGTGAAGAAGGTTAAGGAACACAAGGAAACTGATATCAAGCATCTCAGGAAGCTCGATCACGAAAACATTATTAAGTTTAAGTGAGTATGGAAATTGCAATTGTTTAATCTGGCGAAATCTATTGTATTATTTACTAAAATCCCTTAAACTCAACGAATTTTATTTTTATAATTTTTTGTTAACTACCATTAGAAAACTGCCATTAAAAACATTAATTTTTAAGCGATTATTAACGTCGGGCTTAAAATTAAGCAAAATGCCCATGATACAAATTTTTGTTGTTCTTTATCAGTGAAAAAATGCTTAATACAAAACAAAGCCACTTATCAACTCATTGGGTTTTTCTGGCTTAGCTTGTGTTTTGTATTCAAATTTAAATAAAAAGAGAATCGGATTTTAATATTGGTTACCTTTTGCAGGGGAGTTTGCACGCAATCGCCAGTGTTCTGCATCATCATGGAGTTCTGTCCCTATGGGCCTTTGCAGAACATTCTCAAGGAGGGGCAAGTCATGTTACCGTCCCGCTTGGTCTCTTGGTCCAAGCAAATTGCCCTGGGAATGCAATATCTGCATTCCCATAAGATCATACATAGAGATTTGAAAAGTCCCAAGTGAGTCATAGAAAATCAACATGAAAACATTGTTTTAATTGGGACTATTATTTATTTTTCAGCATACTGATTAGTACAAATGAGGTGGTAAAGATCAGCGACTTTGGCACGAGTCGCGAGTGGAACGAGATTAGCACCAAGATGAGTTTTGCCGGCACAGTTGCCTGGATGGCACCGGAAGTGATCCGGAATGAACCGTGCTCCGAGAAGGTGGATATTTGGTCATACGGAGTGGTACTCTGGGAAATGCTTACCTGCGAGATACCCTACAAGGATGTGGACTCATCGGCCATTATCTGGGGTGTCGGCAATAACTCACTCAAGCTGTTGGTTCCGAGCACTTGTCCCGAGGGATTCAAGCTGCTTGTCAAACTTTGCTGGAAGAGCAAGCCCCGCAATCGGCCTTCGTTTCGGCAGATTCTGGCGCACTTGGACATCGCCGGCCCCGAACTGTTGCGAAAAACTGAAAAGCAATATTTTGAGACGCAAAAGTCATGGAAGGAGGAGGTGCGATCGCACCTGAAGGAGATAACCCAAAATGGCACTAGCATACACAAGTACGAGCAAGATCTGATTAAACGGCGCACGGCAGAGTGGCGACATGCCCAGGATATCCGAATGGTGTACGAGGAGAAGCTGCAGAAGACGAACCAGCTGTTCTTCGAGCTCAGCGAGTGCATGTCCCAGTTGCAGGAGAAGGAGAAGGAAATCGCTGAGTAAGTGCAGGAGTGTAGCAATGAAATAAGTTTAAAATGATAACCCCTATATATTATTTTTAGACGTGAACGAAAGCTACCTGGCAGTGGCTATAAGCCGACGCGACGATTGGGTAATACACTCAGAAAAATGCAGCATTATCGCCGACGACTGAACGCTCCACAGGCCGCCATTCAACAACAATCCACTACGCCAGATCCAGAAACTACGCCGGAGGTACAACTCATTTTATTGCTTTAATGTATATATTCACCGGACGACTGCTACATTTGTCAAGATTAAATATATTGCTCATATATAAGAAAGATTGCTATGGACGAATTTTCGGTACCCATTTATTTAAGGAGTCGATAAGTGCTTTCATTCAATTTTTATTTTCAGTTAAAAAATAAAATTAAAGTCAGAAATTTTTTTAGCAATCTAATTCCATTGAAACTTTGTTAGGTAATTGACCCCTTATAGGATATTATCGTATATGGTATATCATGGGCTACTTGAGTGGAATGTTATCTTAAGGAACAACCAAGATTGAACATTAATCATTTTCGATTAGCATAATGGAACATAGTGTGAAGAAAATAACATCTTATATTTTGCAGTCTCCTGTGAAGTGTGTGCTATATGCCCAATTGGACAGCAATTGCCAGCCCAAATCTTATCTGGCCAACATAATCCCAGGCAGCGGCATTGGCGGCACGATGCCAAACAAAAACAAAAAGAACTTCCGGCATCGACGCAACGGCTCCGGATCTTTTGGCGCCCCACCCAAATACAGTCCGACGCGAGATCGTCGCTACCTGAGCGAACCGGAGAACCGAAAGGTTCAGCTGGTGGAGCGGCAAACGCAAACAGATGCCATGGATGTCAGTGAAACGGACATTAGTCCCAGCGCAGAGGCTCCTCAATCTCAACCCATCGATGTGCCCGTCCCGAATCATCGCCAGCTGCCGCTGCAACTGCAAAGGGTACAGAAAATTGCTCAAGCTCAGGCGAGGGCACGCAGCGGAAGCACTTCATCCGCTGCTGGTGTCCTGAATCCTGCCTGTCCGTCGAATGGCAACTCGCTGAGCACTAGCGAGCTGACCTACCAGGATGCCTGCTCTAGTCCCGATCAGCTTATTGACGATGTTATGAACAGCAACGAGCGATTGGACATGACCGAATGCTGTAGCGACAATGAAAACCTGGATCGCCTGGGACGCAAAGTCATTGAATTTATCAACGAGAACCGCCTATCTATTCAGTCCAACACGAATTCCAACAGCAACACGGAGAACGGAAATGGAGGAGGAGCTTCGCCTGTAGAATTGCGCGAGAGTGGTAACAGTCCGTGCTTGAGTCGATGCAGCAGCACGCAGAGCAAACGACGGAAGCACCCGATGGGAGATAACCCCAACGGAAGTTCGATAAGCATTGCCAACGGAGAATCCCACGAGCAAGACAGCTGGTCAGATGAGGAGGGCGAAACCACGGACTACAAGCACGCCCTGAGGAGAAGGAGGTGAGGATTGGAAATTTATTTGTGTGCAATAAGTTTGGACAACAAGATTAATGTGAATTATCTCCCAATTTCAGTTTTGGCCGCCTGCCCATTGGTCGTGGTATGCGACCGCGTCGCAGCTACAAAGCTCCACTCTCGCAAAAGATTGCCATCCACAAGCGCAATGCCGTTATCGTCACCGACGAGGAGGAGAACACCTCTGAGTACAGCCACTCGCCCTCGAGTCAGCACTCGACGCTCGAGAGCAATACGGATATTGCAACGGCCATGAAGAAAACCCAGGACACATCCACCTCAACCAACAGCTATAGCGATCCCGACGACGATTCGAGTGATTCCAGCGACGAGGAGCAGGGCAATCGGGTGGCGAAGGCCAGGACAGTCGAAGGTTCAGCGTTGCCGATGGGCGCCGTGCGCAGCAGCGATATTATATCCATACCCACTTTTGAGGCTGATGGCGCCGTCAATATGGTCTAACCTAGTACGATATCTAGCCTAAGTGAGAACTCCTAAACTAATCCCGAAACTAGAGTTGTCCACGTTACACAGCAAAAACTATCTCCTATATACTCAACGAGAAATCGCCCCAAATTGTATGGTATTATCTATGTTCATGTCCAGATCTAAAACTCTTTTCTAATTTATATGTAAACGTGTAATTGGAATTCAGCCTTCAAGCGTTGACCGTTTCGGAGGATTTGATTCTAATACACATAAGAAGGAAACAAAAACCTTTTGGGTTGGGGCAATCTTTTTCGTGTCGTACTCGTATCCATGCATTTCCTATTTTGCTGAATATAATTTCGCATTAGATTTAGTTAATATTACTATTATTCTTGTCCTTAGATAGCTGCCTTTGTAATATATTTTAAAAATGCCCTATTGTACATGTAATTATAGCTATTAAGCATAGTTTTTGATTCGATAATAAGAGCTTGAACCACAACACAAAAGGAAAACCCACAAAAACCGAACTACAAAGCAACAAAATAGAATTGGCCTCAGGCATTAAATAGTAACGAAATGTAAGAGAAGAAATAGTCAGGGATATTTTTTATAAAGCAAAATTTGCTGAGAACTTGAAAGGAACGTGTTTTTAAAGAAGCGCATTGTACGTATAATTTTGTAGACGCATTCGAATGAAAGTTTCCGAATTATGCGGGGAATTTGCCATTCGAAAAATCTTATTTCTATATGCACAAAATTCCAAGCTTCAGTGCCTTAATGCAAACACAAAAAAAGAAAAATGGTAATACATTTTGGAGAAATTAAATGATAATCTGGTAAATCTGACCGCGGCTATGACGTGGCCATGAGCACTTTCTAGACCTTATAAACAACTTATGGAGCAGATAACAATATATTTTCGCCCCTCTGGAAATCGTTCATCAGCTGCAAAACGAATTACAAATTTAATATAATTCTATATACACTCAATATATATATATTCTATATATTTACACACTAGTTGGATGTTTAGCTTCGTAAGATATGTCGCTTCTTCGTGCGCGACTTTTCCCTACATTATGTGAATGTACTCAATATTAAGTTTAATTTTAACGAACTCATACGAATTAGCAATAATAATAAAATGAAAACATGAAAGAACGCTATAATCCTTGGTCGACCGTGTTTATTTTAGAAAATCTTCGATAAAAAAACCAGAGCTTAAACAATTCTATATAATGAAATTAAAATTTTCAAAAAATATATAGTCTTAGAAATTTTGAAAATTTTATTAAAAAAACCTATTAAATGTGATGTACGTAACTTTCGCATGTCTCATAAGATCATTATAATTTAATCCACCAGTTCAGCTTATTCCAAATTTTATTCTGGCCAAGTTAATTTTGAAATGCGATTTTTACGAATGTCAACGAGCCAACAGCTTTTGCAGCCTTTTGTGTGGAGGATCCTTCACTTGGGTGGCCAGCATATTCAGCGCCTTCTCCTCCCGCGAATCGATTATATGGCACACCACCTCCGATTGCTTGCGGAATGCGATCAAGCCGGCTGTGCCCTTGGAGAGATCCAAGTGCCGGAAGCGATCGATGTCGCAGGTGCAGCCATCGAACACGTAGAACCACGTGGCCGCCGACTCCGCCATGTGGGTGGGATGATGTCGGAAGACCACGTAGTTGCCCCACGGCGTCATCGTGAGCACCCGGTTGGCCACCTTGAAGGCGGAGCCCAGCAGCCGGTTAAGGCTCTCCACGGTTCCACTCTCGGATCCAGCGACGGCCAGGAGTTGTGGCACCCGATTGAAGCCGGGGAATCTGGGCACCGCTACTTGGGATACACTGTTCTCCGTGGGATTCTCCATTCTGCAACTGCAGCAGCATTCTTCAGGGTGCTCGTTAAAGTCTTCTATGTTCTGAAACTCCATGTTCGGTAAGGAACTCGTCTCCTGGTCCAAATCGCGTGAAAGTCCCGAGGCAGCTGGCGTGATTAAGTGGGCGGTGGCCACAGGCGCAACCCCAAGGCTATCGGGCTTATCCGCGGATTGCTGGAGTATATCTGTCGGAGCGAAGATTCTTTTTGGTGATTCTTTCACGGCGGTCATTTTGATGAGTGCTTCCTTCAGGAGCATTCCTCCTTTTCCGTTTGTGCAATCATTTCTGGCTTCATCTTTATTGACTATCAATTTCGGACTGGCAACTTTAGTAACCGCATTCCCCAATAACTTGGTGGCAGTATCGAGAAGGGTTTTTTCTTTGGGTTTAGCTAGTTGGGCACCTATCCCCTTGGAAGCCGGACCCTTTAGAGAGCCCTCAATAGTAGTCCTGCCAGGAGATGATCCTTCTCTAGATGTGGATCGTACTTGGGACTTGGTGCCAGTTTGTCTAAGAGTTTTAAACATTTTTTTCATAGGCCTTCCGGAAGATGACCCTTCTTTAGATCGTGAGCGCTGAGGTGATTTTTGAGGAGAGGGGCTGGATGTCCTCCCCCCAGATTCCCTGGAGATTTTTATAATTTTTTTCGTAATCCTTCCTGGTGATGATCCTTGTCTGGACTTAAAACGGACAGGGGAATTGGCGGGGGAAGGGCTGGAAGACCTGTCACCCGTTCCCCTGACGATTGCTCCTGGGGCTTCTTTCTTTGGAAAGCTGTTAATAGTAGTCGAGCCTGGAGATTTGGATCGAACAGGACACTTAGTTGGAGAATGGTTGGACGACCTCCCACCCATTTCCCTGGCGATTGATCCTTGTGCTGCTCCCTTGTGAGACCTCTTAATGATAGTCCTGCCAGGAGATGATCCTCGTCTAGATTTGGAGCAAACAGGGGACTTGGGTCGAGTATAGCTGGATGATCTGCCACCAGTTTCCCTCGCGGTTGATCCCTGGGTGAAATCTACTTTGGGACTTAGCCCATTTGAAAGAGCTTCCTTTCCCAGGATCTTTGTGTTAATCCTGCCAGGAGATAATCCATCTTTAGATCTAGAACATTTTGGGGACTTGGTGCGAGAACGGGTGGAAGACCTGCCTCCAGTTTGTCTGGAGATTTTTGTATATTTTCTAATAATTTTGCCCTCTTTAGATTTGGATCGCTCAGGGGACTGGGAGGGAGAAAAATTGGAAGACGCTCCACCGGTTTGCCTAGAGGATCTTACCAAACCTGATCCTTTAATTGGTATGGGTCTTGTGAATTCCACGTTTTTTTTGCTCAGTGTGGGGATCTCGGGAGACACCCGCTTTTCTTTTAGAAACACATTTCCAGCGGTTTCCCTTTTCTCCTGCTCCTTTTTAAGAATGGGTTTCCTGGATTTTGTAGAGGTTTTAAGGCAATTATTTTTGATGGGCATACAACGACATTCACATCTGCTATTTGATGACCTTTTTGAGGTCTGGACTCTGGAGTCGGATTTGGCTTGGTTGATGCGTTTCTTGCCAGGACAGCGACAACGTGACTTGGTTTCCATCTCCTCCTCGCACATTTCACACTCCTCCCCCGCATTCTGTCGCTCTACGTCAAATTTGTCCTCGAGGATTTTAAATTTCTTAATGTCAAACTTGTCGTCCGTGAGACTGACCACATCCTCCTCGTAGTCGCTGATCTCCGCCAGGGATCTATCACACACACTCACTCCTTGCTGCTCATTGAAGAATATGGGTTCGTTCAGGGACTTTACATCGTGGTTGTCCACATCCTCGGGCGACGGAGCCAAGGCGTATCCCTCGGGACACTCGGCGAGATTACGGATACGGATTACATGCAGATAGTAGGCCGACTGCCGGTTGGACTCCATCAGCAGCTGGTGGAACACGCTGAGCATGGTCAGCTGGTCGCGGAACATGCGCACCGTGGCCCACTTGACCCCATCCGCCTTATCCTCGTCCACATGGGTGCCCACTATGGTGTGGCGATAGGGATCGAGCAGGTAGTAGAACTCATCCTTGGCCCACATGGCATACATCTGATTGTTGATCTGGAACACCACGTTCCCGTACTCCTTGAGAGCCTCCAATACGTGAGCCTGGAAGTCCGTGCCAATAATACGCACTCCGCATTTCCAGTGACCCGTCCTCACATTCGGAATCAGTTTCAGCTCGAGCACATACTGACCCATCCGAAGTTGGGTGGGAAAGGTGTCCAGATCGATGGGTCGTCGATCCCTCAAGCAATCCGCCCAGCAATTACGGCATAGCTCCACTCCATAGCAGATTAAGCGATCCAGCATATTGGTGTCCCAGTTGGCCGGGTGATCGATTTTGCTGGCCAGGATTGAGCCCACGGCCACCATCAAGCTGCTGCGATTCCTAACCGGATCATTTTGGTTCAGCGAGAGATGCAGGGTACCCTTCAGATAGGCATAGCTCTTGTTCACCACCTTGAATTCTATGGATCGGTGGCTAGTGTCGCGCATATAGATGCGCCCATCTGGGGTCTCCAAACGCACCACCACCAGTTCCCGAATGGTGAACCCATCTTCGGGGGAAATGCCACTCAAGTTGCTGGCCAGATGGACCACATTATCGATGGTTTTCAGGCACACCAGCATGGCCACTCCATTGTCCACGACGGTCTGCAGGTCATCCCTCCTTCTGCCCTTCACGTCCAGCACAAAGAATACTCTTTTGCGCCGCCAGATGAGCAAGTGACCAACTCGGGTGAGAAGAAGACAGTAGCGACTGGATTTAAAGAAGCTAAGTAGCACGGGCCTCAAATTCTTGATGGTATGGGAGGGCTGCTGTTCCAGGGGCTTCGTCCCAGCTCCCAGATAACGAGGTTCCAATGCCAAAGTAAAGGTGTGCCCTTCGAGATTAAAATTCCTCTTAATCCGCTTCTCCTCGTTGGTGTAAATCTCCGGCTGAAACAGCTTATTATCCTCCCCATTCTCCTGCTCTTGTTCCATTTCTGAGCTGGTCCGGAATAAATCAGAGCCCTCCTCCAGCAGCATGTCGATCTTCTCGGACGTCCAATCGACTTCCGGCAGGACATAAATCAAGGCAAAAGCCTTCAGATAGGTGGCGAAATTAAGGACATTCGCCTCCTGCTGTTTAGGGGAAGATCCGCAGGGATTGTTCAAGATGGTATTGGAGCAGACCAGACCCACGGGACTGCCCAAGGAGTCGGCCTCCACTTCCGAGCGATTGGGCACCTTCTCGCAGAATTGCCAGTGATCGCAGCTGGGTTCCTCCATGGAAGATCCTCCGCCGTAGAACTTTCTGCCCAGATCCTGATCAGCGTAGCTAAAGTACCTAAGGATAATCAGGAAAACGGATCAGTTTTAACCATTTCCGGCACCTGAAGTACCCCTCACGTATTGCTCGTGTGGCTCTTGTTGAACCGAGGACAACAGCTCGGCGTGCTGGCCATACGACACAGATCCTGTTGGCTGATCGGCATCCTCGGCGGTCTGGAATTCAAATTTGATACAAACAAAATTTTTCACTTTTTTTCAGTTTTTGTTCTACTGGAATTTTAGTTGAATATTGCAAAAAGGCAGCATTGATTACTAGCTGAATCACAAAATAATATATTTTACTTTTACTTCGAATTTTGGTCAAGATATCGGATTCAAATACAGGAAATTAAATAAGGAATAAATAAAAATTTAAGATAAACTCAAAAATAAAATAAATCTAAACATTTCGAGAAATTAACATTTACATTCTTATTCAGTAAAAATTACATAAAATTTTGTTGATGCTTTGATATTTTTTTGTAATCAATTTGACTTAATTTAAATTTGAATTGAGTTGCAATATGCAACAACCTGTATTTTTAACTGTTGACTTGTGCTGCTATCGAATATAATATTTTTAAATGAACTTTTTAAGCTTTTCTCTTTTGACATCGTTTAAGTAAAACTTAATAATAACAAAGGAAACGCATAGTTTAGTAATTAATTTAATGTATACATATATATTTAACTGTTTGTTTTAATTAATAGTTACTTAAAGAGAGGGACGAGTACTAGAGTGTCCGAATCGGGGGTTCCCTCAAGTCGTCGACCATAGCGGCGTGTGTTTGTGTGAGTGAGAGGCTGAGTGTGTGTTTTTGTGTGGTCATTGGACTGCCGGCAGCTCTCAACATTCCATGGCCAGCGAGTTGGAGTTCTCGTTCAGGGCCTTGATCCCGTTCTCGATGGGCATGGCCAGGCTGTTGTCGTCCTCCGGCTGGACAACGACTGACGCCGCCTCCGATGTGGACGGTCCATCGGTGACCATCTCGTCATCATGGCCGTTCTCCACGCCGTTGCCATTGCCATTGATGTGCCCATAGTCCCAGTTGATCTTGAAGCGGGTGACGCGCGGCTTGCTGGCCAGGATGTTGCGCGTTAGTTTGTCGAACAGGGGCTTCGGTGGCGGATTCTCGCGCATCTCCGGATCCGCATAGTCGTTGTTCACATAGTAGCCCACGCGGACGAACTCCTGGCCGCGATACGAGCAGGTGAGCAGGACAATGGTGACACCCACTGCATCTGGTTCCGGGATCTTGGTGACATCTGGTGGATCTGCCTGGAAAACGAAGATGTGACGCCCCTCGGGCACCGGGCCGACATATATGGTGTCCAGCACCTGGTCGTGCTCCTCGGACTCCGCCGAACCCACATAGATCATCTTCCACTCCAAATCCTCCTTCAGCTCCTCGATGCACTCGAACGTCAGCTCGAACTGGAAGGGATTGAAGAAGCTGCTCGGATTGTCCAGCACCACCACATTGGTGATGTGCACCTTGGCCATGGTTACTGTACCTCGTGGATTGGGTTGACTTGGGAAATGTGCAACGAGTTTTTCCAGACGCCTACGACGGCGCGCTTTTTTTTTTTTTATCAGGTTCTGCTTTTGTTCTGTACGCAGGAATTGCCTGCCCTGTTGAAATTCCCCTACAAAAAACTCGACAAACACTTGCTTTTCGTGACGCAAAGCTAGCTAATTGTTTGCGTATTATTTTGTCTCAGGTTTGTGTACTTTTTAGGCGGTCTTTTCAGTTTATTTATCGCAATATTTTCACCTTCCTTGCTTGCAAAATTTGTGATGACAGCTGACGGCTTTCCCGCGCTTCAGTGTGACCGTTCTTTGGAGCAAGCGGGGGATAGAAACTCACCTCGGAAAGTAACGGAATGTCAAATAAGAGTCCCGGCTAACTGTGGAGCTTGTCTCCGCTGCCTTCGGACTAAGTCCCTGCTAACTGCTGAGTGTATCACCTGGGGAGTAAGTCCCCGTTAATGTTAACATTTCAACACTGTAAAAAATGTTTGTTAATCAAACTGCAGTTTCGGTCTACGCAAGCTAGTCTCTTAGTTTTAAGGCTATCTGGGTGAAACTTTCCCAAAAGTCTTTAAGGCAATTTCGAAATTACATATGTAATTACATGTATTAAGTTGTTTATATAATATTTCATCTGAAAAATGAAATGCTATATGAACGATCAAAATATGTATGAATTACTGACTTTATTGTTTTAAGCACACGCAAAATTGATATACAACTACATAAATTAGGAAGAAACATCGATGCTACGCTTTTATACAATTTCTTTTTCAAATATCGATAAGACATCGATGTTTTCCGCCAAAAACAACCAATCATCGATGTCCGAAAACATCGATGTTACTCCACCTCTATTTGTGGTGTTCTAATTTGTGGGTTTTCTTTGTAAATAGTTGAAGTAATGCTGCACCTGACGGGCCAGAACTACAATGCCCGCGACATAATCCGGAACATCTTCTCGCCGCTGATCGGGGTGCTGTCCAGTCCGCAGGCGGACGAGATTTGCCACCGGAACAATCTGTCCTTCGTGGAGCTCCTGCAGCCGTTCGCAAAGTTGCCAAACGATGGTGGGTAAATGCAAATGGTCATGGGAATGAAGTGGGTGGATGTGAATGGGTGGACGAGTGAGGTAAACAAGGCACAGCTGGGGCCAAGAAAGTGGCACATCTGATAACCGATTCGTCTCGGCTATTAAACATTATGGTTTGCTTTGGAAACAAAGAAATGGGCGGTATATTTACAGCTTTATGTTTGTATACCGTCACCAAGTCATGCACTTTTTAAAAGTTTTCTTAACCTACAATGTATAAAATATAATCAATACATAATATAATCCATTTCAGCACACTTTCGCGATGTTTCCGGGACGAGTGTTTCCGTTCGTGGACTACGCCTTAACTTCTGTGATGTAGACTGGCGGCCGCCTCAAACAGTTTTGGCCAGGAAGATGCTCAATGAGTCGGTGACCAATGCCCACAATGACAAAACCAGACTGGTCACTATAGGTAGGCAATCTATTGACCAAAATGTACATGCTGCTAACCCAGTTTGCCACCCTCTTCCAGCTGACATAGACCTCGAGCTGCCCACCTCGGAGCCCTGGTTTGAGCAATGGCGTGAGACCTTTTTGACTGTGCAATTCCCGGCGGATCATGAGTTCACACGCCACCTACTGAGCTGCTTGCTGGTGCTGTCCAGCGCGGATCCCCAGATCGTGGAGACGGCACACAAACTGGGACAACGGGTGCAGCAGATGCAGAGCATCACGCCGCAGAAGCTGCCCAAGTGGTTCCACCCCACCGAGGTCCTCAACAGCTATGTGGTGCTGCACGAGGCCAGCCAAGGGGATTTGTCCAAGGCGCAGCAGGGATTTGAGCTGCTGAGGTCCACTTTCGGCGACAGCAAGTGTTTCTTGCTGTCCGTCAACTCGCTGGATGGTCAGGGTGCAGCAGAAGTTCCAGATCACTGGGTGACGTTTATCAAAAGGCAGCCTAAAAGCGACGCAAATGTACCCTCGACGGATCTGAGCGCTCCCAAATCCCCACAGGAAGCGGTATCTGTTATCAGTATGCCCGCCATGCAGATGTCACAGCTCCTAGAAGGAGCCACAGTTCAGGATAGCGATCTGGCCATGCTGCATCCGCTGAGTCCCATGCAGGAGAGCGCCACTGAGGCAATTAACTCAAAATTTAGCATCAGCAGTGAGAGCATCGCTTCCCAAACCATCAATCCCAATGTGTGGGCGAATGAATTGGAAGCTGATGCTCCACATGGCGGATGTCTGACCAGTCGGGACATCGACAACCTGCGACACTTCGTGCAGGACTATGCTGTACGCGCGTTGATACCCTACATTGAGCATCTGGTGGCCATTCTCGCCGAAGGAGTGACCAACAAAAAGGGCGTCAGCAAATCCCTGTTAAGCGCCACTAAACGGTGGTTCGTTACCAGCAAGCCGGGAGCAGGAGCAAACAATCAAAATGCAGTCATGTAAGACGTCTTAAGTATTATTAAAAATTGTTCATCTATATATTTGGTTTGTTTTTAGCTACACCAATGAATCCGCGGAGTTGCAAACTCGAAAGTTGGGCGATCTCTACTTCATGTTTGGTCATTATAATTTGGCTTTTCAGGCCTATCATCAGGCCAAACGAGACTTCAATGCGGACTCGGCCTGGCAATACTATGCGGGCGCCTTGGAAATGGCTGCACTATCCGCCTTTATGTTGGGTACTGCCCACCGCAAGACCTATGACTATATGGAGGATGCAATTGTGTGTTATCTCACCGTGTGCAAGTAAGTCGCTTGTGGGACTATTTGAACTTTTCATAAGATTTCAGATAATTTTGTTTTTACAGATTACAGCAATTTGCCACCAGGGCAACGCTCCTTAGCATGGAATGTTTGAAAACAGCTAGACTCTATAGCGACGTGGCCAAGCAATTGATTCGCATGACCAATGAGGAGTCAGATCTCAGATCAGCTCTGTTGTTGGAGCAGGCAGCCTACTGTTTCCTGGTGACCCAACCGCCCATGCACAGGAAGTATGCCTTTCACATTGTCCTGGCCGGGAATCGTTACTCCCGAGCTGGCCAAAGGAAGCATGCGTATCGCTGCTATCGACAGGCCTACCAGGTCTTCCAAAAACGTGAGTGGAGCTTGGCTGAGGATCACATTCAATATACGGTGGCCAAGCAGGCCTATATGCTGAAGCAACTTGAGGAGGCCAGTCGTTCCTTTGCCCACTTGCTGAGGCCTGGAAGCCTTCAAAGTGCGCAACAGCAGACCAGTTTCCTGAAGGAGTATATTCAGACGCAGAATGTAAGTTGAACATTACATTTTTCTGTTTGATGTATCTTGTGTGTAGAATATATTATCTGAATATTTTACTTATATATATAACATATCTTTTAGGAACTCCTAAAGCGCAGTCCTGAGTTGGGACTACTACCGCATGCCTTACCCCAAGTAGTGCAATCTTCCATTCGTGTTCTTACCCTAGTGCAATCCCCATCGGCTCTGGCACCCCAAGTGCCGGCCACCAACATAGACATTAACTCCAATCTGACGGCAGATGAGTCCGTTTGGAATAAGATTGAAGAGATGCTCGTTATTACGGCTGCCAATAATAAGCCTTTTGTGTTTAAACCGTCGCGATATTTGTTTACGAAGCAACAGCCTGCAATGGAAACTCCAGTTGCAGTGCAGGGTGAACCCATCGAGCTGGCTGTGACCCTTTCCAATAGCGTTCGATGTGGCATAGCCCTCTCCGAGATTGATCTACTATGGAAACTTACTCTGGACAATGAGGAGGTTCTGTCCAACGCTTGCGTTTATGAGGAATCATCGGATAGTGCCAGCAAAATAGCTGTGGGAGCTGCAATTAAAACTAGTTGCGTAGCTTCCATTGAACTGGCAGAACAGGCTGAGCAAACTTTGCACTTTAAGCTGACACCCAAGTTGACTGGACGCCTGAATGTTCTCGGAGTGATTTGTCGAGTAGCGGCCAGTGCGGACCCTGTAGCCAGTCTCCTGGGAACCTTGCAGTTCGAGACGCAGAAGATTAGACCTCACAATGCTAAGCAATCCTCGCAGACTGTATTGGACAATAGATTGACCATCAAATTGATTCCCCAACTACCCGCCATGAATGTAAGCTTTAGTCCTGTCCCCAGTAAACTTTTGGCTGGAGAAATTATACCTGTTTCTGTGACCCTTCGGAACCTGGGAATTGCTCCGATTGAGGAGATCTACTTGGGATGCGATAACCCGCGCTGTGTGTCACTCTTGGATCAGCACAGCCAAATGCCACTGGCAATGATGAGTTGTAAGTAAATAACAAACATCAAATGAGCACATCGTTTTAAATATTACGCTTTATTTGTAGCTCTTCGCAATCTGTCCAATGACAAGCTCGTTAAGGACAAGGAAATTCGTGGACAACGAGTTTTTCGACTGCTACAACGTCCTGGACAGGCTGCCTTGGATGCCCAGCAGGTTCATACCATCTCCATGTGGCTGCAGGCTCCACATCAGGCAGGACCTTTTACCCTTCGCCTTCTTTTCTATTACTCCTTGCCAACGGGAACAAACTCAAACATAAAATATCGTCTGGTTCGCCACATCTGGCAGCTGCAGGTTGAGAGCTGCCTGCAGGCGGACTCCACTTGTGTGGTTAGTAATGCGGTGACCAACGAGCTGGGTCTAGATGTGAACGTAAGAAACCAACATGCGGTTGAAGGAACAGAGGTGTATGTCAACTCGATTTCCTTGTATTCCAAGGAATTTGATTTGAATCCGGATAAGCTTTACAGTAAGAAATGTTTCCAGTCTCTGGAGATTCACAGTAAATCAAAATATATTTTCTTTATAGTCATGAACAGTATGGGAATCAGTCCAGGACAGGCGGGCGCACAGTGCCTCAAGTCTTCCATTTGCTGCAATTTCCAGTGTCGCCTGCAGGAGAGGGACAACAAAGAAGAATTCCAAGACATTCCATCGATCAAAACCTTACTGCAATCTCGACTTTCCCACTTGAAGATCCTGCCAGCCCAACACGCCCAGCAGGTGGAGCAGCATATGCCCACTATCCACGAACCACACAGCTTTCTTTCCAATGAGGAGACGGTGTACTTCAATACCAACATCTCTACGGAGGAGTTCAACGCAAGCATCGCTGGCTATGTGCCACATGCCACTTTGGCCATAAGTTGGAGTGCCCTGGTGACCAGGGAGGAAGGACAGCGCCTGGCCAGTGGCTTGCATTTCATTAAACTTTATAAACTCTTTGAGACAGGTCACTGCCCAGCGGCGCCAGTGGGGGCGTTTCTACGGAGAAGACAATCTGCTGATGACTCTCTGGACAATCGACGGGAGTTTCCACTTCCTGAGGGTGCGGTTAATAATGAGGAAGCCTGCCAACCCCTGGCAGATGCTGATGAAGAGGATTACTGGGAGCCCAATGAAAATGATGTGGGTCATCGGTGCCTTCTGGAGGATGAGAGTTTTGTGATGGCGGTTAAAGCTTAAGTTTTGTCGTCAACTTGTGTCTGTAAATCATTATATGTTATCTGTGAATCGGTTATGAGATGCTAAAAATAAGTGTTGTGACTTTAAATATTTCGATTGGACTGGGGATTTCAAAATTATTGTTAGGACTTTAAAAGTAGTAATCTTTAATACATGCCCTAAGATTGTACCTATACATACATTGTATTGACCAGCAGTCGCAACCTTAACAAAATTAAGATCTCACTGGGTGAAATATGAAGTGATTCGAAAAAAGACGGAGAGTTTAAACTTAAAACCAATATATTAAAGTGGATACATTATATATGTGTATTTGAACGTTTCAATGATATATATATATTATAATAACCCTCTTCTCAGTCTGGGTTTCATCGGATTGTTTAAACTTATTAGTGAGCAAGGAATCGTGGAGTCTTCCAATTGTCTTTAGCGCTTGTGAATAAATTCATAATTTGTTAGTTTATTAATTGATTGATTTAAAAAAAGAATTAGTTAATATTACACTCTAGTAAAATGCTTAAACATGTAACATTAAAGTGTTAATTGCTTTTTGGTAGTTCCTAAGCTGATGACTAGACGAGATGACGTGGTTCTTCGTGGATGTGTGTGTGGAATTCAGTGGCAGCGCAACGTAATAATCTTGTTGGCAGGATTAATAGCATTTATTAGTTAGGCTTAGGTGCGTTTCTTGGTCATGTAAACACGAGCCGTGGCATAGAGGACGTGCGTGCAGGCATATATATTGCCCAGAGCGCTGCCCAAGAGGGCTCCAATCACGTTTGGAATGGGATAGGCCTGCCAGTCGCGTCCCCAGTCTAGAGGCGCAACTACACTTCCAGCCCAGGCGCCCAAAATGCCGCCTAGCGCATTGTACTTGAAGAGATTCAGAGCAGTGTCCTCGCACTTGGTCACAAAGTCCGGTTTCTCGCAGAAGCACACTTGGAGGGCTCCACCGCCCCCGAGAAGAAAGACAGTGGGCGACACTGTCAGCAGAGTCATTAGCAGGGCCAGGACGAAAGTCTGCTCGTAGTTTCCCAGCACAGGAGCTCCCAAAATGATGCATATAAAGGCGTAGAGCAGTGTGCAGAGAAACTGCAGGGTGAATCCTCCTAGGAGCTCTCGCGGCGTAAAGTACGCGGCCTTTTTCTGGCGCTGTTTGACGGTCAGGACGCCATCCTCCACCCGCCCGTAGAATCGGGCCAATACAACTTTCAGCAGCTCGCCCAGAAAAACAATCGGCACCACCAAAGAGTCCCAGAAGCTGCCGAGATGCGCCCAATTCCGGCGATACTGCATGTACGTCATGCAGATCAGGATCGTGGCCAGGCTGAGGGACACGTGGAAGAGCTGGTGCTTGGTCTTTTGTTGGTCGAATCGGGAAACCATGGTTAAATGCGGTTAAATACAATTTTCTGATATCTTCTCTGCCGTCTTTCTGTCCTCCGTTTGTTTTTGTCAGTTTTCAACACTGATTATACAGTTGTTACTGTCAGTTAAACATATTATAATAAGCCAAAAATACAGTAAAATCCATAAATTATTTGTCTGTCGAAAATAAACGATATTATAATTATATAAATTGGGTGGTATACAAAATAACTTAGCTATAAAACATATAAAAACCCAAGCTTATCAAAATCATTTTTAATGAATACCACAAATTGTATATTTATGAGGTAAGTAATATGTTTCATTTTTGAATACCTTTTATTTTTCCATAGTTAATATAATTCCTTTGACAATTTATTTTCAAATGAAGAAATGGTTTATATATAAGGATACATTTTTTTCTAAATTCTTGCTTAAATAAACAAACACCAATTTGCATATATTTTGCCTTGCCTGAATACTTGTATTTTGATCTACCACGTACCTTTACCAGGTATATTTTCAGGTGTATTTATATATGTTACATATAATAGTTTAAAAGATTACATTGAATAATAAAAATAAAGTTCATAAATGGGAAAGCAGAGGTAATGAAACCATTCAATTTATGGTACTGGTACCACTGTGCAAAAACAGCCGCCATCGTTTTGCAACACTACCAGCCGCTGTCATTTCACCAGCCGTCACATAATCACTCCTCACACATTTAGACTGCAAATTGTTTTTATACCATTTCTAGATATTTCTAAGTAAATTGCGAGTGGGAATTGCCGTCAAGATGCTAGCTCGCGCTATCCGAGTGCGTCCTGTGATGCGGGGCATCGCCTCGACGTCGATGTGGACCAGGAACCGTCCCGCCCAGAGTTCCCTGATTCAATACTGCCGGGATCAGACGACGCGCCTTCAGCGATTCCATGGAGCAAATTTGATGGTGCAGCGCTTTTACAGTCGCAAGCGGGACGACCCTGACGAAGATCTAATGGAGAATCAGGGTCCCGAACTGATGTCCGATCGGGATCCCCAGTTGCCGGCCACGGTAGCTGTCCCGGATGTCTGGCCACATGTCCCGCTGCTGGCCATGCGCAAGAATCCCCTCTTTCCGCGTTTCATGAAGATCGTGGAGGTAAAATTAATACTTCTCCAGAAAGTATAGTTTATTTATACCAATATAGCAAGTGTCCAATTTAGTCAACACAGATTGTAGACAGATTCTTTTAGAATAAGCTTTTTTATGTAGACTTTTAAAAAGGTATACATAGACTATATTTTAAATTTATCTATGTAATCACACAGCCCGGTAAATGATCGGTAAAAACTAGCAAACTTATTTGGTATAAATCCGTTTAAAAATCTAGATCAGGCCTCAAATCTGTAGCCACACAAGAGAAAAAAAGATATTTAATAATTCTCTACAGCTAGCCATCCATCTAGTAAATTATACTAAATTTTTGTATTATTAATATACCTAAATTATTCCCAGGTCTCCAATCCAATCATTATGGACCTGCTGCGGCGCAAAGTCAAACTAAATCAACCTTACGTGGGCGTATTTCTTAAGAAATCCGATGGCGAGGAAGAGCTCATCCACAATTTGAATGATGTCTACACTCTCGGCACTTTTGCTCAAATCCAGGAGCTCCAGGATTTGGGTGACAAACTGCGAATGGTTGTGGTGGCCCATCGCCGCATTCGAATCACTGGACAGGTGGTCGAGGATCTGCCACCTCCTAAACCCGGTAAGCTTATTGAACATACATACACTAAGCGCCCAGATCTTGTGACATATGTTTCTGCCCTTAGTGAAAATGACCACTTTGCATTATCCACTATTTAATATAAAATTACAAATCCCAGCTGAAGATCAAACGACTGATCAAGCGGAGGCAGCGTCAATGAAATCGAGATCCGAGACAGCCCGTAAGCCACGTGGCCGGGTTCCCAGGAGTCGGGCTGGCAAGTTACGCGAGCCGGCTGCCGCTGAAGAAATTGTTCAAAGCCAGACACTGGAACCACCACTGAAATCAGGCAAAGTTGAGTCTGTGAGTTCGCCCAAGCCTCCCACAGAAGCAAATCTAGTGGAAGCCACGGCCACTGGACAGCCAGGAGCCGAAGGAGAAGCCACACAAACTTCGTCCAGCCTACCACCTGTACTTATTGTTGAAGTGGAGAATGTTAAGCAACCGTCGTACAAGCAAACCGAAGAGGTCAAGGCGCTGACTCAGGAGATAATCAAGACTCTGAGGGATATCATCACCATGAATCCCTTGTACAGGTATGTCGAGTAGCTTAGAGTACATTTCATGCTTATCTGACTTTTTCTATTTTCAAGGGAGAGTCTCCAGCAAATGCTGCATCAAAACCAACGAGTTGTCGACAATCCTATTTATCTGTGTGACTTGGGTGCTTCACTTTCCGCTGGAGAGCCAGCTGAGCTCCAAAAGATCCTTGAAGAAACAGATGTAAATTTTATTGTACTTGAACCAAAAATGTATTATTAATAAATTCGCTTATTCCAGATTCCAGAACGCCTGCAGCTGGCCCTGACACTGCTCAAAAAGGAACTCGAGCTCTCAAGATTGCAACAAAAAATTGGACGCGAAGTGGAGGAAAAAGTCAAGCAGCAACATCGCAAATATATACTGCAAGAACAGTTGAAGGTCATTAAAAAAGAACTGGGGATCGAAAAAGACGACAAGGATGCCATAGGTGAAAAGTATCGCGAAAAACTCAAGGATAAAATTGTTCCCGAAAGTATAATGACTGTTATTGATGAAGAGCTGACCAAACTGAACTTCCTGGAAAGCCACAGCTCTGAGTTTAAGTAAGGGCTTCTATAGTACATGAATTTCGTACAACTAATATCTCCTATAATTCGTAGTGTAACCCGCAACTACCTCGACTGGCTCACTTCCCTTCCATGGGGCGTTATTAGCACCGAAAACCTCTGTCTGGAGAAGGCCACCGAGATTCTGAACAATGATCACTATGGCATGGAAGATATTAAGAAGCGTATTTTGGAATTTATCGCCGTCAGTTCGCTGAAGGGCACAACGCAGGGCAAGATCTTGTGCTTCCATGGGCCACCTGGTGTGGGCAAGACAAGCATAGCCAAGTCAATTGCTCGCGCTTTAAACCGCGAGTATTTCCGCTTCAGTGTGGGCGGAATGACGGACGTGGCCGAGATCAAGGGTCATCGACGCACCTATGTGGGTGCCATGCCGGGCAAGCTTATTCAGTGCCTTAAAAAGACCAAGATTGAGAACCCCCTTGTGCTCATTGATGAGGTGGACAAGATTGGAAAGTAAGTACATCGCTGAACATCAAACTAGCAAACAAATTAAACAATTATCTCTTTTAGAGGCTACCAGGGAGATCCAAGCTCTGCACTGCTAGAGCTCCTCGATCCCGAGCAGAATGCCAATTTCCTGGATCACTATCTGGACGTGCCAGTGGATCTCTCGCGAGTGCTCTTTATTTGCACAGCAAATGTGATCGACACTATCCCTGAGCCTTTGAGGGATCGCATGGAGTTAATTGAGATGTCTGGTTATGTGGCAGAGGAAAAGATCGCCATCGCTCGTCAATATTTGATGCCGCAGGCGATGAAGGACTGCGGGTTGACGGATAAGCAGATCAACATGACCGAGGATGCCTTAAATATGCTGATTCGTAGCTACTGTCGGGAATCCGGTGTTCGAAATCTGCAAAAGCATATAGAGAAAGTAATCCGAAAGGTGGCCTTCCGACTAGTGAAGAAGGAGGGCGAACACTTCCCGGTAAATGCCGATAACCTGACAACATTCCTGGGCAAGCAGATCTTCAGCTCGGATCGCATGTATGCCACCACACCGGTGGGCGTGGTAATGGGTCTGGCCTGGACCGCCATGGGTGGCTCATCTTTGTATATCGAGACCTCCAGACGGCACATACGCCACGCCGAGAAATCGGATAAGACCGCGGCCAGTGGAACTCTCCACATCACCGGAAACCTGGGGGATGTCATGAAGGAGTCGGCACAAATAGCCTTAACCGTTGCGCGAAACTTTTTGAACTCACTTGAACCTAACAATTTGTTCCTGGAGCAGGAGTAAGTTTATGTTTTCAATTTGATTTGTATGTTGGACTTGCTGGGCCGTTCATTTTTTATCTTATGTTTCTAGTTTATAGTTTGAACACAGACCAATACTTTTATTTTTCATTTTGAAGACATAATTTACCTTATAATTCAGTCTTCCTCACATAACTCATTTTAATTAGGTTTTTTTATTTTGTAATATTATTTATAGTTTATGATTTTTCTAATATATTTCTTTTATTAACAGACACATTCACCTCCACGTTCCTGAAGGAGCCACACCAAAAGATGGTCCCAGTGCTGGAATCACCATTATCACCGCCTTGGTTTCATTGGCCACTGGCAAGCCGGTGCGTCAAGACGTGGCTATGACCGGTGAAGTGTCCCTAAAAGGAAAGGTGCTGACCGTTGGTGGCATCAAGGAAAAGACAATTGCTGTAAGTTAAAAAGGATAAAATCTAGCAATATTTTTTAACACAATGTTTATATTTTAGGCTCGTCGTAGTGGCGTCAATTGTCTGATCCTGCCTGTGGATAACAAAAAGGACTTCGAGGAGTTACCCACGTATATTACTGAGGGCCTGGAGGTACACTTTGCAACCAACTACGAGGATGTCTACAAGATAGCCTTTGCCGATGCCACCGAAACGACAACCAACAATGTGGTGGAGCAGGAGCCGCTGCAAAAGGTTTCCAGTGCGGCGGCCGCCAAGTCGGCGACATGGCCTTAATCGTAGCTTTAGTATGGGGGTTGTACCGGGTGTTCATAGTTTTTATTAATATCGAACGTTATCAGGTTAATTAGTGTATTTAGACCATAGCATTTGTTAAAGCTTATGCCAAGTAAATTGAATGTACTGACGAACTGAAGGCAGTCCTTCGTATGTTTTAGACATCGGCATTGGCCAGAATCCAGTCCAGGTAGCGATCCACACGTGTGTAAATACCCGGCCGACCACGCTGTCCGCAGCCGACGCCCCAGGATACAATGCCGATGGTGACCCAGCGCTGGTTGGGCAGCTGCACGAGCAGTGGACCCCCGCTATCGCCTTGACAAGAGTCCTGTCCTCCTTCCGGCAATCCTGCGCACATGGCGGTGTCCGGAACATGCTGAACAAACGAAGCTCGGCAGTCAGACTGCTTCCACACCGGCAAGTTAACCTGAAGTTATTAAATTATATATATAAATTTTTTCTGGAAAAATTCATAATTTTAAACAGTTTTGATTTATAATGGCCAAGTCTTTATCATACAAATTTTCTTTTTAGTCTGCCTCCTGAAATTACTCCTGAATTACAAATTAACGAAAAAATTATAATAATTTGGAGAGCAGCTCTAAAATATAATTTAATTTAAAGTTCGGAAACTAAAATTTCAAGAACCTAATACTTACGAGATAATAATAAACACTGTATATAAAATTAAGATAAACATGTTAAACATATGTTACCCACCTCCATTAGAATGTTGGAATGAGGTCCGCCAAATTTCTGGGTGCCCCAACCCGTGACAATGGCATTCCTATCTGACCAATCCTCGTTCACGGGGGGCATGCAAACTGGCCAGATATAGGTGTTGAATATAGTGGCCCTGTTGATTCTGATAATGGCAATATCATTGTCGTAGTTCTGTGGATTGTAATCGATGTGGTGGACCATGTTGGCAATACGGAAATCTCTCGCTCTCGTCTCGTTTAGCATATGAGTGTTGTACTCGCCCAGACGCACAAAGATATCCTCCTTGTTCTTCTTGTGGATGCAGTGGGCAGCCGTAAGGACGTGGCGATCGGTGATCAGGACACCACCGCACCACACGAAGGGCAGACCCTCCTGCAGCAGGGCCGCCATCCAGGGCCACTCGTCGGGCTCGGCTGGTCGCCCTCCCGTGAGCCGCGGGAACTGCCTGGTGGTAATCCCACAGCCACGCTGCTCCGGCTTGTTGACGATGCGTGGTTCATCCGTGTCCGGATTGGTCACGATCTGCGGACTAAAGCGGTTGCTGGTCGACTGGTCAGTGCAGCAAATTCCTATGGAGCTGCGGGAAAAAGAAGTGTAAGAATTAATTTAGACTAATTTTAAATGTTTTTAAAATATTTGAAAGTATCGTAAAATTGTAGGTTTAGATTTAAAAAATTATTTAAAAATGAATCCCTTATTAACTTGCAATTACTTTTAAGATATTTTTAACGGCATACTTTTAGTTCTTTATAAAGCATTTCGAATATAATTTTGTTATCTTGCCACTAAACTTTATAAATTGCTTGTACAATTTTATACATACCTCTTTTCAATGATACAAAGTTGAGATACCAGGCGCCAAACATCGTTTTTAAGTTCTGGCATTCGGCAGTAGATAATGTGGCGACAACGACCGGATTCACCCAAGGGCGTGCTGCAAGGGCCGTAATCCTTGTTCTCCTGCGATAATTAAATTCCAGAATTCCATGCCTATATAAGCAATAGAGAATGACTCACCAGCAACTGCGAATTAGGAGCTTGCCGTTTATTAAGACGATGTCGTGACAGAAAATTCACCACTTTGTTTTCGCCAGTCCGATTTTCCTTGCTATAAAGCTGGTTTTCGGATTCGCCCCATTGGAACTCAGAATTGTCGTCGAAGTCAAAGAGGTCTAAAAGGTACATGGTACATTACATTAATTAAAATTTAAAGGATCGTAAAAAAATATTACATTTTTTTTTTAATGGAACTTAAAACAAATTGATTGGCTTTAAAGCAACAAGATCATAATTTTACAAAACTAAATCGATTATAAAAGCAAACAACTATCTTAAGAATCAAAAGAATTTGTCCAGATAATTTGATCTAAAATTTAACTATTATTCCAGAACTTATTTCGATTAAAATATCTTTTTTCAGTGATATAAATAATGGTTTGTACTCACCTACATAATCGTTGGTTAATGTTTTGCCGAATACCTGCTGCCAGCTAAACCCGAATAAAGCCGCGAAAGCCCAAAATATGGCCTTCATTTTAAGTTTTTTAAGTTTATTTTTGCAAATGCACTGGGATTTTATCGCGTGCCGCTTCCGATGCCAGCTGAATCAGTTCTGCTCTGTGCAATTCTCCAACAAGCTACTGTTCCGATATGGAAGCCGAGCTCAGATCGGCTCAACTTACGATTGATGTACTTGAACACTGCTTTTGAACTTGTTCGATGCGTTGACACTTTTGGGTTTTCCTGGCTAATAAAGCGGCTCTCAGGCAAGTCGCGTACTTCTAAGCTCAGTTCCCAGACAAAAGCTTTGTGGGATGGGAACCGCCGCTTATATAGTGAATATTATGATTGCCCAAGTAATCCAAGTACTTTCTGATCTTGGCTTATCTCTAGGGTGGAAAGCGAGACACTGAAATGCCGGTCCCCTTTAATGCTTATGAGCTTAGACCCAATTTCGTGTATTATCTCCATGTTGCTGACTTTAGTTAGGCAACATGTTTCCAGGGGCAAAATAAATATTGCCCATGATGATCAGCCACTCGGATTCTTCGAGGAAAACGTGATGTGCATCGCTAATGATCCGGTTCGGTGGGTTTTGATTCCATAGAAGTAACATCTCCGAAATACTAGGGAAGATTTTATAAGTGCACAACTTATATTCTCTATTTAATTACCTTTTGACGCTTGCACATCAAAACGATAATAAATCAATGCCTTGAGAAAACCGGAATCAGAAAAAAATTTTGTGATGTAAGATTGAAACTTTCTGCAAATATTATATTTCAAGAACAAAACTTTTAGCTGTTTACTCATTTAAAAAAATTACTTATATGTTTAAATTGTTATTTAATCAAACGAGGATGACTGAATTCTGAGAAAAAACATTGACAAAAAAAGGTTAAAATAAAAGATTTGTTGCAATTGGCTTTTAAAATAAGCTACCTATTATTGCACATATTTTGAACTATTCGGAATAAAAACCATGAAAAATCCTAAATATAACTTCCTTGAGAAAAAAAGCATAGTTTGAGTAAAAGCATTTTCTAGCCGAGATTTTTATTAGTTTTTTTTATTCACCTGCAATTGAGGGTTTTGAAGTATTGGAAATAGTCGAAAATGGCGTGCGGGTGCGTTGTTTAATTACTGGATCAGCGGGTTTTAATTGCCACCAGTCCAGCCCATAAAGTAGCCTATAAAGGTGCCTCCCTTGTTGGCTATTCGACGTATTTTGTACGCGCCACCATGAAGCACTGGAAACGACGTTCATCCGCCGTATTGGCCATCGTCCTGCAGATTCTGCTACTGCCCGAAACTGGAAAGGCCATGACAATGGACCAGTCCGGAGTGGCTGTGCACCCAAGTTTAAACTGGATATGGAAGATCTGAATCGATTACGCGTGGGCGATTTTAATATGCAGCCTTCGCAGGATTTGATGGTGAGTGGTATGAAGTAGTGAAAGTTATTATTGGGTATGATCAAATTTAGCTTTTCAATTTTAATTATTCGGTCCTTTCAGTGCTATACAAAGTGTGTGTCCCTGATGGCCGGGACGGTTAATAAAAAGGGAGAATTCAATGCCGCCAAGGCCATTGCTCAGCTTCCCCATCTGGTTCCCACGGAGATGATGGAGATGTGCAGGAGGTCCATTGAGGCTTGCAGGGATACGCGTAAGTTTCAATTATCCAATGCACCTTATCTATAGTTCAATGTTTTCGCAGACAAAGGATTCAAGGAATCGTGCGAGAGGGTCTTTCAAACAGCCAAGTGCCTGGCCGATAATGGCGAAGGAAAGTTCATGTGGCCTTAGCGACAATTTTAGAATGGATCCTTGAAATCCTTTTCTTCCCATAAATCGGTGGATTGAATTTTTCACAAAAATTATAATCCAAAATTGTTGTTCTGAAAATTTGTAGTTAATTTACTAAAGTATAACTAAAACAAAAATTATTCTTGAATAAATATGAATTTCACAACACGAAACCATTAGATCCTCTTGGGCATTCCAGAAAAACCTTTGTAATTAGATATTAGTTCTTAATGAAAACCAATTATCTTTAAAAACCATTAAAAATGCATAGGTTCCTTTTTGATTTCAAACATTGTTACACTTTATTGCTGATATTGTTAACTAAATACAACAGTTTTATATTCGCATTATGCACACTTATACATTTTGTAATTTATAAATACTCAATTGGCTTAGCAACACATTTAAACTTAGGGAGATCATTGCATTTTGGAGGTTACAAAATAAATGCAAAATCTTATACAAAATGGTTGCCTTGCAAATCTGTGTACAAAGTTCTCTCTTTAGTTATTAATCGTATTCGATTTTCAAAATTTCGGATTCGGTATAGAATAGTGTCTTTATAGATCTCTCAAAAAGGGCCTCACAAAAATATATCCGATTAGAGCGTGTGTTGATGACATTGATGAGGATGTTGGAGGAAACCTGTGCGGCGTTTAGAAAGTGGTTGGTGTATATAACTAAGAGTCTAATAATGTATATAGTAGTAGTACATTGTTGTATATAAAATCAGTACACATTGATGCTTGTATATTGAACCGTTTGTTAGCTGGTTTTGGAAATATTTTGTAACTACTACACACACACACATCTAAATAGGTTGGTGGTACACACCTAGGTGTACACATATAGGTATATATAATTTGATATATCGTACAGTTATAATTAGGTGGAGATTGCAGGCCTGTTGTTAAGCTCGGCATTCATTTCCCTTGGGATTGTGTAATGCCGTTGATTGTGTTGTGCGTGGGAGGGCCTCGAAAGTTGGCTGAGAGTATGAGAGTGTACATGTGTATATCCTAAAAGATTTTTCTTCCATTCTCCCTTCCTAACTAACCTAGAAGCTATTTGTGCTTCGAGTTTTTTGTTTACATTTCCATCTGGGATCACATTTAGGTTTATAAAATCATAGTGTAGAGAGCTTAAGCTTTCCTATCAGCCCAATTTCCGTTTGGCGGAGGAAGAAACTTAAATATTCAATAGATTTTAACAAAAGGTTTTTTTGAAATATAATAAATTATTTCATTTTCGGACTTTAAACTTCAAATAACAAAAAAAAGTCAGTTTTTTATAAAACATAAGATTTAAAGACTCCGCAAAACGTGATTAGATTTTTAAAGGATGACGAGGCCTATCATTAGACATAGAATTATATGCGGATACTAAACGAACTTTGAGCAAACACAAATTTGTTCATTCATTTAATGAACAAATTTGTATCTAATCTAAGTTCGGTTGGAATAGGGATTTGCATATAATCCGATTTATTGATTTCTTTCACCATATCTTTTGGTCTTCAGGGGAAGACTTGGAATTTCGATTTGTGCTTTAGAAGTTTGAGCAAAGAATATGCTTCTGGGCAAGGCCCATACAAATTGTAGGATGACAAGGAAACGATTGCTGAAGTAAGGACAGTGTTCAGGGAGGGACTGTTAATAGTTTTGATTATGTTTTCCCATTGCAGGATCCACCATCGTCCTTTATTGCTTGCTTAGTCCATCAGTCGAACGCCGGCTTGAACGTCATCGGCCATGGTGACGCCTTTCTTTTTTTTACCCTCGCTGGCTGGTTTCTTCTTGGTCAGAACCAGGGTTTCCGGCTCATCCTGGGACTGCTGGCGCTTGCCATTTCCACTGGCGCCTCCACCGTCGCCACTTCCTCCTCCTCCGCCACTGTTGCTCCTCAGCTTGAATCGCGTTGTGGCCGCCGCCGCATTGTTGTTGGCACAATTGCATATGGCATCGAAGATCCGCACCACAAATCCTCGGGCCCGGTTCACCACCTTGCCGTTCTTAAAATCTGGTATGGCGAAACCTGAGTTATTAGTGCATGCGAAGCGCAGAAAGTACGAAAAAATACGAAAACAAAGATCAGTGAGAGGCAAAATACAAGTTAAGTGCAACAAAATATGGGCATGCAATCGAGCTGGCATATCTACCGATATGGGGTCTGATAATGGGTGAAATAATGGCGTGCGAGTGCGCTTATAATTAATATTGGTTTATACAATTTCCTATTATTTAATTGACACTCTTGAACGAACTATAAAGGTCTCCCTTTCATCGGTTAGTTGGGCATTTTACTTCCGCCATTGTTACCTACAAAACGATCCTGGCCAGGTCATGACTATGACCATACCTTCTTTGTTGGCGATTTTATTACACAAGCATGACAGGAACTTCTGGTGAATATGGTATACCAAATTTGTTTTTATGTGTGGATGCAATAAATATAAAGAAGTCGAACGCAAGAGGATTTATGTTTTCGAGGTTTTTAAAGTCACTTTCTTCCTTAAATTAATAAACCAAGCGTTTTGAGAAAACGAACATTTTAAAAAGCCGATATTAATATTTTTATACCCTTATTTTCCCTGACATTTTCCGAATTTATTTGCATCCACACACTTTACCCACCATCAACTTGAATCCTTTGTTCGTAGTAAGCACCTCTTACATAAAGAGCAAGTTCAATGCCGCGGCACTAGAATACGCCTAAATCAATCTTAATGGCTGGCCCTCATCCTAAACGCAAATAACCCTTATCTCTGATCCTATATTCGCAGATTACAAGGATTTGTGTACAAGGGACTCGACTGAGTGATGAAGAGGCCATAAGGAAAGGCCTTCATCTATTCAAAAAAAAGCCAAAAAGCGATATGGGTACTGGACCCCACTGCGTATACTTACTCGGTCGCTTTTCCTTGCCCTGCAAACGGAAGTTAGAATTGTTTGAGTTAGTTTGAAAACGAAATTAAATATGTGTAGCCAACCTGTTGCGATTTCTGGCTGTCAACTGCTCGCCTGTTGGCCTCCGTCTCAGCCCGCAGGACCACATCGTCAAGGACTTCCCGCAGAGCGGCCATGTTCTGGGGACTCTGCTTGAACGCCTCAATTCTGGCCTCCAGCGACTCCGTTTCGATTCTGTCCTCACTGTCCGGAGACGCGGGCTCGGGATCAGCAAATCTTGCATGCATTTTTCCTCTGTTTTTTGTGAGATTTCGACAATATCCTTTGAAAATTCCGATACTACTGCTCCGAGCTTTGCGCCTTTGTCCTGCGATGGGTATCTACAAGGAGTGTTGAGCAGAGCTCTTTGTGCGTTCACCAAGGAATGTGGTGGAAAAATCAATAGCCAACCATCTGAGGGGCAATGCCCGCACATGCGTGCTGACTGCGTGGCCAAGCTTTTTGACTTTGGGTGGGAGGAGATTGGTATTGCACGGAAAAAAATAACTATGCATTGATGATTTGGAAATGGTTTTAGTTTTAAAGCCTTCTAAAAAATAACCAAATAATCAGTTTCACACATAATACTTAAATACTCTATACCTAATATAATTCTTGTGCATAATTCTTTCCATTTTAAATCATATGTTTCCTCTATTATTACTGAAACCTAAAAACTTGCACGCTACATAGGAAAAATAAACAAACTATATTTTTTTCTCCCTGTGTGGTGACATGTTTTTGGGGTAGGTTCCCGCTTTCTTTGTTTTATTGCATACAAAATGATTATTCAGACTACGAGCTAAGAGCTGGCTACTCCAGATGCGTGAGATCGTCCAGCTCGGGCGGTGTGCGTACGATCTCCGTCTCAATGATCAGGGAACTGGCTTCTAGGGTGCTCTGAAAGATTCAACTGTTATACCATCAACTGCTGGCGCTTCGCTACCGGCACTAACACACACATTATCGCTGCTCCGCTGTGCGGCTGATAGAAGGCTGCCGCTGCTGATGCCACTGCCGCTCGAGTTGGAGTTCGAGTTGGAGGCATTGGCCCCATTAGATGCGGCGGAGAGGACCACGCTGTGCGGAGAGCTGCCCCGTCGCACCACCTTCGCCTGGCCCTGCTGCGGCGAATTTTGGGTGACTATCACAAACTTTTGTGGCGGCTGGTTGGCCTGAATGGCCCTTATCTGAGGAAGGGCCGAAACACCAGGGCTTCTGCAAAGGAAAGAATTCGAGAGTTAAGTGAGATCAGGCATCCTAAGCATCAGACAGCCTAGTTATTAAAACCCTTCTGCGAACATTTTCAAAGCAAATAGTTTTTACAGAAACTTGTTCATAATTCTACTTGTAAAATTATTGTGCCTATTATTTCCAAAAAAAAAACTTAATGATAATCCAATTTATTATTTTAGCCGATAATTGGATTATTTCAGGCATGCAGATGCTAGCTTTTTGAATGACATAAAAAACTTTCTGCAAAGGTGTTACATCGTAAATAAATATAAAAACAGTTTCCTACCCCTGTCTTTGTGTGCTGGGCATGGACACACGTCCGATGGTGGTGGCCGTTTGGGCTGCACTCGTTATGGGTGCCGTGTTGATCGTGTTCGAAGAAAGGGTCACAATGCTAGTAGCGGGTGCATTTCGAACTTTGACCACAGCCTGACACAGTGACGGTCCCAGGAAGCCAAAGTCGTTCTTGTAGTCCTCCGCCGTGTCCGGGGATGGACGCATTTGCTTGAGAATCGGTGGACAGCACTTCTGAAGCATGGCACGTATGTGACCGGCTGCTGTCTTGTCTGTGTTGCTAATGGATGTGCCCAGCAGGTGGGGCTCAATGCGTTCCGATATGAACTTAAGGCGGGGTATGATGAACACTTTGATTACTTCGCCTCCCAGCTCCGAGAGTCCTGCAATAGATCCGTACAACGAGGACAGGTGGGTTTTATCATTCTGCAGAGCCTTGCTGAAGATGCTGCCGGGTTGGAAAAATGTACGTTAAAAGAGTTATATGCTTGAAATCGGCCAAATTTACCGAGTGACTCGAGTTTGAAGGTTGTTGGTCAGAGTGTTAAAGTTCTTGCAGATCTGCGCCATCAGTCGGGAGGCAAAATCTCGCAAGGCCCAGTGATTATCCAGCTCGGGGCGCATGCACAGCTGCTTGGACACAATGCAAGTCATCACCGAAGGTATCAGTTCATGCAGCTAAGGGAGGATAAATAAGTTGATATGAGAAGTCCAAGCAAGCCAATCAATTTAAAAGCCTTACGTATTTTTCCAGAAATAGCGATGGATTATCGAGCAGCGCACGCACCATGCGCATGAGGTAAATGAGCAGCGCCAGATTGTTCTGCACAACATTGACTTTAACGCCCTCGGCGATGAAGGTGCACATGCGGGGCAGCATCTCGTGCAGGCCAGGATCAGAGCCCAGCGACTGCAGCGCCTCACCGCGCCGCGGCTCATCGGATCCCACGCAAGCCTCGGTGATCTCTTTATAGTACAGCTGCTGCTCCACAGACAACTCGTGTGTGGCCAGTTGCTTGACGTGGATGGTTTCCACGTTCTTGAGCTTGTGAATCTTGCCGGTTGTGGGCTTGCCAGCCGCATCTTTGTTTAGACCTTGATCAAGTTTAATGACGGGGTTGACGGAGTCCAGGAACTGGGAATCCTTCGAAAGCGGTGGCGGGTTCTCGGGCACAGTGGGTTGGACGCCCTCGACCACAAACCAATGGGATCGTAGGGTGAGATCGAGGGGAATCTTTACGGTGTTGCTCGAGGTGATCTCACTCAGGTCGATCTCCTTGTCCTCAGTGAAGTGCAGCTCCCGCCCTCCGCCAGATGCAAAGCGAAAGGGTATAAAGTCCTTGGAAACGAAGCCATACTGCGGCTCGACATTGCGGACTTTCAGGGCCATGTCGATATCCCGCACAGAGAGCTTCTGACGCTTGGCGTGGTGCATGAATTTAGCCGCATCCTGGACGATCCTCTTTAGTTTAATGGACACATCTTCCGCCAGCTCCTTAGCGGCGTCATCCGACAGGGAGCCCACGCCGATGCTCTCCGCGATCACCTTCATGGACTCCGCCGAGATGCTGGAGCCGTACAGCATGCTGCTGGAGGCGCTGTTCGATTTCGACGCTTTTCCACTCATTTTCCGAGTTTTAACAAATAAACAAATACTTTTCGCCGAGCTACTCGGCCAGTGTGTACACACCGCGAAAAGCCGAATAAGGGGGATAGTGATGCCGATTACAAGCCACAATTCGGCTATTTTAAAAATCTTCTAACGGGATCTTGCCATCATTCTTCTATGTCCTCCGAATTCAATTTTTTTGTATGGAAACAATTATTACTATTTTTAATCTCATCAATTGTAACTTTAAAATAGTATGGACAATTTTTGATTTACTGCATTATTTTTTTCTCAAAATAATAATCTGATAGTTGCCTCTAGCTGGTTTCAGCTATAATTGAACCCTGTTAAACGATGGTTACAAAACGATAGTTGCCTGATTGTTGCAGCACGGCCACACTGAGGTCCAGACATCACGTACACACCACAGCTGGCCACACCAAAACGCAGTGTCTTTTTCTTTATTTATGTTCGTAGATTTTTGGTTGCCTGGCTTTTTGTTGTTGCGCCACATTAACAATAACAATTAAAGCGCGCCCCCACCGCCGCCCGCGTATTAAAAAAGTGAAAAATCGGGATCGCGGACTAACGTGCCACATGCGAAAGGCGAAGGCAACATTGCGTCGTCGTCGGGCGTCGAACAAAGCGATTTTTGGAAAAGTGAAAACGGCGCCATTTTAGAAGCAGGCAAGCCACGGCCAAACTCGCAAGAAAAGTGCAAATGCAATGTGTGAAATAATAGATTGTCCACGCGCTAAAAACTCGACTCTATATTAAAGCCGCGAGTGAAGGTGCTAGCCAAGAAAACAATCAAGCGTAAGTGTTCTGTCTTTTTTTTGTTGGATGTCGTCGTCTGTGTCGCGGTTTGACCTACTTTAAAGTGCCACCAAAACCCACTTGGCTAACGAAAATGAACGTATTTTAGATCCCCAGCGACTCCAAAATATGAGCAGTGGCCAAAATGAGACGGCAGCAGCAAAGGTTCTGGAAACGCAACGCGCACAAGAATCCGGCAGTGAAAATGAGGCAAGTCTGGGCAGCAACACTAAACCACTTCGATATCTATTGAATATTTCCCACCCACAGGAAACCGATTCCATTACGGATCAATCGAGCCAGTCGAAGTCCACCAAGTCAGCCACTCAGTTCAGCGTGCAGCGTTCGGACACCGATGGCCTGCGCATGAGAATCTCGGCCATCCGCCCACCGCCAGGAGTCGCAGCAGTAACCAAGAAACCACCCCTAAAGCCCAGAAAAATGTCCACCCAGGACACCGAGTCCGGCTGCTCGGAGGCCAGGAACAGAGCGGTCAGCAAGAAGGTCAAAGTCAAGCGCAAGAAGCTGGCCAGCAGCACCAGTGGGATTGGCAAGTCGGAGACCTTGTCGAAGTCCAAGAAACCACAGATCTCGGCCTTTTCCTCGGATTCAGAGGATGATTTGCCTTTGAAGGTTCACCAGCAGAGAGCACCGCGATTGCTGCTCACTGCAATCTCCCAGGCGGCCCAGTCTGCCAGCAAACCCAACCCTCTGGACATTGGAATCTCTTCCAGCGACAATGAGCTGCCCAACCTAGTGCAGGCGGCCATCAAGAGAGTGGAGAGTGATACGGAGGACACCACGGTAGAGGGCAGCTTTCGCAAGGCGGCCAAGGACAAGAATCTACCCCAGTATCAGTCCACTTTGTTGCAGGACTTCATGGAGAAGACCCAGATGCTGGGACAGAGCACCAATTCGAAGTTCCCGGAGGAGAAGGTGGTTAAAGCCAAGGAGGAGACCGTCCTGCAAGCCGCTAATCCTCGAAAGCGCAGAGGTAGACCCAAAAAGGTGGTTGCCACAGCTCCTGCTTCGGGAAATTCTGGACCTGCTATAAACGAATCCGCCGATTCGGGCGTGATTAGCACCACCAGCACAACGCAAAGCACCACTCCATCCCCGAAAATGCAAAGTGAGAACATTGTGCCCATGGGTGCCGTGGCAATTGCCTCCGGCAGCAAGCCCAAAATCGATATGGCGTACCTCGACAAGCGGATGTATGCCACCGAGCGAGTGCTCTATCCGCCGCCCAGGAGCAAGCGGCGTCAGAACAATAAAAAGACCGCCTCCAGCTCATCCAACAAAGAGGAACTTCAGCTGGATCCTTTGTGGCGAAAGATCGACGTGAACAAGAAGTTTCGGCTAAGAAGCATGAGTGTGGGTGCGGCTAGTGGAACTGGAGCTAGCACCACCATTTGCAGCAAGATCCTGGCAGCCAAGAGCGGTTACGTCTCGGATTACGGAAGCGTGAGGCATCAAAAAAGCAGCCACAATCACAATTCCGGCTACAAGTCCGATGCCAGCTGCAAGAGTCGATACAGCACCAAGAGCTGCATGAGTCGCAGGAGCAGGGCTAAGAGTTGTGGCTACCGAAGCGATTGCAAGGAATCCGGAAAGTTGGGTCTAAGGATGAGGCGGAAGCGCAGGGCCTCCATGCTCTTGAAAAGCACTGCAGACGATCCGGTCGAAGATCAGGACATCCTTCAGCTGGCAGGGTTATCTCTGGGTCAGAGCAGCGAGGAGAGTAACGAGTACATCAGCAAGCCAAGCCTCCAGAGTCTGCCCAAGACGAGTGCCAGCAAGAAGTACGGCGAGATCAACCGCTATGTGACCACGGGGCAATACTTCGGTCGTGGCGGCAGTCTGGCTGCCACCAATCCGGAGAATTTTATCAGTAAAATGATGAACCAGCGGAAAGAGACACCGGCTCCCAGCAAATCATCATGCAAAATTAAATCCCGTCGCTCTTCGGCAGCCAGTATGTGCAGCAGCTATGTGTCTGGCGTGTCCAGAATGCGTCGCAGGCATCGTCGGAAGAGTTTCAGCCACAACAAGTCCTTGAACATTGACTCTAAGCTCCTTACCGAAATCGAGATCATCACGAGCACCTTCCACTCGAGGTGTCGCATACAGGAGGATCGGCTGACCGCGAGCAGTGGCAAAGAAAAGCTACTGGCCGATGCCAACAAGCTGCAGGCCACTCTTGCAGCTCCAAGTCCTGCACAGCAATTGGTTTTAAACGGAGGTGGATCAGCTTCAACGCTTCCCAAACCTTTAAAGCGGGCCCTGAAGAAGCGAAAGCTCAGTGAGCCCCTGGTGGACTTCGCAATGCTCTCGGCCAGTGCCAGTGGAACTCCCAATGGCAGTGGGAGCAGTAATGGTAATGCGAAGCGACGGCACAAGAAATCCCAGAGCAATGACAGCTCCAGTCCCGATGATCACAAGTTGCCGCTAAAGAAGCGTCACTACCTTGTGACGCCAGGAGAGCGTCCCCCAGTGGAAGTGGCATTCGCCAATGGAAAACTGAATGCAGAGGCCTGGGCCGCAGCGGCGGCGACGGCCAAGAGCACTGCATCCACCAAATCACAGGCGCAGTTCAATGCAAGGAGCGGAAAATCCGCACTAACGCCCAAAAAGAGGCACCTCCTTGAGCAACCGACGGCTGTCAGCGGAGCTGCTTCTTCAGCCAGCAATTCTCCCCTGAGAATTGTTGTTGATAACAACTCCATTAGTGGAGGGAAGTTGCTGGATATCAGTCCCAGCTCTCTGTGCTCCCTAAAGCAGCAAAGGAGAGGAGGAGCAGCGAAACAGAAGGCGGCGGCAACAAAGGACTTGGCTCAGATGCAATCCCCAGCTGGTAGCTATCCTCCACCCGGGGTGTTTGAGCCATCTGTAGAGCTGGAAATCCAAATACCTATTGGTAAACTGAACGAATCGGTCATAACAAAAGCGGAGGTGGAGTCTCCGTTGCTCTCAGCTTTGGATATCAAGGAGGATACCAAAAAGGAGATTGGTCAGCGAGTTGTGGAAACGTTACTTCACAAAACAGGCGGCAATCTTCTCCTGAAACGCAAGCGAAAGAAGATCAATCGGACGGGATTCCCCACGGTGCGCAGGAAGAAGCGTAAGGTCAGCGTGGAGCAGCAGCCAGCAGCCGTGATCGAAGCACCCGAGCCGGAGATTGATCCCGATGATGAGCCCCTGCAATCCATAAGAGAAACCCGGAGCAGCAGTAGTGCCCAAGTGCAGGCACCAGCGAATCCTGCTATGGATTGCGAGCGTGTGCCTCAAGCAGGTGAAGCCAGGGAAACCTTTGTGGCCAGGAGCAATCAGAGAGCTCCCCGGCTATCGGTTGTGGCATTGGAACGCCTACAGCGACCCCAAACTCCCGCCAGAGGAAGACCGCGAGGTAGAAAACCCAAGAATAAGGAGCAACCTGAAGTTAAACCCGTACCGCCGCCGCCCAAAACGGAACCCGAGGTAAAGATAGCCAAGAAACGTGGTCGACAGCCTAAGCAACCGGTAATAGAAGTGCCGCCTCCCACACCCACTTCTCAACAGAAGAAAACCAAACTCGAACCGAATATTAAACTCCCAGCTGGCATCGATCCCAACACAAATTTCAGTTGCAAGATACGCTTGAAGCGGCGCAAGAACTTGGAAACGGGAACTAACCAAAGCAAGAAGGAAAAACTTATTCAACCAGCACCAGTGGAAGGGATTCCTGCTGAAACTCCCGCCAGTCAGGAGGAGATAGATGCCGAGGCGGAGGCCAAGCGGCTCGACCAAATCCCCATCGAACATGATCCCTTACCCGCCAGTGAATCCCAGAATTCTGGTCCACCAGATTACGCAAGTTGCAGTGAATCCAGTGAGGACAAGGCATCAACCACCTCCTTGCGAAAACTATCTAAAGTAAAGAAGACCTATCTGACAGCAGGACTCTTCTCCAATTACTTCAAACAATCGCTAATGCCGCCGCCAGCGAAGGTGAATAAGAAACCAGGTCTGGAGGAGCAGCAAGTGGCTCCTGTAAGTCTTCTCCCCCCTCCTCCCTATTGCGAGAAGTATCTGCGTAGGAGTGAAGTCGATTTCGAGTTGCCCTACGACATATGGTGGGCTTATACGAACTCGAAACTACCCACTCGACACGATGTGCCATCCTGGAATTATCGTAAGATTCGAACGAATGTGTACGCCGAGTCAGTGCGTCCGAATCTGGCTGGATTCGATCATCCCACCTGTAACTGTAAGAATCAGGGCGAAAAGTCCTGCATGGACAATTGTCTCAATCGCATGGTTTATACAGAGTGCTCGCCCGGCAGTTGTCCAGCTGGAGAGAAGTGTCGGAATCAAAAGATCCAGCGGCATGCAGTTGCACCCGGAGTGGAGCGCTTTATGACGACGGATAAGGGATGGGGAGTAAGGACTAAACTGCCCATTTCAAAGGGCACCTACATACTGGAGTACGTCGGAGAAGTGGTCACCGAAAGGGAATTTAAGCAGCGGATGGCCAGCATATATTTGAATGACACCCACCACTATTGTCTTCATTTGGACGGTGGACTGGTAATCGATGGCCAGCGCATGGGCAGCGATTGTAGGTTTGTCAACCACTCCTGCGAGCCCAACTGCGAGATGCAGAAATGGAGTGTCAACGGCCTATCTAGGATGGTCCTTTTCGCTAAAAGAGCCATCCAGCAGGGCGAGGAGCTGACCTACGACTACAACTTTTCGCTGTTCAATCCCTCAGAGGGTCAACCCTGCAGATGCAACACGCCCCAATGCCGTGGTGTCATCGGAGGCAAGTCACAAAGGGTGAAACCCCTGCCCGCTGTGGAGGCCAAGCCTGCTCCAGAGGGACCCACGGGTCGAAACGGTCGCCAACGGAAGCAGAAGGCCAAGAAGCATGCTCCACGGCAGGCGGGAAAGGATACTGCTTCAGCAGTGGCGGTAGCAAAACTCCAACCGTTGTCCGAAAAGGAAAAGAAGTTGGTCAAGCAGTTCAACACGTTCCTAGTAAGGAACTTCGAAAAGGTAGGTTTTCATTTTATAGTTAATCCACTTAATTTGTAAATAAACTTGTGTGAAAGAGTGGGTCATTATTAAGTATTACATATTTTGTGTATTATATTATTATCTAACCATTTCCCTTTTCTTCATTAGATCCGCAGATGCAAGGCCAAGCGAGCGTCAGCCTTGGCATCTGCTGCCACTACTGCATCTTCTCCAGGGCACGGCGTCACAAATGGCGATATCCCTGGTCGACGCCCTTCCACACCATCCTCCACTTCCCTGGCTGCCCAGATCTCCGCACTTTGCACACCTCGCAACATGAAAACTCGCGGATTGGCTCAGGCAGTGCATGATCCTGAGCTGGAGAAGATGGCCAAAATGGCTGTAGTTCTTAGGGATATTTGCAGTGCCCTCGAAACTCTAAAGATGTCCGATCTATTAACTACAGTGTCCAGTAAGAAGAAAAAGGCTATTAAGAACTCTACAAGTGGCAAATTAAGTGCAACAGCTGGAACTTCTCGAGTGGAGTTCAGATCAATACAGGCTCAAGTCGAACAGGGACATTACAAAACGCCCCAGGAATACGATGAGCAGATGCAACAGCTTTTTGCGGAGGCCAAACAGCAGCATGGCGATGACGAAGGAAAAGCCAAAGCACTGCAATCTCTGAAGGATTGCTATGAGCAACAGAAAACGGCAAGCTATCTTCAGCTGGTGGAGATTCTAGGCGATTCAGAGTCATTGCAGAGCTTTAGACCAAAGGAGGTGGTTTTACCAGAGGACGAAACGCCAAAGGTTGCTGTAAAAAAATCACCCGGAGCAAAGGAAAGGGATTCTCCGTTAGTGCCATCGAAAGCAACACCTCTACTGCTTCCCGTTGAAACATCTCCAGAAGAAGATGTGATCCGTTGCATTTGCGGGTTGTACAAAGATGAGGGTTTGATGATTCAGTGCGCCAAGTGCATGGTGTGGCAGCATACAGAATGTACCAAAGCGGACATAGATGCAGATAACTATCAGTGCGAACGTTGCGAGCCAAGAGAAGTGGATCGGGAGATTCCTCTGGAGGAATTCACCGAAGAGGGCCATCGCTACTACCTCTCCCTGATGCGCGGCGATCTTCAGGTGCGTCAGGGTGATGCCGTCTATGTGCTGCGGGATATTCCCATCAAGGATGAAGCGGGTAAGGTGCTGCCAACCAAAAAGCATACTTACGAGACGATCGGAGCCATTGATTACCAAGAGTGCGACATCTTTCGCGTGGAGCACTTGTGGAAAAACGAAATGGGAAAGCGTTTCATATTCGGCCACCATTTCCTTCGGCCCCATGAAACTTTCCATGAACCTTCGCGTCGCTTTTACCCCAATGAAGTGGTAAGAGTTTCCCTTTATGAGGTGGTACCCATTGAGTTGGTAATTGGACGCTGCTGGGTGTTGGATCGCACCACCTTCTGTAAAGGACGCCCGATGGAATGCAACGATGAGGACCATTGCTACATCTGTGAGCTGCGGGTGGATAAGACGGCGAGGTTCTTCTCCAAGGCCAAGGCTAACCATCCGGCCTGCACCAAGAGCTATGCCTTCCGAAAGTTCCCCGAAAAGCTCAAGATATCCAAGAGCTATGCGGTTAGTTAAAAAAAATATTAATAATAATGAGCATTTTAAAACCAAAATATTATTTGTAGCCCCATGATGTGGACCCTTCGCTGCTGAAAACGAGGAAGCAAAAGACTGAATTAGATGTAGGAGCCGTGCCAGCAACGATGCAAAAGACACCTGGCAGGCAGGAACAGCAGCAGCCGAAATCGGTTGGGCGAAAGCCGCGTGTGGTTAGTGCGGCCCCAGTGGAAACCACAGCTGTCCATGTCGTGACACCAGTGGTGCCCAACAAACAGGTGAGCGTCAACTGGTCAGAATTATAATTCTTTTACACGTAATTAATTTTGTATTTTCCTCTCAACAGATGCTTAAAAAGAGGCGATCCCGTTTAGAGAACGTTCTGATAACTATGAAGCTTAAGTGTCTAGATGCACAGACAGCCCAGGAGCAGCCCATTGATTTGTCATACCTGCTGTCGGGACGCGGAGCCCGGCAGCGGAAGACCCAGCAGTCCAGTAGCAGCTCCACGGCCAGTTCGACCTAACAAATATAGCCAGCGAATAGGTTAAGCCGTGTATATACGCCTAAAGTTAGAGGCATTGCTTAATATTTATGAAACTTCAATTAACAATTAGCTTGTAGCCATGTAAGATGTAACGGTGATAGTAGTAATTTTAGAATGTACATTGTTATGAACAAATTTCGTGAAGAAGAGCCCAGCGATCGCGGCAAAGATGGAACAGATTATGAATTATGGTTAAACTAAGGATTTATTTAAATACTAGTATTTACGCCACCAGATGAAGCCCCCCATTTAGATGAATTTCTTTTGTTTTTAATTGTTTATCGCATTTCCATATAGATTTTGTTTTACGGAACTATCTCCTTTCGTCCTTGCAATCAAAGGAGTTTGAATTTTGCATTGTTATTTTAAATTATTTTATTATGTTATGGCTGCTTAACTACGAATCACCCAAGTAGGACAACTTATTACGCTATTAGTTTTTAATTAATTTCAAATTGTTATTAACTGCTAACAAAACATTTAAAAGTGAAATAAAAAATATATTTTCATTAAATTACTTGTGTATTTTAAATGAGCCGCCCCTTTTGCACTAGTGTTCTAGGATTATGCATCAGCTGCGTTGTTCAACACTGATTACATGGGCTTAGGGAGGGGGTTTAGTTAATTGAACCCAAAAATATTAAATCTGTTGTTTTTTAGGTTTAGGGTTTAGTTAATTGAACCCAAAAATATTAAGTCTGTTGTTTTTTTATAATAAACATACTTGTTATTAGCTTGAATCTTTAATATATCATTTTTTTAATGTATTTATTTTTTCGTCAAACACAAGGTATAAACCCCCTTATAACTTGTTGAAACCACACCTGTGAATATTCAAACATCTGTTCAACTCAACCGACCATGTTTTGTAATATTTTAAAACGCTCGTTTCAAGCAAATATTAAAAATGTGAATAACTTGAATGTACTGCGATTGAGCAGCTCCTATAATCCCCAAAGCGACATCAAGGATGCACTGGACATAGAGGCCAATCTCTTCGGGAATTCAGATTTGAAGCACGAGCCGGTAAACACGCGGGAAGCTTTACGCAAGAACCGCACCAAATCGTTTGTTCCTAGAAAGCCCAAGGAAACCAGTGCTCCCCCGGCTCCCCGAAAGTTCACGGCTCCCCCTGCTCCACGGATAGCTCCCACTCCCGCTCCAGTGATCAAGGACAGTGAACTGAATCTGGAGTTTGTGCGCCTCACCCTGCAGGATCCTTTGACCAGCACTCTTTTGACCACAGTGCGTTCCCGCAAGCGACGAGACAAGAACCGTCAGATCATCGTCGAGGGCAGACGCCTCATCCAGGAGGCTCTGCAATGTGGTCTAAAAATGGAGACTCTCCTCTTCAGCCAGAAAGATCAGTTGGCTCTGGTCAAGGAGGAAGTGGGCAAAGCGCAGCTGGAGTCTCGGGCAAAGATCTACAAAGTGCCGCAGCATGACCTGAAGACATGGTCTTCACTGGTTACCCCACCCGGTTTGATGGCCATCTTTGACAGGCCCTCAGGTAAAGGTTTGGAGAAGAACCTGGCTGAGCAACAGCGACTGGGCACTCAGCCCTTGCCGATAACAGTCGTGTGCGATAATATCAGAGAACCCAACAACCTGGGCAGCATCATCAGGACGTGTGCCGCTCTACCCTGCAGCCAGGTGGTGGTTACCCACGGCTGCTGCGATCCCTGGGAGTCGAAGGCCCTGCGAGGAGGCTGTGGTGGTCAGTTCCGAGTGCCCATTCGCGATGATGTCCCCTGGGAGGAGCTCCCGTTAACCATTCCACCAGAGGCCGCCGACGACTGTCATGTATTCATTGCGGAGAACAACCAAGAGAAGCGGGAGAACAATCAGACCATTGATTATGCAGATATCGGGGGCATCGGTGCACATAATCTGCTCATTATTGGTGGAGAGAGTCACGGAGTCAGCGAGGAAGCTTACCGGTAAGAATAGAAACATCCAAGGGCTAGCAAGACAATGCTAATACACCATTTCTTACAGCTTCTTAAACTTGGTTGGAAACAAAGGAAAGTGTGTCTATATACCCCTGGCAGCTGGAATTGATAGCTTGAATGTGGCATCCGCTTTGACGTTGTTGCTTTTCGAGTTGCGAAGAAAAATTAACCAGAAGGCTTAAAGTTTAGGTTTCAAATACAAAAATATATATAAAAAGTATTTCGTTGAATAAAACAAAAGTTTTCCTCTAACTATCTTTGTGCAGTATAATATTAAATTGGAATGGAATAGTTTTTTTCCTTTTCTAAAGGCAAAGATATTTTTCTTTCTCCTTGTGTCATAGACATAATATAAATTTATTGCTAGGCTGTTTCACAAATAGAGTAATTAGTTATTACATTAAATTCAACTATTAGCTTCGATTTCCTTGTAAACTTCCCGCTTATACTCGTCCAGACCACCTTCGATTGCTCTGACTGTTCGATTTCCACACACCCAGAGTTCCTTGCAAACGACCTTAATGAGGCGCTCGTCGTGGGAGACCAAGATTACTCCGCCCTAAAAAAAAATTATTAGTAATATTAACATTTTGTATCGCGAAGAAGCTCCTTTACCTTAAAGGCGTTAATAGCCCGGCCTAAAGCATCAATGGTTTCAATATCCAAGTGATTAGTCGGCTCATCAAGCACCAAGAAATTGGGTTCCGCTATTAAAAAGATTTTGTAATAAAAGTTTAATGTTTAAAAAATGCATTATGATCTTACCCATGCACATCTTCGCTAAGGCTACACGTGACTTCTGACCTCCAGATAAACTGGCAATGCTCTGCAGGGCCAGTGGTCCGGATAAGCCAAAGCTACCCAACTGACGACGATACTCCTCATCCGGGCGTCCGGGAAACAGTTCGGCCAGGACTCCCACACATGTCACATTCATGTTCAGATGGTCCACATGATGCTGCGCAAAATATCCAATTCGCAGGCCACGATGCAGTACAATATTTCCGTAAATGGTGCTCAGCTGACCGACAATGATCTTCAGCAGCGTCGACTTGCCCGCACCGTTCTCTCCGACAATACAGATTCGCGAGTCCGAGGTGGCTGAGAGATTTACGCCCTTGAAGATGGGCAGGGGATCCTCGGGGTTGTAGCGGAACGATACCTCCGAAATGGCCAGCACGGGAGGATTGAGGGGCTCCACCTCGGGGAATTTGAGCGTGACCACTGTCTCCTTCTCCACCGGTTTAAGTTCGGGCCTGCAAGGAAAGCACAAAAATAGGTATGTTAAATTTTTCAATGAAGTTCGAAGTTATGAATCGAAGTTATAGACTTACAGTTTTTCGAGCATCTTAATTTTGGACTGCACGGATGAGGCACGATTTGCGTTGTATCGGAAGCGATCGATGAAGTCCTGGACATGCGATCTGTGAGCCATTTGAGCCTCGTATTCCCGCCGCTGTGACTTCAGCTTTTCCGTCTTTGTTTTCTCGAACTGCTCATAATTTCCCCTTTAAGGCAAAAGATAATTAAATTAATAACTTATTTAGACCCTCTTTCGGATTATATTACTTGTATGCCTCCAGTTCCTGGGAATGTAGATGTATAATGTCCGTCGGCACTGTGTCCAGGAAGTTGCGATCGTGGGAAACGACGAGGACAGTGGTGGGCCACGTTTGCAGATAATTTTCCAGCCAGATGATGGCCTTGATGTCCAACATGTTCGTCGGCTCATCGAGCAGTAGCAGATCGGGCTTTGAGAAGAGAGCCCTGGCCAAAGCGAGACGCATGCGCCAACCGCCTGAGAAGGATTTGGTGGGACGCAGTTGCATGTCTGCATCGAAACCCAAACCCTTGAGTATCACAGATGCACGTGCCACGGCCTTGTCCGCCTCGATGTTCTGGAGGGCCGCGTAGGTTTCGCTCAGCTCATTGGAAAGCGCCGCATCCTGCACGCCATTATTCAGTGCCGCCAGGATCTCCTTCTCCCTGGTCAATAGCCTCGTTCGCTCGAGATCGCACTCCAGTACGCTGTCCACGGCTGGTGTGTCATCGCCGACCACCTCCTGCTCCACGTGGAGAACCGAAATGTGCGAGGGAATCTGCAGCTGACGCTCGGCGATCATCCGCAGCAGAGTGGTCTTACCCAGTCCATTGCGTCCCACCAGACCATAACGGCGACCGAAGGACAGTAGCAGATTCGCATTCTGCAGAAGAACCCTGGAAGAGAGTAACAACAGATTAATGTTAGTCAACTGTTTAGTAAAAATATCTTACTTTTCGCCAAAGGCCAGGTCAAAGTTCTCGATCTTGATGTCCATCGAGCGGTTGAGGCCCTTCTGGTCCAGCTTGGTGTTCTTCTTGTTGGTCACCTGGGAGGCTGTGGCCGTTTGCAGCTTCACCGCTACAGGAATCATTCCATGTTTGTTTACCTCCTGCCGTTTCTCCTGCTTCTGCTGCAACTTGGCCTCCGCCTTGCCCAGCTTTTTGGAGTCAACTTTCTGAAAGAATAAATGTGCATTTACTTAAAACATATTGAAGATAAGTCTTATGTGAATTCATGGGGATCTATTGGAGTGGGGATCCATTGCCATTTGGGCTACACTTACATTTCCTCCGTCCTTGTTCACCACCCAGATGCTCTGCATGTCCTTGTCCATTCGCTCCATATTCTTGGCCATCTCCTCGATGTTGACCGGAGCGTTGAGCACCTTGCGCTCCACGTTGACACCGTTGTTTTTCATGATGTTGAGGAACTGCTCGCAAAGCGCCCGGACGCTCTCTTCCGGCCGGTCGCAATCTACGCTCTGCAGGATGTCACCAACGGCATCAAAGATGTCATCTCCGCTGTCGAAGTCCTCCTCGCCTGGGGATGGGATGTAATGTCCGTGTTAAGGACGAGGGGATCGGAAGGTTAAGACAACTTACTTCCGGTGAGCACCCCCACAACATAGGTTTTGGTTTCCGTGTCGATTTTAGGAAACTCACGCTCCAAAATGGTCGTGTATTCGCTCATTTTTTGACGGTTTTCGAGTTGCGGGGCGGGCAGTCGGATCCTACGGTTGATCTTGTTCGCAAAATCAGTTAATTATCGTGGCAGTCGGATATTAATTGACTTTTCCGACTTTTACCACCGCAACGAAATCTTAAAGGGGGAGCAGTGTGACCGCAGCCCGGTTGCCAAAACATACCTTTACCACAGTCACACTGTCCATGGACCATTTCATTTCCGTTTCGTTCCTAACAAAATCACTAGACATTTTGGTCAGTTGGCTTGAATATCCGTTACTAAATGTTGGTACAAACGAATTTAAACACGCAATTCCCGCAACCTTTTATTTATAACATTTCAACAGCTTAGTTTAAAACAGCTAATATTAAGAACGAAAACGGTTTCAATACTGAATATTCAATACTTTGTATCAAAACATAACAAACTTTAAAATTTTTTATATATTTCTTCAAAAGAATTCGCATATTTGCAGTTTAGGTAGTTGACATATTTTATTATATTGTTTCAGTGTCATAACCGCAACGACTGTGTAACATTAAAGTGACCGTACAAAATTTCCCTGCTATCGATTTACTGTCGATATCTTATGTTACAGCGACTAAACAGAATTGCATAAAATTCCGGTTTTCTTTCGACATTTTGCAGTTAAAGAATAATACTATTGAAAATGCTTAACAAAGTAGCTTTAATTGGAGCCATGGTGCGGCGATCCTTCGGAACCAGCCAGATGATGCGGGAGACGTTAAAAAACCATGAGCCGAACAATCTGGAAAGGCGAATGTTGGTTTGGACCGGGAAATACAAGACACAGGCTGAAGTTCCCAATTTTGTGAGGTATTTGGCACTTAGAGCAGAGTATGCAACAGGTCTTTCACATTGATTATCCTAATTTGCAGTCAGGATGTCATGGAGCGCTGCCGCAACAAAATGCGCATTCGTCTGGCTAATATTATGATCGCCCTAACTGCCATCGGTTGTGCCATAATGGTATATAGTGGCAAACAGGCCGCCAAACGAGGTGAATCCGTTACCAAGATGAATCTCGAGTGGCACAATCAGTTCAAGGATCCCAAGGAGGGCGAAGGAGCAGCTGCTCCGGCTGCCAAATAGGAAACTACACCACCAAGCCATTCGCCTACAAACATTACAGCTGTCCAAGTTTCTGTTTTCAATTCCGATCGAAATTGGTGGAAACACAATTAAAAAGTTAATAGTGCACTGCCATTAGGGCTTTACCCTTTCTGCTAAATTAAAATTATTTTGTAGTACCTCTCTCAAATAGTTCCTCAAAACCGAAGATTATAAAAAGTTTAATACACTTTATTTAAGGCCTATTTAGCCAATATTATTTGGAATTGAAAACTGAAACAGGGTCAAATCTTTTAGTTTCTCTTTGGTTTAGAAAACATTTTGTCCTAAGCATGTACACATGCCATTACCTTGCTAGATATTCAGTGATATTTGTAAACTCAAAGTTAGTTGTATTACCAAAGTTAATAAATATTTTATGAGAAAATGGTCTAGGGTGCTAAAATTTTAAAAACTCATGCGTTCTTTATTCTGGGAACTTAAGTATTTATTTTAATAATTTAAATCATATTAAATAGTTATGTTATTTTATTAAGATTTTTTACGGAATTTAAAATGGCATCATCTATTTCGAAATACATACATTATTGGAGAAGAAATGAATACATTTCGAGTATACATATTCAAACTTGGACAGCTTTTTTTCATTTCCTTATAGCTGTTAAAAAACTTCCTGTCCAATAATGAATAATTTTAAGATTCTTAGATATTGAAGTTTATTTCGATATATAAGAGTTTTATTCAATTCCAGCAGTTGCGTGAGCGAATTATTTAAGATCTAGTTAATAAATTAGTTTGAGTTTTCGATAGGTGATTATCATGAAGGTGTTAAATTTATTATCCTTGATAAGAATTTAATGATATGTGTATTGCCCATAAATATTTTATCATTATTCATTGAGCTCCGGCAGCCGATTAGAAAGGCAACATCAACATCTGTTCCGATTGTGTTTCGCTGTTTCAGTGACCACCACTTGCTCTACAAAGTGCGCCGACTCCGTGAGTATTTTGGTGCTGTCCCGGATTCTGGTTCGGATTTGGATTCGGATTCGGTTTGTGATACCGACGGTCGGAGGCGCTGGCGCTTTTTGCTATTCACTTTTCACTTTCAGTTTGTCGAGAACTGTTTGTCTGAACGCCCCCGAGAAAAACGTTGAGCGGAGCAAATAGCGGGACGCAGTTTGGGCCAAGTTTTTTGTGGCTATCTCGTGCGTGCAGGAAAAGCTAAGAAAATAAAAAAAATATTAATTTCTCTAAAAGGAAAGGCCAGAAAAGAATTTCCCGAAACGAAAGTGGGGGAAAAATGTACAAGAAATAGTGCGGAGAAAAATGTGCGGCTAACGGAAGAAGGAGGCGGAGGAGGAGGTGGGAAAAGTGTAAGAGGCGACAAGTGTAAAATGTAAAAATATATTATAAAAGGAATGCGTATGTATGTGCAAACAATTTTGTAAATATCCCAGAGTAATCCGGCTGGATAATGGTAGAAAGTCAACAGTATTATTAAAAAAACATAAAGCAATTGTTTAATCAAACATCAGCGAAAGCAGATTGCCTGCCCAGAAAATCCATAAAAAAAGAGAGATTTTTCCTGTCTGTCTCTCGTGTCCGTGTGTGGGAGTGTGTTTGTGTGTGTGTAACAATATTCGTTTGCTTTTTGATTTGTGAAAATGTGTGTATCCGCGAATGTTGCTGATGTTGCTTTTGTTGTTGCGGTCGGTTCTCTCGGCAACAACAACAGCCTTAAAAAATAAAAGAAAAAAAATAGAAAATTCACATCCAGTTTTAACCGCCCATGTCCTTGCTAACTGTTTAAGGCATTTATAAAAAACATGTTTTAATTGCAACTCATGGCGTGCATGCAACACAACAACAAGTAGTTGTTCTTGCATAGTTGCCCTATTTAAAAAATCCCCCTTTGCCACCCACTCATGATATTAATTTATCCAGCAGCAGCAACAAAAAAATAGAAACAACATATCATGTTAAAAAACTGTTAAGCTAAAAAAAATATATAACGGTCGGCCGTATGAAAGTGAAGGTCGTCTGTAGGAGAGAAAGAGAGAATGAGGCAGCAAGGAGCAACAGGACACTGGGAAAAAATCGGGATATATTTTAAATAAAAATTATTCGATCTTTACTGTTATGGTATCTTAAATATTTCAAATCTTTTTATAAGCTTTTTAAAATCTCTTATTTATTTCCCTCTTTATTTAATTTAAATATTCAACGATCGATTTAAAATATAAAGAGATTTTGGTGTGTATAAGAAGAGCAACATAATTTAGAAATATTAAAAAAAGGTTATAATTCTAATCCCTGAGTTCTTCTGTTCATATTTTCTTTTGGTTTACTAAGATATATTTGGTCATGGGCGTTTATATATGTACATATATAACATAGAATATAAAGTATTCGATTTTGATTTAAGATAAAGCCATTTCAAGGCTGGGGATAAATATATCCTTGTTTTCGTAGATTTATTTATGAAATGTATCAGATCCATTTTTAGTAAACTATCAATAAATCGATATCAATAAATATCAATATATCAGAAACTGTACAACTTAATGTTTAGCTCAGTGCAGCAGCACCAGTCCATTTGCTGGCGTAAATGTGCGAAAAATCCTTGGCTTGGTTTTTGGCGCAACAACAAAGCCGCACTAATACAAGGATCACAGCTGCACACACACACAGACATTGTTTCTGTGCCCTAGGAGGTGTGTGTGTTTCTGTGATGACGTGCTTAGTGCAGCAGGAGCAATGCAGTCGCAGCGCAGTAGCAGCGCATGCTGCAGTTGTTGTTTTGTTATCGTTGGATAAGAATGACATTCCCATTATAGCTTAATGCACGTGGGCACCTCAATGCAGTTATTTTCATCTTGATTTGTCGTGACATTCGGTTGAATGTTCAAATTGAGTAATGCTTTTATTTGACAAAATTGCAATGGCACGTTTCTTGTTGCAATTCTTTTAGTTGACATGTTTGATACTTTTTAAATATTTTTGAATTAAATAATATAGACCTAGTTATTTGTAATACAGTAAAACTTAAAAAATTAAAATTAAAAGTGAGTTTTTTATAAGGAGATGTCCTAGAAATCTCTTCCAATTACAATTCAATTTTTAATGTCAAAGAAACCTTCAACTTTTTATTAGCAATTTAAAACCAATAGAGGAGTATGAGAAATGGCAAATTTACAAATTTGAAATCAAAAAATATATTTTTCATAAATTATATTATAATTATTTAAATTATCATTTCTATTTTTATTTTAAAATATTTTATTAACCGTGGTTATCTCCCACACTATATACCCTCAAAATCCGTACGTGCTCGTTTGCGTATTTATACGCAAATATAATCACATTTTACGCATGGAAAGGCTTAGCGGGCCTACATAAATTACGCCATTGGCCTTAGCCACCACTCCACCGTGACCACCCGCACCACCCACTCACTCCTGCCTAGGATATGGCTCTATGGGTCACTTGCACGTCCACTGGATGTCCCCGCATCTCCACATTCCCCTGATCCACTCCTGATTTTCCGCTTTGTCAGGGCCATCAAGACAAAAGTTTTTTTGGGGGGTGGTGGATTCGGTGCAGCCACTCCAGCTGACGATGTTGGCCAACTGATAAGCACGACTCTGTAAAGTTTTTATGAGTTTTGCAATTAATTTGAATAGCGAAATGGAACTCTCGAGCTAGGTGTTCTTAACATCCAGCTGCCCAACGTTATTATGTAAGCAAAGAAGTAGCACAGTAAAAAAAATAACCAAAAAATAATATATTAAACTTGTTTAAGTCTTGCTTCAAATTAATGGAAATTATAAATAGTAATATAAAATGACCTATAATAGTGCATTTTTATAAGATTGCGATGAAAAAGTACATTCGATTAATTGGCAATGTTAAATTCTAAAGTATAATACACTTAATACAAGTATTTCAATTTAAATAAATAACAATATAAGGTATAATAAAAAACGTACCTTTTTATACATACAGACATAACGTTTATTAAAAATAGAGATATTTTTTAAAGTGCATGGGCCATTGAGTTTCTCAATATCACGCAACCCTTGCTCTTCTGTTCCCACAGAATTCCCGTTTCCTTATTGTTGCCAATATTTGTTTCGGTACACGCAATTTAAATAATAAATCATCTTGTAATCGAATTGTTGTGGGCGCATTCGGCCTTTTCTTGTTTTGTCCTCTGGCGCAACATGACGTTTGGGCAATGTATTAAATTAATAATAAGCATACGCAGTGTGTGGCTGCTCCACAAAATTAATATTCGAATGCTTCTGAAAATCTGGTCAATGTTTATCTTGCCAAGGCACACAAATATTGGTGAATTAATTTTATTTCGTTTCCAGATTGTGATGTTAATTGGCCATGCATCAATTGGCCGAATAATTATATGCATTTAATGCAAGCTTTTGTGCAGATTTACAGCCAATAAAGCAATATTTATGATTCAATTAAAAATTAAGTTGTTGATTAAGTATTTCTTTGAAAGCCATGTTAATCAGAAACAATTGTAAACATTGATGATTGGTATATATTTAATATATTATATATGTTCTTGTTAAAATACAAAATTGTCATCATAATTTAATGCATGGATATGCATATAACCTGATTATATAGAATGCATTAGCATAAATGGCTTCCCTAGAGACAAAATAAATCTGATGACCCAAAATGCTCTGAACTGATCAATATTGCAACCGAGGTATTTATAGAGCTCCGGTGATTCAATATTAATCGTGTATAAAACCAAATTAATTTCCATCAAGGAAAAGGCGGCACTAAAACGAATTAGTTTCTTTGATATGCTTGCCAAATAGACACCTTATTCAAGGAGACACTTTCAATTGGGTTCTTAGTGGGAGGATACATAAGCCTCTACTTAAGCGTAGCGGCCGACTCACGAGCAAAGGTAAAAAGTACAGCGAAAATTATAAAATGTTCAGAAGGCCCAGAGACTGAAATGCTGAAATGTTTTTTGATGCTGAGCCGACGGCGAGGGCAAGGGCGAGCCCGAACCAGTCCCAATCCCCATCCGGATCCCAAAGACCAAAGCCGAACCCGAATTTGAATCCGAGACCCAGACGCAGACCCAAAACCCATATCCAAAACTCAGACCAGCCCCCAAGGGTCCCATGAGCAGGCGCAGAGAAAGTGAGACACTCTCCCCACTTTCTCTCCCCTCTCTCTCTCTCTCTCTCTCTTTCTATCTTCTCCCTTTGCTCAATTGTACATATTTCTCGTTTTTCATTAAAACGATGAAACAAAATTAAAAAAGACAAAAAAAAAAACAGCTTGTAAACAAAAGAAAAGCAACGCGGGGAAATGTAGGAAATCCGAAGCGGTTGGGAAAACGGTGGGTATTTTTGGTCTGTTTAGGAGGTTGTTGTGATTGTTTAAAAATAGCCAAACAACACAGAACTAAAAGTAAACATTGTTAACTTATTGTCAATAAAAATACAAAATTGAAATGCCGCCCAGGCCATAAAATTGCGTTTATGATCTGGAAACGCTTCCATTTCTTTTTGTTTCGCATTTTGCCTCAAAGTTGCAATTGGTTTTAACCTGGCGATGGTTTCTTTTCTATTTTTTTCGGTTTTTTCTTGCAAAAATTGCTTCCGCTTTGAGAGGGCTAAAAAGAGAAAGTCAAAGTCCAGCCATCATAATAACGCAGGCCCACGCAATGGCAGCGAAGGAAAATTCACAGGATTTCCGTAGATTTCTCGTGTGTTTCGTACATTAATGCCTAACTAGCATTTTGGGGCACCAAATTGAATGGAACGGTCTCGAGGGCCGAGTGGGTGGTGGGCTTTTGCCTGGGTGGTCTGCGCCACCCGTTTGTACTTTATAATAAACAAAAACAAAAACATAAAAAAAAACGAGCCGTCAGGAAACACAAACAAGAGTAGAAGAACACGATGAGATGGCGGCGTAGTTGATATGCCCTGAAAGCAACATTAATAGATAATGATTATGTCGGCTCTGAGGTGTAAATTGATATGGTTATTTCGTTGCTGAAGGTCAGAAAAGTATGCTATATTTATGCTGATGATATTCTTGGAACTATTATGGGGCTTTGGTTTTTATTTAAAGTTCAGTATCATAGCGTATCCATTGGAATCATATCCATTTTTTAAAACCTTTTGAAAATTATTAATTTGTATAAATTTGTTCTTGAATTAAATTTGTTTAAATAAAACAAATGTTTTTTCATTCCAAATTGTTTGTTTAAAAAGTCATTTATTTAAACCATAAATTCAAATTGTAAAACAAACCAAATAATGGAAAATACAAGAAAAAAAAGTATTCATTGTTTAAGCTGACCTTTCCAACAATAAAGATCCTTCACCAGTTCATTTCTCTCACCTTTCCATTAATTGCAAAATCGAAATTTGTTGAGTGAAATGTTTATAATGTCTGTCATAGTCGCCAAGACCAAGTCCGAATACTCCTACTCAAAAGGCAACTGAACCAAATCCTACACAATGTTGCATGAAGGGAACGTGGTGTGGATAGATGGACAGATGGATGGATGGATGGATCCACATCATTATGATGAGAGATATGCATTGTTGTCGCTGCTGTTGTTCAGTTTTTTGGAAGCTTTTCCACCCCCAACAAAGTGTAACCTTGAGACGAAATGTAACTAAAAGCAGCCAACTAACTGGCAAATAATTAGGCAGCCCCTCGTCATGGAAAACTAAAATAAACTATGCAAATAATGGAATAATGGAAGCCCCGAGAGGGACCAAAAAAAAAATATATATATAATAGGGAAATGTGGCGCCTTTGTTTTGCACCATTTGGCGCCAAGGTGTTTTTCATTGGACAGCTGGGTCACCATCACCCACTTCCCGACCTTGTCCCCTCGTTTGCCGTTTGACAATTTATTTTGATGGCACACACCACGCACCGAATACGTTGATCCTGTCGCTGCTTCTCCTCCTGACGAAGTTCTCCTCAACATCAACATCAACGTCAGCAGTGGAAGGTGGGCGGTGGGTGGTGTTTGTTGTGGGGGTGGGGCAGGAGAGCAGAGCAAAACGGCATTGATTAATTTCCATTTCGTCCATCACGAACAACAAAAGCAAGGTCAACGACTATACGTACACTGGGAGAATTTCAAAAATATTTTTTTTATTTTATATATTTGTCCAAAACTCTTTAAGTTAAGATTTTTTAAACGGTAGAGGCCAAATATTTATTTATACACGTTGTAATTTGATTTCAAATTCACAAATTTGTAAAAGTTGTTATTATTTGTCCTTCAATGCGAATAATATAAAGGTAAATCTCTTTATTGCATCAATAGTAGGTATCCAAATTCATGTTATTAACACTTTTAGTATAGAAGCAAATTAAAAAATGTATATTGATCTGGCTTTAGACAAATTAAAAATATGTATATTATAAACGTATTTTCAAGGATATTAGTTTTTTCCCAAAAATCTCTATGCATTTAAACACAATTTTTTATAGGTGTTTAAAGTAAACAAAACTGATTTCTATCTTTTTTCACTTTAAACAATATTAGAAATTATTTTTTCTCTGTACTCCTCTGAACACGACGAACGTCAATCTATAGTGGAAAATTGTTGATAGGATAATATGGCATTAAAACATTAAGGCCTCACACTCTGCGAGTTCGCGGCCCATTGTCTGGTTTCGAATGGGATATGGGTGGAGGTGGGAGGAAGTGGGTGGATATGGGCGTTATATGTGCCAAAGAAGGTTGAAACTGTCGGTTTGTTTGACTCTTCACCGCTTAATGGACGCAGAATTTCTTTGTATAATGTGTGATTTGATGAACTGGGTAAACTGAGCTTACTTGTGATGCAAGTGTGAACTTTTATGCAATTTTTCAAATGGTGGCTTTTAAGGCATTTATGGAGGCGCAGACTATAAACTTTTACTTGACCTACATTTATGGGACCAAAAGAGAAAAAACATTTTATATTTTATTTGTACACAAATAAGTCGTCGTCAGAAAACAGCATTTCAGTCATCAATCAAATTGGAATCGTAATATTCATTTTGCATGTTCTGCCTGCAACTATACGTAAATTGCGCCAAAGGCTGTCTTTCCATTCTTATCTATAAACTGAGCTAACCTTGACTAACCTTAGCCTTCAACTATCGACAACCTTTTTGTGTCGTGGTTTAGTGGCTTGTGGTTAGCTTTCAGCCAACTAATAACTCCTAATGGCCATTGTTATGGCAAAGCCAAATGACAAACGCACCATACACTTCGCCACAAGACAGCTGACTTCACTTCCCATGTGAGAATCCTTTAAGGCCACTTAGAGAAAATAATTATAAAATTAATATTTTGCTTACTAGAAATTATGGTTAAAATAGTTAAGACATTAAAGCATGTTAACAACAATTTCTTAAGCTATTTTTTAATTCTTTAGTGAATAAAAAGAAACATTTTTTTAAATTGACTGGTAAATATAAATTTCTTATGATAAAAATGAATTTAAAAGTGCAAAAGGAAAACTGATATTGAATTTGCCAAGATTAAATCATGTTGATAAGCTTCTCTCAAAAACTTTTATTTATTTCCATGGGGCAGGTGCTCATAAATAGGCGAACACTTCTGGTGGCGAGTCAAATGAAGTAGCATTTTCGGGCAGTGCAATCGATGCGCTCTTGGCCAGAAAAACAGAGCAATGGAATAACAATCGCGGCAGTGCCAGTGACACAACTAGCGACAGAGCCATAAATATTATATAAATCAAAGGCACACATTATATAGACTTCAAGACCCATGCCAAGCCATGACATTTATGGAAACAAATGACTTTTTGTCACAGTTCCCAGCTGGGTGGGTGGTTGCTAGCCATGGGGTGGGTGGGCTGCAAGGCCGAAGGACAGACACAAAAAGTTTTTGCGTTCTAATTGTTGTTTGGAAAATTACTTGTGGCCCTAGGAAGATTTGCAGGGTGTTTACAGTCTAAAGAAAGACACATAAATTTGTTGTGCTACTGGCAAGACCAAGAAACAAAGGCAGGCTAAACACCCACGTCTCCCGCCCAATCATTTAAATACACTGAAAAAAGAATGCATAAATGAGTTAACAGAATGCTTTTGATCTCCAAAATGGAATGAACAATATTTATATAAGTCTTCTTTATTGTTTTCGTTGACTTTTACGAAAACATTTTATGAAAGTTTTACTTACTTTTACCTATGAAATTTAACACTGATTTCTAAGAAGTGTTTTAAATATATTATAACGCTTACATAAGGTTTTTTTTTCAAATGGAATAAGCTGACCTAATAATCTTTTAAAATTATTAAGGAATAAGACTATCAAACTAAACAAAAATAGAGTTCAAGTATAATTCAAATATGCTGATTTTACATAAATCTAAAATAAAAAATATTATTAGTTTAAAGCACGAGTATTCGAGTTGAAAAGTAAATACAGAATTTTCCAGAAATGTAATAGCTAATTAAAAATAAATAGATTTTCACGTAAAAATATCCTCATGCTATTCTAATCGTTGTCTATCGAACCCCTCGTAAGTGATCATTGGCATTCGAAAGTACTATTTGATCTATTCTAGTTTTTAATAATAATTACAACAATTGAATCAAGAGATTTAAATTTTGGTGGTAGAAATTTTCTCTCACTATTTCCATCCTGAGCCAGAACTACGAAAACCAAAACCAGAGCCATCCCGAAATGGACGACCAGATGGAAGACCATGCGATGGTCGTTCACTCCGCTGGATCAAAACCAATAAAATGGTCTCAGCTGCTGGACCCACGAGGGCATACAATTTCAATATATCCCCACATTGCGCTCCAGTTGGCTCGATTCTGTTTGGCTCGTTTAAATATTTAGACAGAGCGCTGCTCGAAAACGCATTGAATGGCGTTGTCTGTCGATTGCTGCTGCTGTGAATCATTTTATATATGTGCAGAGGCGTTGTAGAGGGGATAAATTGATAATATAAACAAGTGAAGCGAGAAATTGAAGAGTGGGTCGATTTGGGTGTGTGTGTGTGTGTATTGTGTGGTAGCGGATTGTTCCCACAGATTTATGATAATATTTATGCTTTGGGAAAGTCGGAAAATTCATTGGACTGGGGCGATACAACACTATTCGGGATTCCCCATAAACTTTAGAATTCGATTGAAGTGAATTTCAAACAATTGCATGCATCTAGATAAACTGTGGGTGTTTTATATTCGAATGAGCAAATCCAAAACGATTACTATTCACATAGACCCTGGGAATTTGCGTGGGATTTAATTGTAAATTAAGGTATTTGTTTAAAAAATTTAGAAAAATATTTGCTTAAACATTTGTAATTGAGAATAGAAAGAGCAATTTTGCAATTTCTCTGAAACTGCTGACTAAAAATACATTTTATGAGTTTTGATATGTATTTCGGTTTTACTTTTCCATCTTTTTTCAAATTAAACTCATGATGTTTGTTATTACTATAATATACAATTATTTAAATAAATCTGGTAGTATTTTAAATTTGATATATTTTTACACAGTAATTTTCGAATTGGTAGAGTCAATTTCCTTAAGATGAAAACCGCATTTTGTTGAATTTGGAATTGTATTTCGTAGGTGCTGAAAAGCCATACAATTTATTTACTTGTCATATTGATTAGAAAATAAAACCTAAGACCAACTTTAAAATCTTTTCCTTCATTTTGAATTCTACTTATAAGCTTTGAGTATTCTCTTTGGCTTTCACAATAAATATTTGTTTGCTATTAACCAACTAAGACCATCAAATATTTGTCGGATTAAAATTTTGCAAAATTGTCACAAACTTTAAGCTAAAATTTCACTACTCAGAGTTTTGTGTGTATGACTGGGTGCGTGTCTCAGAAACTTTTCGTGGAATTAAAAGTCTCATATCAGCCGCCTTTCCTCCCAAAAACTTGTGCTTAAGTCCAACAAACTTTTCCATTTTATTGCAGTGCTGCACATCAACACAACTGGAGAACACAGGAAACTTTTCATATCCCCGCAGTGAACAATAAAAGCAAGAGTAGCAGCAGCCACAGCAAAATGACAGCAATAAGTTTAAGCAATAAAACACAGCTAGCCAAGAGTTGCGAAAATGCATTCGCAATACAATAAGGACGGGGGCATCGGACAAAAGCTTTAAAATAGGAGTTAAACCCCAGGGGCTCCGACTCCCCTTAGCCCAAAAAGAGAACCCCAGAATCCCCCAAAATCAACTGCCAAATAATATAGGAAATTAGCCAAGGAACAAAAACCAAAAAGGGTAGAGCCCAGCGAGGAGCGGAGGAAAGGAGGAAAGGAGAAGCCCACTGTCGTCAGCCGGGACACTGAAACATTCCACCCCATAGCATGGCCTCGGTCGCCGCTTGGCTGCCCTTCGCCCGGGCGGCGGCCATCGGGTGGGTGCCGATAGCCACCCACCCACTGCCACCGCCCCCGATGCCCAAGGACCGCCGCAAAACGGACGACGAGAAGCTCCTGATCAACGTCTCCGGCCGCCGCTTCGAGACGTGGCGGAACACCTTGGAAAAATATCCAGATACTCTTTTAGGTATGTTTCAACTTAAAACATTCAAACTGATTTAAAAAAAAAAACAAATATCTACATACTTTGAAAGGGACATTTTATAAAAATACATTATCAAAATGGCAAAACTTAAACTTTAATAAATTAAAATATCTGCCTTCAAGTTTTTGGAATTAATTAATATTCACTTATTCCATTAAAACTAGTTTGAATTGTAATTAGGTCAAGAAGTTTTAATTTACAACTATCCAGAGATTATCCAGATTTTGAAAACAACATTTGAAATCTTTAAACCTACACGTTCTTTTTTGACCTTTCAGAGTTCATCAAGCTGTAAATTTATATGTTATTTACAACTATCCAAAAAAACATTTGAAATCTTTAAACGTTCACGTTCTTTTTTGACCTTTCAGAGTTCATCAAGCTAAATTTGTCTGCATATCACAGTGCTAGCAAGATTTTTTTTAAGAGTTTGTTTATTTACTCTTTTCAAATATGTTTTTGTTTATGAATTTGGAAGACTTGTGCTGAGAACTGACGTGCACGTCTTGCAATAGAATAATTCATCCGAATAGGCAATTCTCCAGAACATGTTGTCATAGAATAATTTTATCACCTGTGAATAATAAATCACATTTGTGAAAATTTGAGTATACTGATTCTAAAAGAAGATGTTTGTAGTCAGCTTCTACAGATAAAAGTACTTTTGTATTTTATTTAAAAATATAATTACTGACTTTTTATTTTAAAGGGTTTGAATTTATTTTATTTAAAGCAAAATTTAAAATGTATTATCTTAATATTAAGCATCGTATTGATATTTAATGAAATTTAAACACCTCATCCTTTAGGTTCCAATGAAAGGGAGTTCTTCTACGACGAGGACTGCAAAGAGTACTTCTTCGATCGGGACCCGGACATTTTCCGGCACATACTGAACTACTACCGGACGGGCAAACTGCATTATCCGAAGCACGAATGCCTGACCAGCTACGACGAGGAGCTGGCCTTCTTCGGCATAATGCCGGATGTTATTGGGGATTGTTGTTACGAGGATTATAGGGACCGGAAGCGGGAGAACGCGGAGCGGCTGATGGACGACAAGCTGTCGGAGAACGGGGATCAAAATCTACAGCAGCTGACCAATATGCGACAGAAGATGTGGCGGGCCTTCGAGAATCCGCACACATCGACGAGTGCCCTGGTGTTCTACTACGTGACGGGATTCTTCATCGCCGTTTCCGTGATGGCCAATGTGGTGGAGACAGTGCCCTGTGGCCATCGTCCGGGTCGAGCTGGAACTCTGCCCTGCGGAGAGCGCTACAAGATCGTGTTCTTCTGCCTGGACACCGCCTGCGTGATGATCTTCACCGCGGAGTATCTGCTCCGCCTGTTCGCCGCCCCCGATCGCTGCAAGTTCGTGCGGTCGGTGATGAGCATCATCGATGTGGTGGCCATCATGCCCTACTACATCGGACTCGGGATCACCGACAACGACGACGTGAGCGGCGCCTTCGTTACGCTCCGCGTGTTCCGCGTCTTCCGCATCTTCAAGTTCTCGCGCCACTCGCAAGGACTGCGGATCCTTGGCTACACGCTCAAATCCTGCGCCAGCGAGCTTGGCTTCCTTGTCTTCTCGCTGGCCATGGCCATCATCATCTTCGCCACCGTCATGTTCTACGCCGAGAAGAACGTCAACGGCACCAACTTCACATCGATTCCGGCGGCCTTCTGGTACACCATCGTCACCATGACGACGCTGGGGTAAGTCTCTGTTCCTGAAATTATACTAGGAGTGGTAGAAAATAAATAACATTATTGCATGCTTTGACATAAAGTAGAGTTAGTATCCTAGTATACTTTATGTAATGTAAAAATCATTTATATATTCAATCTGGCTTTAAGTATCGACTCTACTTTAATCTTTGTAATAGCTGTGTATAAGCAATGTATGTATATAAACTTTAACTTGGTTTGGTTCCCTTCTTGTTAAGAATAACTTCTTAACATTTATTTTTAAATTCTTTGATGATAATTTAATTCTCGTTATTGCTTTTAAAAATACAATAATTTAATCCACGTTTTTTAGAGGTAGTATCTAAGTAATAAATATAAATACTAGTCCTAAAATATTTCATCCCGTTTCAGCTATGGCGACATGGTGCCAGAGACAATAGCTGGCAAAATTGTGGGCGGCGTTTGCTCGCTCAGCGGAGTGCTGGTCATCGCCTTACCTGTACCTGTTATCGTATCGAACTTTAGTAGAATCTATCACCAGAACCAGCGAGCGGACAAGCGCAAGGCGCAGCGGGTAAGCCATTTATTTAGGACAAAATAGATATTACAAATATTAATAGTAGGTAAAAGTAAATCCAGAATAATATACTGGAGCAACATTTTGTATGGTGACCATTCTTAGAACAATTTACAATCTTAGCCATACTTTTAAAACATAAAAATAAAGAGATGAACGTTTGACCATTATCATCTAATATTGCAAATTATAGTGTTTTCAAACATAGCTTTATGAGAATTTTATTAATGTTTTGTACTTAAACATATTAAAAACAGTTGCTATTTGAGATTATGTTTTATAGTTTGTAAGCAATATGTTTAAGACCGTTTCTTATATGATTTATTTTTGAGTACCACCCCTCAAACGACCACCCACCACCCCGCATTTACTCATTATGTGTTATGACCTTGCAGAAAGCTCGCCTGGCGCGTATCCGCATTGCCAAGGCCTCGTCCGGAGCCGCTTTTGTCAGCAAGAAGAAGGCCGCCGAGGCTCGGTGGGCTGCCCAGGAGTCTGGAATCGAGCTGGATGACAATTATCGGGACGAGGACATCTTCGAGCTGCAGCACCATCATTTGCTGCGATGTCTGGAGAAGACAACGGTGCGTATACGCGATGTGCGAATCAGTTTCGTCCTTCGCTTTACAGCTATCTCTGTTTTCTCTCTCTAAAAAACAATATAAAATTAAATGTGATATATACGTATTATTGTCAGTCGACTGCGCGCTCAGTGTTTGAATTTATGATTTAAACTTATGATTTACCTATCACACTCTTTCTCTATACATTTTTCGTTTTTACTCCGTGACAGATGTAGCAACATTTGAACATCTCAATTATAGTCAGAAATTGTAAGGTTCGCCACAAGCTCATTAGGCAAGCAATGACAACTTCAACAACGAGAGCGACAACCACAGCCAAATTAACAACAACGGCGGCGACAGCAAGAACAGCAAATGGCAAGAGGAGAAAGGATTTGTTGTTAAGCCTTTTAGAACTATCGCGTCTTCTCATTAATCTAAATCTATATCAAAACCAATATCGAAAATCGCAAAAGCCAAAGAGAAAAAAAAAACTGAACTGAACTGCGAATGCGAATATTCAGCATCTTTTGTATATGCATTTTTTATTTAACAAAATTTAAGTTTTCCTTCTGGTTTCTGTTTGTTTTAGTTTCAATCTGTTTTCTGTACATTGTGTGTCGGATCTTTTGTATTACGTCCTAAGTTTTATGTTCTAAGTTCACCATTTGTGTCATGTTTTTCACACGATCTGAAGCCAAACTGGCTTTGAAATCAAGCAAATATAAAACATAGAAATAAAAAGCAATGAATATCAATGTCTATGCTCTGAAAAACGAATATAAATTCGCCAAAGTAAGTGCTTTCGGTTTGTATTTAAGTTCCGTTCTTTCTTAAATCTTTCTCTATCCCTCTCTCTATCTCTATCTCTATCTATCTCTATCTTTCTATCTCGTTCATGTTTACGCGTTGCAATTAGTTTTTATGATTTCCAATTACGAATTTTAATTTTTTTCTTTGTTGATTGTCGGTTGTTTTTTTGTTGATTTTCAATACCCTCTGTTGAAAGAGAACGATTCGTGTTGAATGCTATGCGCTCTGTTCTGTTTTAAGTTCCTCGAATAGGTCATTACCGAACAGTATCGGTTCGAACGATATGCGAATGCTCCCCCACATGCTATCAAGAAATTTTCGAAACGTCCATTTAGCCATATGCAATCGATTGCTGTCAACATAAAACCCAAAACGAAAATATAAAATCCAACAATATCAAAATCTAAACAATTTAAATAGCTGAGGGGGCTCATCAAGTGAGTCGAGGTATCATTAAAAACAATGCAAAATAACTAAAGTGGATATAAAAAGGCCATTAAAGCGTACAATATGTAATTTTTAATTTATAGAGAGTAAATTCCCATTCCCATCCAATTTAATGGTATACCATTTACCATTTTTTTATAGGCTAGTTTTAATTCGATTAAAAATAGTTCTTGCTCAGCAGCAGTGCTATTTTAGGAGGATAACAATTTGTTTAAAATTTTTAAAACAACACCACAAAATAAACTTGTATTTAATAGTGTTTTGGAAATGCCTTTTTGATAGAACAACTAATTGTTTAATGTTATTATTCTTCACTAGAAATTAGATAAACATCTAAGCTAGTAATTTGTGGTATTTATGGTGTAATATTTTAGGAATTACACATATGCCAATACAAAAAAAAAAACATGAAAATAAATGATTAGTTTATTGTAGATAGGTTTTTATAAAACAGGAAAAAGGAAAAGGGAGTTGTCAAAAATTCTTGAGCAACTACCAAAATTTATAAAATTTAAAAGTGATTTTCCCCCACTACTGTCTTAAAAGATTTTTATAAATCATAAAAATTTTTATGTTTTCTAGTCGTAACAATAACCTATTCCACTTGATGAGCTCTTAAAATCCCCACTAAAAACCACAAATCAATAATAAAACGTTTTGTCATAAATCGAGAATCGGTTCTTATAAACGGCTATAAACGTGGCTGCGTTTTGAACAAAAGTCGCACTCGAATGTCGCTCGCTGGCGCTTGCTTCCCACTCGTACCGCTCTGCCACGCCCCCGCCCTCCGTTCCGCCCCCTGCATTTACCGCTCTCGTTCCGCTAAGTGATCGCCCGCCCGCTGCCCCGCCCCCTTAGCCCGACCCCTTGGCTGTCTTTTTAAGTAACGAAAAATTCTCATAGTGTTTTTGTACAATTGTCATTGCTTAGGAGCCGCAAAAAAATTATGAAAAAATCACCTAATTTCCTAATTAATAAATTGTAGCGTTCAAATGTTTATAACTTGTACTCCCCTCCCTTCTAGACCAGCTTAATGTTTTAATTGTTGTTGAAACTTGAAAGGGCCAAAAACGCTCGCTCTTTCTCCTTCTCTCTTGCTCTGAAGTATTTGTTTATGCGTATGTATTTAAAACCCTGTCCTGTGTTTTGTGTGTGTAAAAAACCAATACCCCTCCCTTCCCTAATTTCTATATTGTAAAATTGTTGACAAAAAAAAAAAGGAAAAAAAAATCATTGTACTCTATGTATTCTTCGTTTCTCTTTGTAAAATTCTTCTCTGGCTGTACACCTCTCAATGCTCAAAAAATCGGCAGGATCGCGAATTTGTCGAGTTAGAAATACCGTTTAACGGCCAGCCCAAAAGGCCGGGCTCTCCGTCGCCGATGGCCAGTCCCGCCCACTCGACGAACAGTGCTGCCGGACTGCTGCAGTCCTGCTGCGGCCGCTGCTGTTCCCAGCGCTACCAGGTAAGCTATATGCCCAACCAAATAATAATACCCTGTATATAAAGTAAAGGACCTGCACTTGAGGGGGGTGTAGTGCATTTGCAGGTGGGTCTTATATCGTTTTCCGTAACCCTCTCTCTCTACTTATATATACGGTTTATGTGTGTTGACTTTGTTATCTCTGTTGGTCTTGTATTCTTTGTATATTTCGACAACTCACCTTCAGAAGTATGAAAACATTTCGGGCAGTCTTAAAATCATATTTATCTTTGGAAAATTCATTATCAGAAAGTTATTGACATCATTATTACTCTTCTGGGAGTTTTATTTTGTTTGTTATAACCTTTAACCTTCCTAACATCTAATTTAAGATTTATCTACAGTTTTACATTTACCAATAATTCATCACACTTTCATTTAACTGATATTAAAGCGCAAGAAAGTATGCTATAAAATCGGTTACTTTCAATGTAGAAACGGTGTAGATAAAATGTAGACTTTACGGAAAATGTATTAACTCCTGTAAAATATTTATTTAAGCAAGTTACTAACATTTATGAATCCATATTTATACAAAATTACAATTTAATTTAATTTTGTATATTTGTCAAAGAAATATAAAAATATATACATATATTGGTATAGCTCTAAATGAAATGGTTTAAAGTTTTGGGGTTTTTATATATATTCATATTTGATTGCTTAGCAATGTACATATTAAAAACTGGCTGAAATTTGTAATATACTTATTTGAAATAAATATAGAAAAGAGTTCGATATTTAAAAAACCATTAACAATATTAAATAATATTTTAATTATAAATATCTTATTTAGTAAGCATCCTTAATAGGCTTAAAATATTAAAACGAGGAGGGTTTCATCCACGTCGGTTTTTAGTTGTAGGCATATTATACTGCGTCAGAAGCCATCATTAATCATGTGAAACCTGACCTCAAACGGTAAAAGCCCTAATGCATTTTCTGCTCCGTTCTCGTTTCTGTTTAGGCCTGCGGCAAGTACATGCCGGCTGCCAGCAATGCTCAAAATAGCCAAAACAATCAGCCCATGGATGGCACCTACCTGGTGGAGGCCTCGTTTTGAGCCCGCAGCAGGTTCGCACTCGCATCCACATCCTCAGCCATGGACGCAGCCACATCCCAATCCAGATCGAGATGATTTATGTTTACGTTTAGTCTAACTTGAAAAGTTTTTAAACTAAATTGTATTCGTTTGTAGACATTGTCGTGTGTGTGTGTAGTCGCCAAAGATAAAATTGATAAAAACAAAAAAACTACAAGGAAAACCAATGAAAACTCTAAAGCCGAAAGACAAGTATAATCTCTAAAATCTGATTTCGGAGTTTAACAAACAAGATATTTAATTAAATTGTAAACCATTGCAGACTCAAATGAAAGCAGCATCTCTGAATGTGTAAAATGTAAAGAGCACATTTAAAACAAAACAAGTAACAAACGAAATACAAGTGCCGAACCCAAATTCTGCGGCGGCAAAGTCGGATTTGATTAGCGAAGACCCGTTAATGAAAAAAAAACAAATATTAATTATAATAATATGCAACACTATTTACTTTATTTAGGTGACAAGACAACAACAAACAGCAAACCAGAAACCGAAGCATTTTAGAGGAATTTACTGTGTATGTTTTAATAAAGTGAACATAAAGTAGCATAGAAGGAAAAATAGTTTGAAGAAAGTAATAATACCCAAAAGAAAATAGAAGAAGGGCAGGGGTCCAAAAGAAAACCAAGAACAAAAACCGAACACAATAAGGAAATTTTAACAGCAAATGCTTTGTGTAGCCAGGAAACAAACAAATGAATGGAATTTGATGAGAAAGTTATGAAAATATTAATACGAATTCGTGTATTTTTTAAATGGTCCGTAGTTTAGTAGGTATGATCTGCATTGACTAATCCCCTCTATTGTTTCTCATCGGCAAAGATCTCTCAACTAGCATATTATCATTCCTGTGACGACTTCATTTTCCCCCAAAATAAATTATATAGCAAAGAGGTTTCAGTTTATCATTAACACTCACCCAATCTCCGAAATTCTCCAAAAACTAATCAAAATCTATTGAAAAAAAAACTAAAATTAAAATTTTCTTCCAAGAACTAAGTTAGCAAGAAACCTATTTAAATGTATATGTGTGTGTAGGAAAGGCTTTAACGAATTGGTACATTAACTAACTAAATGAACTCTTAGCAAATTCTAACAAAAACTAAAAGTATATTAATTAATTCTAAATTAAAAATCAAACATTTAAAATTAGTTCAAGTAAACAACTTAAAAAACAACATTAATATGGAGCTTGTATGTATGTATGATAAATTTATTATGATTACTCTAATTACTATTATGTCGACGATGAATACAATGATAGAGTGTTGACTATTTGTTTCTAACTCTCTAAGTTGCCTACTTATTTCCCAAGAGAACAAGCGAAACTAACAAAAATCACAAAGTTTTGTTTAGCTAAACGAAGTTGTTAATAAACCGCAACAAAAGCGATTATGATTAGATCGAAAAATTACAAAAAACCACATCAAGAAGACAAACAACAATTTGGTTACTAAAACCAACTCTTGTAGCGATATTCTAAAAGAAAACCAATCTATCAAGTAAAAAGAAAGTCGGGTCGAAACAAATACCTGAAGGAGGAAAACGACATTTCTGTTTTGATTTTTAGTGATATGTAATTCGAATTGAGTAACAGCAAAAACAAATACTCTGCCACGGGTCTCTGAGAATGAAAAAGCTAAAGATTAATAATAAATAAAATAAAGAAATCTGTTTACTTCCACCATATAAAGCGACACTCTTAACGTCACAACTGGCAAGTGCATACTAGGGTGAACCTGGATGGTAATGTACTACTATATCTAACTTTATCAATGGGTTTTTTTGGGTGAAACAAAAAAATTATTAGCTCGATGCACTTTTAGTTCTTGATTTTAATATTATTTTAAAAAGTTTGATTTTGGAATTCAAATTCAAATTCAGTTTTCTTTAATCTTTACACAGAAAATATAATACACTTCGAACAATATAAATTTTTTTCTAAAATTCATCAATCAGATATTGAAGTTTGCGCTTGAGTTTATTAGCTTAAAGTTTGTTTGAGCTACTGAAGATCAACACTAAAACCAAATATAGATATTTAAATTAATGCTTTTTAAGGTACTTCCTGGACCACCCTAATGCCAACACACCTATGTGGTCTTACTATATTAAACAGCTCTCTCGGAGACTAAACTTGTGGGAGAGATCAGACAGCGACCAATCGAATGGCAAAAGTAACGGAAATTCCCACCATACATCATCGGCTATATATGAATATGGAAAGTCAGGCCAGAGATCGCCCCTATATCTATTCTTACTGGCGCTTCGTGAGTGTACGTGGATGCTCACCCGGTATACCGCCATACGATACGATACTTAACGATCGTCTGTGCCGCCGGAGTAATTTGCTTTTAGTCTCAGCCCGAACAGATGTTGACTTGTTTCTCTTTTTTTTTTTGGTTTTTTTTGTGCCGATAACCGGGCATATGGCCCAAACTAATTTGCATAGTCGTCGTTAGTCATATGGCTATGAGTTGTCCAGATCTGTGAACTTCAACTTGGCAACGAAACTACATGAAATCGCTGAAAGCTAAGCCTTCACACGTTCTTGATAAATACAAATATTCTAACACTTACTACTTAGCCGAAGGTAAAATTGAGTTTTTATTTTAAAATAAAAACTTTGTCTTGTTTTGTAGTATTTGAACAATAAAATGCGTTAAGTTATTTTTTTCTTTTAATTTTTAGATGTTAAATTAGTATTTGCTGTTGAATTTAAAAATAAAACCTTTCACTAACATTATACTAAAATATACTCATAAATTAAACATGTATTTTAAAACATATTAGTTACCTTTTGTAAAAATAATTTTTTTATAAATTTCTGTTTTACCTTCAATGAAATAACATCAATCACTTTAAATATTGCGTTACCTTCCTTATTATTTTTTTTGTTTTAAAGTTCGGAGAATATTTTCTTCACACATTATCAATTATTGACGGCTCCAAATTACGGATTTCCTCTTTTTAATTTCCTTACTCATTAGGCCGCTATTTGTGTTTCTTTTAAGCTTGCCATCATTTCCATGAGTGCCCTTATATCTCATATCGATTTCAATGAATCAGTCTTCATCAGCTGCTCATTAGTAACGTCATTGATTGCGTTTTGTGGGGTCAGTTGCTCCTTCTCCTCTGTATTTTCCGTTTTTTATTTTTGTTCGCAGAGGGAATAACAACTCCAAGCAAACGACCTTTGCTATAACTCAAGGCAAAACAAAGGACGGGTAGAGAGATATAATAAAAAACTTAAATGCTAAAACTTACTCGCTTGTACGCGGTCGATTTCTGTTTGCCAAAGCAGTTGGCCATAAAACCAAACTGCAAAATAATAAACATGCATATGTACTTTACAGACATATGGGCTTATATTTATTTTTGTTTTTTATGTTAAGTATACGCAACGTGGGTTTACTTTCTGGTTTGTTTCGCTGGACAGACACTAATATTAACTTCGGTAAGCTAGCTTTATGACGTTATTTATCACTCATACAGCTAGATAACCAAAGACAACATAGCACCCTGTATAGAGTCGGTTATATAACACTTGGAATTGTTGAAAGGGAAAGGAAAGTGGTCTCCTCTTTTGTTAATTTTGATTAACGCTTTTTTTTTTGGTTGTTTAATTTCGTTTTACTTTTTTGGCCATTCAGTTAGTTGCGCGCCTTGGGTTTTTTTTATATTATTTCTTTTAAACGTTCATAAACCCCATGGACATTCACTCGATTTCTCGTTTCTCCGACTTGTCGCCCACTCACTATTTTTTATCTGTCGTCATCGTCGGCTTTAGTTTTATTTCTTATACGTATGTCTGCCTTTTATTTTTTGCGCAGGCGTAGCCGCTTTGAATGCATTGAGAAATGCTACGTGGAATTTGTATGCATTTTGCATAGACAAACGCAAAGGGGGCAGGGTAACGAGATAATGGTCGGAAAAAGGTCAAAGTTGGACGAGCGCGCGTTCGTCCAGAACCAGAACCTCGATGCCATGGGAAGAAGTGAGGAGCTGCAATGATTTTCCTTCGCTTGGTGAAATATTCCCATAAATATGCACGCTACGACGATCAACAATTATGCCCACCAAAACGATAGCCGTCTTGGTCTTGGTCTTATTCTTATTTTTTACTCTTACTCCCATTCGTACGTATATTCGCTTTCGTATTCCCAATGTTTCGGTTGGTCAAGTGACTGTAACTGGAACGACAAAAGACCAAGACGAAGGCGAAGACGTTGGGTGGTGGTGGTGGGTTTGGGTTTGGCCTGGGTTTTTGGTATGGGTATGGGTATGGGTTCGGACCTGCATTGGCATTATAGCGCCGGGCCAAGTCAGTAAGTGAGTAAGCCAAGTGAACGGCTGAGTGGCCTTAGTCGGGTGTACAAGTCTACAAGTCCACCAGTCTACGGGCTGCTAGACGAGCGTTCCGTAACGTAAGTTCCCACAATTATGCGCCTCGCTCGACTCCACAACTCCTCGAATCGAGTCGCACACACAAACACACACACATACCGCTGGTAATAATCGCTGAAACATAAAGCGGCGGAAAATGTTGAAAAGCAGCCAGAAAGCCAGCCAGGCAGGCGAATTTTCTGAATGTCTTACTTCACTTTACTTCACTTCACTTCAACATTTTGTTGGCCTGCCTTAAATTGTGCAATGGATATTGTGTGACGACAGTAGCCACAGTCAGCCAGCCACTTACGATCCATTCCGGTGGCCGTAGGCTCAAGTGCTAGTACACTCGGTGGGTAGTCTAAAAACTTTTCAGAAAACCAAAAACATTCAAAGTCTGTGGGCCGCAGGTCTAGATCCAGATGAAAGGCTAACTGGCTTAATGAAGGGTTCTTCAAACGGCTTACACAATTCCTTAGCTAAGCTTTCATTAGTTAGCTAACGTCTAAGTTTATGGGGAAAGTCAGCAGTTGTATTTTTACAGCAAACTAGCAATAAACGACGCGAAAACACGTGCTACTCCTACTATAAAAAAAATGGAGCCAATTGTATCACATTTTCTTAAATCATAAAACACTATACATACTTTACAACATGTTTATATTTATATATTACTTTGAGTACTTTGTGATATAGCATGATTTTATAAATTGCTTCAGAATTTTAGTTAAAACCTTGAATATATCTACTATGAATATGGTATAATGGGTGTGTTTAAGGATTGCTATAAATTATTGCAAGCCAATGGAAACTACTTTTTCGATTTATCACTGTCTGGCTAATATTATTTATTCAATCTTTAATAGAGGCATAAATATTGTTTCTTTTTGGATTTAATCACCCTGTTGATTAATTTAAATTTTAAAAATGTCGTTATTAGGGTTAATTTGGAACTCTAGTCAACACTCCTATGAGATAGATCACCCTATATATACGTACACACCTCTCAGTCTCAATCGAATCTCTCGACTTGAACGTGAATTACAGAATCAACATAATATCCATACCAAATATAGAGATATACTCGATTCGAGTTGACGCCTATCCGCTGACCGCAAGTCACAGTCAAATACTCAAATAGTTCCAAGAACAGATCGCACATCACGAGAAATCGAGGGGATACATCAGCATATTCAAATGGGTTGAATGAGATGCCGCCGCTGATTGGATTGGGCCCATAAAAGAGCCGAAAGCCTAGGCCTAGATGGCAGATTTGCGCATATATAGGAAACTGATTACCAAATCGATTTCGAATAGCCCCGAAACACGTTTTTCTGTGTCTGTCTTCTCGGCCGAAGCCAGAAAATCAAGAGTTGTCTGTGCATATGAGATGAGGTACATAGATGACGATAACGTTATTGAAAATTCTGGAAGCGTGTGTCGCTCTTATAGAGCCGGATGTCTAAAGAATTTGCTCACGATCTACAATACGTACCTTCTATATACGATATTCGATATGCGGGTGTGTGTGTGTGAGTGCCGTGCCTGTGGGGTTATATCAAACAGCTGCGAATGCAAATGACATACCCAGATATATCTTGAAGTTGAAATAAAAACGGATAAACTTGAGTAGAGTTGTGTTGAATGTTGGGCGAGGATTTCCGATGATAACACACTGAATCGGGCACTTAAACTGCACTAGTTCGATTTGATTTCGACCAAGTGTGTTGACTCTGGTCTCCAAAAGATTTTGAGATTTATTTTTACAAGATTTTAACTCTGGCACCGGATTGCCAGAGCACACACCTTCAACGCCGCCAAACGCTTCTAAACTAAATTCAGTTTTGGTAAAAATGCGACAAACGAGCTCCAGATCAGCTTCTTGAGACGTCCGACGTCGACGTCGGCGCAGGTATATTGTATATTGTATATAAGACTAGGTCCCCAGGTATCTAGTCGGTGTCAGCCGCTTTTGCGTTGGTGTGCCGATGATCCGATCGGTTACCTGTAGCGCCGACTGCGACGTCGGCAGCGTTGTTACCTGATTTTCGGGTTTTTGTTTTTGCCCTCCCAGCGCCGAGTGCGACCCATGATTTCCCGCCAAATGAGAGGAAGGCACACACAGGTAAGCTAAAACACACAGGTAAGAGACAAGTACAAAGCCTCTCTTCGGTGTATAAGGTGTACAATACATAGGCTATAGACCTACAGACTAATAGATGTCTGAAAGACGTTGCCTAACGATTGTCTATGTGGCTGTTGGTAAGGCTATTGATTTTAGATTTCAACAATGCGGGTGA